GAACATCAGCTGAAGGGCAGGTCAATTCATTAAAATATCCACATGAAAAAATATAACAGGAAAGGAGTCCGCCTCGTGGTCCAAAAACTTCCCTTCAGATGGCCGAGGTCAGCAGACGGCTATGAAGAAATGTGCTTGCCGACAACAGTCAAATGTCATCATTCTGTCGGAAATGTTGGCTCTGAATCTAAATCTGGTTGGTTCAGGAAGGTCTGGCCACCTCGCCTCCAGCCTGCAGGCCTGGGTTTGCACCAGCTCAGCACAAAGCTGACCACAAGACTCGGCAGAACCCAAGCTCAGCACACTCAGCATTAGCTAAAATTTATACAACGCTTTCAGATGTACGAAGCGCTTACCAATGTGACCTCACAACAACCCTGCCAGGTAGGTGCTATTAAGATCCGCATGTTACAGGTGAAGAAACTGAGGAAGGCAGACTTTGGTCAAGCGACTTTCTCAGGGCCCCACAGCTAGTAAATGTTGAGGCTGGATTTGAATTCAGGGCTTCCTGAATCCAAGCTTAGCGGTCTTTCCACAGAGACCCCTAAAAAGTGCCCCACTTGGGTCACAGAGAAGCCTGCTTCCCAGGAAGAACCCCACAAGATTCTGGCTTGGGATGGAGGTGGGGAGAACAGGCATTCGTTACAGGGTCCGGGTCTGCATCCTGGTGTGTTCTGTCTCTGCACAGCCTGGCTTCCAGTCACGTGCTCTGCCCGCATCGCGAGTGTTTTCTTTGGATGCTCGCAGGGTTTGCTTCTCCTCTTCTAGATCGTCCTCCCTAGCTGTGCACTTGCAGTCCTAGTCTGTTTTCTCTTTCGTTTTTCTGCTGACACTCACCATGGCAGGTGCCAGGCTTTGGTACCGCCCAGTATTTTTTGCTGTGCTGGCCACAAATTCTGCCCTCATGATTTTCATTTCTCTTTTGAACCACCCAGGATCAATGTGTTGTGGCTCACATTCTCCTCACACTCCACAGGGGGCCCTGTCTCATCAGGAATTGGGTCGTTGTCCTTTGGCAGCTGTATTTTATTCATAGATGCCTGGACTCTTGTACCAGGTCTGGAGCCCATATTCCTTCTGCTGTCACTGTTTCCCTTGTTGATTTTTCAGCTGACGCTCAAGGCCTCTGACTTTTCTTCTTCCTAAGATCTTTAGTAATTAGTGCCTAGCACAGAGTAGGCACTTAATAAATGACTACTGATTGATTCATTTTCCTTATTTTCCCTCATTGCTCACTTTCTGACTCCCTCCCCTCTGATGGTGGTTTCCCTGGGAGATGGATCTCAAAGCGTCTCAGCCCCTCCCATGCTGGATAACCCACGGCTCACCAGGTAAATGCCAGCATCCAGCCCGGGCTGAATACAGTTGTTGCTCGAATGAACGCATGCAGAATGGTGTTGGACAACAAGGAGGCCCCAGAAGGGGGAATTAGCCAAGAAGCACCCCGGCCCTCAGCGCCGAGGCTTAGACCCCTCTACTTGGGAGCAGAGGGAGGGCAGAGGAGGAAAGAAGGAAGGGGAAGGCGAGGGGCGGGGAGGACAGGGGATGACTTCTCAGGGGTCGCCACCACCCGTCCCTCCCAGGCCTTGGAGACCTTGGATTCCCAGCCTTCCTGATCTAGGGGAAGGGGAAAGAGAGGAAATAAATATTCATTAAGCATCTACTATGTGTCAAGCACTGTCCTAAGTGCCATAGAAATATTTATCTCGTTTGATCCTCACAACAACCCGGGAGGTAAGTAGCTCTGCCCAAAGGAACACAGACTTTGTTTGCTGAAACCTTGAAAGATATATTGGGGCTTATGGGCTAGACTCCTTTTTTAAGGACCACACCTTAACCTCAAATCACTCTGATTGGCCAACAACAGGTCCCAGCCCAAGCCTCGCCTGTCATCGTTGGGACCCGGTGGCTCTGAGGGATTGTAAAGAGCAACTGTTTGTTTTGGCCAGAAACCCAGAGGGTCTTTGTTTTTTGTTTTTACTAGGTAAGAGAGGTCATTTCTCACCTCGCCTTAATCACTCAGTGGGTGTTGCCTCAGACAAACTGAGACCTGTGAAAGACCTTCACTTAAAAAGGCCAAGGTCTCCTTCACTTAAAAAGGCATCCTAGGCCACCTCCCGTCGTCCTGCTCTCTATCTGCCTAGACGGCTCCAGAGGAGAGAATGAGGCTGGTGGCCTCGCACAGCCTGCCCTCACTTAAATCCAGTTCACTCGCAAGTCATGGCATCACCTCCCTGAAGTTGTGGTCCTCTTGGAGAACGAAGGACAAAAGTGAATGAACAGGAGGTAAGTGGTATGACCATTATCCCAAAATTTCACAGGTGAGGAAACTGAGGCAAACAGGGTTAAGGGACTTGCCCCAGGTCACACAGCTAGTCAGTGCCTGAGGCTAGATTTGACTGCAGCTCTGCCCCGAATTCAGCTAAGAGGAGATGGTTAAAAATGCACCTTGACCAGATCATTAGAGAAACAGCAACATCACACAGTAGCCTGTGGAGAGATGAAGTTTGGTCCAGTGTACAGGGATGTGGGGAGTGTCCTTTCTTTCTGACCTTCTCCCAAGGACAGTGCAGCCCCCCTTCTCTCCTTCCACAGCCTCCCAGATCCAGGAGGATGGTGCTTTCCCACTCTGGGCCCCCTGCACTGACAAAGGGTCAGGGAAGCCTGAGCCATGAAGGCACCACCTCCTTCCTCTTGTAAGGGGCCCTGAACACAGCACCGAGTCTGGCCTGAGGCGAGAGAGGCGAGAGCAAGGGGTGGGTAGGGACAGAAGGTGGCAATGTCTAAGCCACAAAGGAGAGGCAGGACGGCCTGGCGGAGGAAGGACTGGATTCAGGGGTCAGAAAGGCCTGGGTTGGAGTCCTGCACCCCCTGGCTGGCTGTGCGTGACCACTGACAAGCTACCTCTCTCTGCCCGGCACATCGTAGGTGCTTCATAAATGCTTGCCGATTGGCTGAGCCTCTGTTTGCTTATCTATCTCTAAAATGGAGTTAATAATACCGTCAATCCTTTCCTCATAGGACTTTCGCAAGCTCCCGATGCCAGCATGGGTACAGGAGTCACAGATGTAGCTTTGCTTCCTTGTTGGAGCTCCAAATCATTAATCACAAGAGAATGTAAATTAAAACAACCCTGAGGTTCCACCTCACACCCTACAAAATGGCAATGTTGGAGCAACTATGAGAAAACAGGCACACTGGTACATTGTTGGTGGAGTTGTGGATCAGTACAAACATCACCGAAGGCAATCTGGAATGATGCAGATAAGGGCACTCCATGATTAGGATTATGCCTTAGGAGGCCATTGATAAGAATAAAGCCCCCATATACACCAAATTATTTATAGCAGTATTTTTTTGATAGCTAAGAACTAGAAGCAAAGTAGATGCCCACTGACTGAGGAATGGGTGAACAATCGTGATCCACGACTGGGCTGTAAGAAATGATGAATGTGCCTGGAAAGATCCAGATGAACTGATGCAGAGGGAAGAGAGCAGAACCAAGAAAACAATGAACACAATGGTGAGAATAATGTCACTGGAAGCCACAACCCATCCCGAAGTCAAAAGTGAAGGCAATAAAGTGAGAAAGTCGCAGCAGGGCTTGAAAGGAGGGATGGGAAGACAGCACCCGCTCCTTGGGGCCCCACACGGGCCACACGCTGCACACTGATCGGTGGTGCTGACTTCTCATGGTTTTCTTTCTTTGTCTTTAAAAACAGACTATTTGGAGCTCTGCACTAGTGACCTCCCTTCAGTTTAATAGCAAAAAAATCTGATAATAAGACAATAGAAAGCAACCTTCTTTATTGACAAACTCCCGCCACTCATTAGTTCAGGGGTAAACACGCATACTGGCTTGCACACGTGAGCATACCCACACCTACACACACACTGTGCCAAAGCCTATCTGCAACTTACGTGCATTTCCTCTCACTACGACCTCCATATTCACGGAAGCCCCAGTTGGCCCTTCAACTTCCTCACTGTTGAGATTTACACATTTTCTTTCTTTCTTTCTTGTTCATCTCTGCTTTGGTCTGTCCTTCTGACCTTGGGTAGATTTGTTTCTCACTATTCCTGCCTCTCTAGGCAAAATGTTCTCCTATCTCTGTCACCCACAAGGCCCCTTGGTCACTGTTTTCTTAGCTTCTAAGGTGTTTGACTGGAGGGTGTATTATAGCTGCTCTACTTTCTTTTCTACATAAGTAAGTTACCACTTTGGAGAAAGGATCGTGATAAAACAGTTATCTATAAATCCAAGGAGCACACTTGAATGTGGAAGGCCGAAAGGGGAGCCTGCCCTGTGAATGGCAATCTGTCAGATCCTTCAAACAAAGCCACTTGTGCATCGCTGCTGAACCTGGTCCTTCCAGTACTCCGTTAAACCCTGCGACGAGGTCTGTCCCAGTGTTTCTAGCTCATACTGGTTTTCGTTTTTTGGGCTTTTTTTTTCCTTATGCACAAATCTCTTATACTAGGATGTTGCTAAGGAGATTGCTTCCTGCAAATGTGTTTGAACAAGCTCGTGGGTTTGGTAGTTTGAGGAACAAGAAAGCTACACTGTTGAACACTTGGTAAAAGTCTGATCAACTTGACAGTCACTGAGATCATGAATTGATAAAATCTAATGGTCGCAATTCCTTAAAAATAAACAAACATATAAACAAACAAAAAAAATCCAACAGACCATTTGTTAAATGGGAAGGCTCTCTTAGGGCATGGGGGAAGGATACTGGGGCAAGCAAAGGGTGATGATGATGAAACAAAACCAAAAGAAAACAAAAAAAAAATTTTAAATAAAAAACCTCTTTGTTATACAGGAAGGTTCTTGGAGAGGAGGGAAGGGAAGGGATGTGGGGGAAATCTGGACAAGGTAAAATCCAGAGACATCAATACAAATTCTCTTTTAAGGCTTATGATAAAAATAAATAAATGAATGTTTATTCCCCCAAACACTGAAGTGGTCCAATATATAGCAAACCGAGGAACCCCCTTACCGGGCCACGAATCTGCTGAGCGCACTGTACTCCATGGGCTCCAGGACGATGCTAAGGTCTGTAATGGCGGCCGAGGAGCTCTCTTCACTCTAAAAGAGAAAAGCCACGCATTTAGCTTTTAGTGGAACACAGGACTATTTGCATAGTCCCTGACACTACCTGGGGAATCTGTAGCTATTCCCAAGACGCCAGCGCCAATGCCCTCTAAGCCCTTTCTGTCTTTGGAGACGCCATTCCTAAAACCTGGAAGGCCCATTCCTCTCTCTACACTATGAAGATCCAGCCCATCTTCCTAAGGCCCAGCTCGGGTATGCCATTTTGCGGGGACTCTTCCCTAATACCCACCCCGGAAATGACCACTTCTGCCTCAGACAATTGGACATTCCCCATCAATATGCACACAGCTGATTTAGATGAATGAAAAACAGGAAAGAGACAACAGAAAGCTATCGACAGGGATTGTAAAAACTGTAACTGGTGTGCACCTGTGGCCACAATGAGACAATCCATAGAGCTCAGAAAGGGCTGTGAGAGGCAGGCCTGACTTTTCTGTTTGCCTTTCCTGGCGCCCCAAGCATTTGGCACTGTGTCTGGCATGTAGCAGTCATTTATACACACTTTCTGGTCAGCGGGGTGGACGTGTATTAAAGCTTCCTTTTTGGTACCACTGAAAATTAAGAGAGAATCATCTCCCCAATCTAAAGTTGCTCCCAGATCTACCTGAAGGAAAACTGATCGGTGCTTTGAAGCACTTCCGAGGGAAAAGTGGCCTTCACCAGAATTACCCCCATGCCCCCGTCCCCTTCCCTGGCCTCACTTCTTCTCTTAGGAAACTGTGTAAAAGGCAGAGAATGACAGAGGGCTAGGGATTAGGGGTAGTAGCCAAATTGAGAACAGGCAATAGCATGGGTACAGCTGAGACAAGGCTTTCCCCCAACCCTGACAGTGAAGACGCACTCACAGCAGAGCCCTCCTCCCCATTTCCTCAAGGGATGAGCACATCTATCTAAGGGCAGAGGTGTCTGAGTACGTCAGGTCACCTGTGACCAGTGGTCAAAGAGAGACTGAGTGGCTTGAGTCAATGGTCTCTATGGGCTGCCCCGAGCCAAAGGGACGTTTGTTCAGGACTCATAAGACAAAAGAAAACTTGCACCTTCCCCTGAATTATGTAACTGCATTTTATCATATTATGAAATTTTCTTGCTCAAGATTCCTGGAAATGTTACTTCAAAATATCTTACAGTACTAGAGATATGTCCAAGGGCCTTGGACATATCTCTCACAAACAAAGCAATGCTTGAACTTGCATTAATAATCAATTAATAAAAATTGTTTCCAGCAGACTTGTGCCTAAAATACTTCATGTTTTTTCTTTGACTACTTGTTACTTGCCAAGTGGAGAGATCCGGTCACCAAAGACGATGCCGGATTAGAACGTGTCCTCATTTGTAAAATCTTATGAAGGAAAACAAAGGACCGAGAACAGCACTGTCTCAAAGTAGAGAAAAACAACAGGGAGGAAACACAGTTAGAAACAAAACAAACTCGGCCAGACATCCAAGGAAGCAAAGTCATTTCAAACAAAGAATTATATTATAGCTGGATCCTTTGTAGAGCAGAGGATGAGGTTTGCAAAGCGCTTTATGGATGGTACCTCGAGAATGAAAGTGAAAGGAGAAAAATTAAAAGAAAAAGGGAAAGTATCTGTAATGATTATTTTTTAAAAATTTTCTTCTTGCTCATGAAATTGAGTAGACTCAGCAGTGAGCACACGTGGACCATCACTTCCCCAGACATCGGGGACTGTGCAGTAAAGGCCAGGCTTGTATTATGCCCCAAAGTGCGCTAGGCGCCGGCTTCCACAGGTCTCCCCCTTGGCCCTTTTTTCTTCTCTGGGCTCCAGGGGGCCTTTTCCTGCTGCCTGGGGGAGGCGAGAGGCAGCACTCCTGGGCCAGGTGCTTTACAAATCCGATCTCATTGGAGATAACTGGTATGAGATCAGCTTATTGGAGCAATTTCTCATTAATGTGCAGCACTCAACAGCAGACATTTGCCTCTAAGACCCCCCCCCCAAGGTCTTCCTGTTTATTAGATGTGATGCTAGTTTCGTTGCATTTAAATATTACATTATCATTTTCCTAATTTCCTCTTCAACCCAATTGTCATTTAAGACAGTTCTTCATTTTCCCTGAAATAGGGTAACTTTTAGTCACGTTCCTGTTAACTCGGAAGTTTGGAGGGCGAGGGCTGGCTCATATGGTCACTCAGAGGCAGCTGGACACCTCAGCTCTGTCTGTACAACTCGCCCCTTGACGATTGAGAACACTGGGTTGAAAGCAATCGAGAAATCCCAGGAGAAGCCCAAAGAGGTCATTTTGCCAGCTGAGGTCAGTACAGGAAGCCAAGCAGGGGCCTGGGGGCCATACCTGGCCATGGCAGGGAGCCCAAAGACAAATCAGCTGGAAGCCTGTTCCTCTGATCCCAGTGCAGGGCCCACAATACAGGAAGAAAAGAGGCTGGTGCCCAAAGCAGGGAGTATAGACCATGCATGAGGCCACAGTTCTGGATCCCTGGTCCCCCAAGCAAGGCCATCCACTGGGCACAAATGTCAGGGCTAGCCCGAGCTGAGTATGCAGGGCCTATTCTGACCTGCAGACCATTCCAGCTAGGTGATAGGGGCTGGGCCAGAAGCTGTCTACTGGAGCTCCAACCTGGGCAAGTCTGCAACTGCGTCCCCCAGGCCCAGAGTAGAGCCCAGAGCTTACAAAGCTCAGAACAAGAGGGTAGTAAGGAGATGAGACTGTTTTTAGGACATGTTGAAAGTCTGCAGGTCCCCAGCCTGAGCTGCCCTGGAGATTACTGAACATAGCAACTGATACCTGAAGAAAGCAGGGGCAGGACCCCAGACAACACAGGTCAGGCCCCACGTGCCCCCACCTCTCCCTCCAGAAGCAGGCAGAGCCTGGCACTAACACAAAGTCCCAATTCAGGAAATCGTACTAGAGGCTCAACAAGAATTTAAGTCACAAGCATTTATTAAGAGCCTGCTCTGTGCCAGCACCGTCCTAAGCACCAGGGATAAAAAGGAAGGCGCAGTCTTTGCTTCCATTGGAAATGATGGATAAACAAGCATTTAACTAAAAATGGAATGATTCTCCCTCCCTCAGCACTCAGAATCATTCCTGTCTTTGTCAGCGGCAGGCCCTGCATTTCTCAAGGCCAGGGTCTGGGCGCTCTCCTGGGCTGGGCCAGACTCATACTTGGAACTGGAATGGAATCAAACACTAAAAATAAGGGACCTCGTAATGAAGAATTTAACAGGATGCGATCCCTCATTTCTAAGTGGTGACCGAATGCCGCCGATGAACGCCACTCCTCCCCACCCCGACCCGCTGCTGGGGCAACAATAACACAGGGTCAGGCCAGCCAGGAGCCCGCTGACCCCACCCCACACCGGGGCCCCAGGGGTTCAACTTTGTCGGCCTCAGGACATGAGGAAGTCACGCCAAGGATGCCAGCCTTAGTGCCAGGGACCTGCCATCCCAGGACGGCTCTTAAAGGACATGCAGACGAGCCCACTCCCGGCCACGTAGACTTCTCCCCTCTTGGTGTCCCCTGGCTGCGTGTTACAGATGAATGTTTGGCCTTCTGGGCATTTCCCAAACCTGCTCCTTTGCCCTGTCCATGCCCAGGATGCCACGCGCCCACACCTTCCCGTGGATCTTTATGTTCATCTGCTCCTCTGTGCACAGCAGCTTCCCTCACTCTAGCGCTTGTGGTCACCAAGGCCAGCCTGAGCCACTGGGCCACGCCAGCATCCCACGTCCACCATGTCTCCTCGTGCTTCATAGATGAACCAGTGTCTCCTCCCTGGCGCATTCACGAGGGTTGTGCTTTGGCATTTCCTCCATCCTGTCCCCCTAATGCTTCAACTTGAATTGCTGAAGAACTTTATCCTATGAGTCTTTTTCCTCAGAATGTCTTTGTTACGTTATAATTTTTAAAACTCAGACTGTTTCTGTTCAGGGATGAGAGTGGGATAAGGGGCAGGCCAAGGTGACTTGAGTGTGAACAGAACGGCCGCTGCTCTGGGGTGGGTCTCTGCGGGGCATGCCCTCTGGCCACAGTGATGGGGATCATGGGCCACAAGGGCAGGGGAGACGGGAGGACAAAGGAGGCCCCAAGCAGCTGGGCGTGGGGGAGCATTCAGGCCCTGTGCAGGTGCTACAGCCGTAACAGAGTCGGGAGTAGGGGGCAGGAAGGTGGAGGAAGAGAAGGATGGGTGTTGGTGTCCTGGAACAAAAGGGAGGCTCTGGCATCCTCAAAAGACACTCTTTCATAAGCCTGGAGCCTTCCCAGCACGGCAGCCAGCCTCTGGGCGCTCTGATCATCCTGGGCCCAGACACGGCACAGAAGACAGGCTTCCCACCCCAATGAGCCATGAGATGACAGCGGGCAGCAGGGGCCACAGTGGGTATTAGGCATGGCCAAGGCAGGCAGCTGGCTCTAAGGACAGCAGTTGCGACGGCCACAGCTTTCCTTCACCTAGTGAGTTTTTCTTCTTTTCTTTTCAGGGAGCATTTCTAATGGGGGGGGGGGCTCTGGCAGAGAAGCTCCTCAGGCTTCCTACTGCTGCTCTCTCCTTGAAGGACTCCTGTCTGTGCCTGAAGGCTGGGATGAGGTGGGGAGAGCCAAGCCAGGCTGGGCTCTGAGGGCTTCGAGCATGATCTCACAGGCGCAGACAGACAGACTGAGGGTGCAGGAGGGGAAGGAAGGAAGCCAAGACGCCTCCTCTCTGTCCGAGCCTTCCTGGGTAAGAAATGTGGATGAATCACCGGTTAGGAAGGGCTGCAACGAGTGGTAACTGGCAATGAAAAATCGGGGGTAGAACTGACAAGAAATCAAGGTGGGATGGTGGAAAGTAACCTGATATTCTGAGCTCCTCAGCAGGAGAGGGAGGCAGGGCTCTGGGAGCTGTCTGCAAGGTGGGAAGGGACAGCACATGCTTGCGTCATGAGAAGGAAGGGTGCCCGGTCCTGTGCGGCCACCACAAGGTGGGGCATCCGGGGCCTGCGCGGCCACCAAGGTTAACATGCCTGGTCCTCCGTGGCCACCCCAAAACAATGTGTCTGGTCCTGTGCAGCCCCCAAGGGTAATGTGCCCGGTCCTGTGGGCTGCTCCCAAGACAGACTCCAGGACTTGGGATGAGGAAGGTTGTGAGAGGCATCTCAGAAAGTCTCCATCTTGCCCCCCCCCCCGCCCAGCCCACCCCTCTCAGGGCTCTGGGAGGAGGATTCAAGGCTAACAGAGGAAATGCATAAAAGGGAGCCTGGCCAACAAAAGCTCCCTCAGGGAACACGAGGCCATTGGCATTAATGAGGCACCCAAGGCAGGCAGAAGATGGGCAGGCTGAGATAACCCCAAGTCTGCTGGGAGCCGGCTCAGAGCTCTGGGGCCCAGGCGTGGCTCTGCAGGTAACCGCTGCCTGCACAACGGACGCTGGGCCCCAGAGAGGAGGGTCGTCCTGAGAGAGTCACCCTCCCTGGGCACGTGCACGGGGCTGGGTTCGATCCTGCAGACGCTAGCCAGCTGTGTGACCCTGGACAGGTCAGTGCTCCCTGCAAGCCCGTGTTCTCCTCGGTAAGCAAGACACAGTAATACCTAAGGTCTGCCCGCCCCCGCCCCCCCCGCCCCGGGTGCCCCGCTGGCTCAGGCGTGGACTCGCGGCAGTCCTCAAAGGCTAGCAGCCCTTCTGGGACACCCACGAAATCTCCCGCATGGCTGAAGCTGCCAGCGACTTTCCAAACTCCCAGCGAGGAAATATCTCCCTCTGCTGGTGGTGGACGGTCAAGAGTCAGCGTTTGTCATGGAGATGGAGAAGGGTCTGTTCACTGGGGCGCCTGCCCTACTACCAGGGCCTGGCACCGACAGCCTGGCCACATGGAGACCACCCCCAGCCTGGGCCTGCCCTCGACCAGGAAGAAAAAAGCGTGTTTGTCCCCCCCGCCCCCAACAGCCGCCAAATCTCAACGGGTCAGCGAAGCACGCGCTGCCCGAGTCTGTCCCCTCTCCAGGCCATCCTGCATCCCCTCTGCCCTAGACTGCTGCAGGACACTCCCCTCCTCTTCCCTTCAGGCCGCTGCTTAAATGTCCCTAGGGCACAGATGGGCCAGAGGCTAGTCATTTGGGAGGCATCCTCAGAGCCCCCTGGACCACAGGAGGAGCAGCCTCTCCCTCAGCGGGCTGCCTGAGAACGCCCCCTGTAGACAGGCTGGTGGGATAGGTCTGTGATGCGAGGCCACACGTGGGCCAGAGCCCCAGGGTGCCTTAAGCAGCCTAGCTCAATGTGAGGTCGCTGTGGGAAGGAGCTTTGGGGAGACCCCTGCCAGTGTCCTCCACCCTGATCTCTCTCACCCATGCCAGGCTCCACAGGAGCCTGGATCTGGGGACAGGGGCCTTTCCAAGAAGGAAGAGAGGCCCAGGGTCAGTCTTCCCTTCCAGTTTAGTCCCTGTGTTGTCCCACCTTCACCCCACCCTTGGCCACAGAGTTTGTGAGCTGATGTTGATGACTACCAGACCAGGAAGGTCCAGACAAAGTCTTAGCGTCAGCTCTAGTTCTCCTTCCAGCTCTGGGCCTGACCTAGAACCTTGAGCCACAGCTGACCGGAGGGCCGGGTTAACACATCCATGTGTAAATCAAAGAGGGAGGAGGTGAGAAGTCTGGACAGGTGGGGCTGGACAGGGAGCAGATGGCCCTGAAGGGGCTGCCACGGAACAGCCAGCTTACTGCTCTTATGCTCCACAGGAGGCAGAAGAGAACCCTGGGGTCTCCGAATGAAAAGACAAACCATGGGAAACACTTAGTCAGTAGAGAAACCTGACAACAGCAGAAACGCTCTCAAAAGGGCCAGGCAGAAGGGGGAGTATACCGGGGGGGCCAGCGGCCCAGGGAAGCCTGGAGACTCCTGTGCAGACCCCGGGGGAGGGGAAAGCTCCACACCCACCCCACCCCCCCACATTCCAGCAAAATTCTGAGTCTCCCAGCCATGCTGAGACATCTCCCACCTCCACACCTTTGCACAGGCCGCCCGCCATGAGGAGGTCTCCACCCACAGTGTGCAGAGCACCAAGTCTATGGTCTGAGGACCCGAGGGCTGAATCGACCTCAGACACTAACTGGCTGGGTGACCCTGGACAAGTCCCTTCCCTCTGCCTGCCCCCATTTCCTCATCTGTAAAATGGGGTTAATAAGCCATGCCTCCACCCTCTGAGGCCCAAAGGCTCTTTGCCCTCACGCTCCCTCATTGGAACCCCTGGGCTTGGCTCAAGCTCACAGGCTTCCTCCTTCAAGAAGCCTCCCTGATTTCTCCCCACCCCATTTACTATGCTTCTTCCGAGCCTCAGAGGTACCAGGTGCTTATTCTGCCCTGCTCTCATCATCCCTTGATGTCTGCAGCTCCTCAGGACAGCCAGGTTGGCCTCCTGCCCATGGACTGGGGGGAAGGCCTCCCCTCTCCTGGAGTAAGAGTAGGAGGGACCCAACGGATGGACAGATGGATAGGGCACAGGGCTCCTGCTGGCGCCCAGCTGCTGCCACCCCGGCACCTGCCCATCCGACTCACCTGCATTTCCAGAAGCTGGAACTCCAGCTGGAAGGGAACAGCATGGCACTGCCCTGCCAGGCGGCCCTTTCGCAGGACTCTCAGGCCATCTGCAAGAGAGAAAGCAGAGGAGCGTGTTTGCAGAGCCAGGGCCGGCTCTTCTTTGAAAACACCCGCCACCGTCCCACTTCTGGGCTTCTCCACGTGGCCACACAGTTAACGCAGTTGCTCGGACACCCGGCCACCCTCTGCTGTTGGGACAGGGAGTGATGGTGAGCTCCCTGAGGGCAGAGACTGTCTTCCACCTCCTGTATGCCCAGGGCTTAGCAGGCACGCAGTAGGCACTTCATGTGATCAGCCCAGCACCCACACATAGTAGGTACTGGAAGGCACTTAGCAAGGCCTGTCATACAGTAGGTACTTAACGTGATTAGCACCATGCCTAGCACGCAGAAAGTGTTTAACAAACGTTTATTGACCCGGCTGATGGTTTCTCCTCAAGCTTGTTATCTGACCAAACCTTCAGGCCCAACTGTCCTGGCTTTGGAGCAGTTTCCAGCCCCCGAACCTCAGGTGATCTCAATCTTGAAGGCCCCACATTTACTGGAAATTCTGTTCTTCAGGGTGGGGAAGTGGCCACTTTATTTTTCAAGAGAAGGTCCCTGGAACAGCATCCAGGTCAATGGCCTCATCTGAAACCTGACACCCCAGCACATCAGTGGGCTCAGTGCAGGTCCCTAGCAGCAGAGCGGGACTAGCACCCCGGCCCCACTTCCGATGGGCCGGCCACCCATGAACGCTGCAGCTCCCTCTTTTCCACGTGAGATATTTTACCAAACACATCTGTTGCTTGCTTTGCTTCCGTGGGATATAAAAAGTGAGGAAGGCCCCCAGGGCCTAGCGAGAGCTGCCCAGGACGGGCAGGCACCATCGGGGTGCTATCAGCATTTCTGGAGGAACTAGCCACACCAGACGGACAGCTCACAGACCTCCCCCCCCGGGAGACTGCAGAAGCAGGCCTTCAAAGGGCATCTCCCCAATGCAGCCACGCTGCTCTTGGCTCAGAACATTTCTGGAAACTTTTGGAATGGACCAAACAGTAGGAATCCCGAAGGGAAATAGGCCTCGGCATTTCCCAGCTTGGCATTGACTTTCTCCATCTGATCTGGCCTTGACGAAACCCCAATCTACCCTCAACAGGAGAAGCTTTGCCACAAGAGAAGGCATTTAAAGTGTGCCACAGACCCTGCCTGCCACACTGGCCAAAGTGTGGGCACAGAGTCTCCCAGGAGTCCCTCGGAAAGGAGGGTATCACAGGAGGGACTGGTCGGAGCTGCCGCTCTTTCACCATCTCCCACTGTTCCTTGCACCCGAGCCAGCCCACCCAAAGAGCCAGACTTTCCCCAGGCTCTAAGCCAGCCACAAGGGGCCATGCCAGTGTGGCAGCTCTCACTGGACCCTGCTGCCTCAGTTTCCCTTTGAACCTTTTGGCCCAGACCAGACATTCGCTGGTTCCCAGGAAGCTTTCCTGGCAGGGTCCAGCTGGTCTTTAATAAATCACCCAAATCCTTTTCTCATTTGTCTCCCTCATCTGTCCTGGGTAAGGGGGGGGGTGAACTGACGCTGGGTGTCCTGCGCACACATCTGGCAATGGAACACCACCCCCCAACAATCCTAAAGATCGAAACTTCACGGGAACCAGCCTGGAAATCAACAACTGAGGGCACCAGCGGAATGGGACGCTTACTCTCCCCGGCGCTCCCGCCGCTCCCTGGAAGCTGTGCTCTGGCCATGGAGTAGTCCGCGATGCTGATGCCAGTGAGCCGGGAGAGGAAGGAAAGGCCGGATTCCGCGCGCCCCAGCTGGCCTTCCAGGTCCCCCGCAGACTCCCTGCCGCCAGCAGGACGCCGTCTGGAACGGGAGAGCCGGGGCGATGACTGGGGGCCACCTCGGCAGCCCCGCCTGAGAGCCCAAGGCCCCCGCATGCCCCGGGCTCCCTCCTGAGCGCCTGCCCAAGAGCGCAAAAACGCTTCGACAGACTCGGCATCTCAGCCAAGTGACCCTCCGTGTCCCCGGCTCTGTGTGTGTGCGTGCACGCCTGTGTGCGAGCATGAGTATGTACACGTAGGAGTACATGCGTGTGTTTGCATGCATGCACACATGTGCGCATGTACACTTACGTGTGCACATGCATGCGCGCGTGGGTGCATTTCCCTCTTTCGGCCAAATTTCTCGGGCTGCCCCACTTCCTCTGCTGGGCTTCCACTGACCCGGACTGCCTCCGTGCACCCTCTCTGGGCAGCTCTGACCTCTCCCTTCCTCCAGCTCAGTGCTGAGCCCCATCGTCCCCCCTCCCGCGGGCTCAGGGACCACCCCCGGGCGATGACAGATTCGGGTTCTGCTCTGAGCCCCCATCCCCTGCCCCCACCTGCCACCCGGACCTCGCACCCCGAAGAACAGAATTTCCAGTAAATGTGGGGCCTTCAGAAAAGGCAGTCACAAGAGGGGAGCCCCCCCCCGACTTCTCTCCGTCCCCCTCCCCACAAACTCCATCAGCTGCCAATAACACTGCCCCGCCCCCTGCTGCTCCTCCCTGCTGGAGACCCTTCCCTCCTGCTTCCTTCCCTTTGCTCCCCACCCCTCCTGGCACGCTGACGTTCCCCTCCCCATCACTAGACAGTCCCCATCTCCCTGAGGGGCTACGCTGGTTCCCGCCTCCGAACCCTTGTCTCAGCTGGCCCTTCCTCCTGCTTCACCATCCCAGGCAGTCCCCAGGACTGGGCTAGGCTGCTACCTCTCCAGCTCTGGGTCCCGCTCCGGGTCCAGGGCGGCGGCGGGATGCGTCTGCTCCAGGCGCCGCTGCAGCGCCGCGATCTCAGCCCGCAGGGCCCGGAGCTGCTGCTGCTGCTCCTCTCGCTCCTTCTCCATGGCTGGGCCTGCCGGATAGGACTAGAGATCTGCCGGCAGGGCTGCGGCGCGCGCGCCCGAGACCAGCTGTTCAAGCCTCCCGCGCGCTGCCGGCACATACCAACTTCCAAAATCCTTGGGAGGACAGATGGAGCGCGAGGAGGGGCGGGCCCGGCTGATCCCGCCCCATCACTGAGCGAACTGAAGGCGACGCTGAGGAAAGAGTGAGAGCAACGAGCCCGCCCTCCCTGGAGAGTCCACCACCCTGCCTACGGGGAGCAAATACCCGGCGTCCGCTGCTTCTGAACCCCCTCTCTTGGAGGATTGGTTTAGTCCCAAGCTGGCCCTTGAGTGACATCAGAGACCCACACGGAAAAACTTTAGCAACTAGCTCTGCGCGTGCGCATTTCCGAGAATGAGGGGTCAAAGGGCACCAGCGTGGGAAGGGGCGGGGGAAGAAGAGGGTGTAGAGGAAAGGTGTCCCTTTATTTTGCTTCCCCCTGGATAACCGTGTCCGGCTGACGTTCATGGGCTCCCTAACTTAGCAGACGATTGAGTGCAGCTCATCACCACGAGTCGCAGCGGAGACACAAGAGGAGACCCAGAGAAGGCGGGGATAGAGTCGGGAGCAGGAGAGGCCGATGGGGCGGCAACGGAGTCCCGGAACTTTGGATACGGGAACTGGGGTCTCGCTGGCAGGGGAGAGGGAGAATAGCCAGCCGCGCAATCACGTGACCGGAAGTCGGAGGCACGCGGGCCGGAAGCCGGGGTCGCGCCAGGCTCGGGCAGGGAAGGCGACCATGGCGGCGAGTCTCGGAGAGCGGCGCCTCTTCGTGGGCGGTCTCGGGCCCTCGGTTACGCAGGACGATGTGTGCGCTCAGCTGGGCCGCTTCGGGGACGTGTCCTCCGTGGAACTCGTGTCTCGGGTGAACGAGCTCGGTAAGGCCGTAGGGGAGGGCGGCCCCGGATCCAGCCCCCGCGCAGGTGCCGCTGCCGAGACACTCTGGTCTTCTGGTTGTGCCACTGGGTCTCTGCGTGTCTGGCCTGCTGGCGTGTGTCCCCGGGCCCGGACCGCTCTCCCTCCCCTCCTCCCGTGAGTCCCGCCTGCTCGGGAAGCTCTCCCCCACCTTAGCTAGTTCTCTCGGCACGTGTTTGTGCACTTATTAGGCGCTTTCTGCGTGCCAGGCTGTGCAGAGAGGGGCCGCCCGTGCAAAGGCTTGGAGGCAGGAGACGGGGAGTCCTGGGGAGGAATGGAAAGGTCGCGGGCGGGGGGTGGGGAGGGGGCTGGAGGCAGCCGACCCCCGGAGCAGCTTCCCACCCCCCTCCTCAGTCTTCGTAGAGCCCAAGGCTGGGCGCCGGCCTAACCGCGTCTGTGTTCTCCCCTCAGGCAGCCCCGAGAAGACCTTCGCTTACGTCAACATCCGGCTGTCCGAGGGAGCCCTGAAGGCCTGTGAGTGTCCGGTGCTGGGGGGATCTGGGGGCCTGGGCCGAAGCGGGCAGAGCTGGGGAAGGTCCCCCCCCCCGCCGAGAGCGGGCAGGTGGGGCCGGAGGAGGGAGCCGGGCCAGCCTGGGCCTAGAGGGAGACGGGCTTTGCTCCACAGGCCTGGCGGCTCTGGACAAGAGCACGTGGAAGGGCAGCGCTCTGCGGGTCCAGCTGGCCAAGGAGAGCTTTCTGCACAGGTGAGCTGTGTGCGCACGCGCGCGTGTGTGTGTGTGTGTGTGTGTGTGTGTGTGTGTGTGTACACAGAGCCTAGGCTGGGGGGAAGGTAGTGAGAAGGGGCTTGGGGGGCTGTGCACAGGGCCTAGGCTGGGGGGGGTGCACTCTAAACACAGGGCCTGGCCGCAGGAGGCACTCAGCAAGTTTCTCTTGACCATGTGAGGGGCAGAGGCGGGGGTTGCCCTCCTAGCATGGAGCAGGCCCTCCATAGGGCTGCGGCTCTGCAGCTTCCTGTGCCTGGCTTTCCCTGCTTCAGTTTCCTTCACTCTGAGGGGGCTCCTCCAGTGGGGGGGGCAGAATAGGGGCTAGGAGGAGCACTGGGGCCTCAACTCCCAGGTGTGTGGCTTGGACTTTCTGAGTGCACGGCACCACTGTTTTGATGCTGTGTTGTTTTGAGTTGTATCTGATTCTCTGTGACCCTGTTTTGGGGGGGGGTTCTTGGCAGAGATTCTGGAGTGGCTTGTCATTTTCTTATCTAAGTCATTTTACAGATGAGGAAATTGAGGCACACAGGGTGAAATGACTTGCCCAGGGTCACACAGGTCAGATTTGAACTCACATTCTTCTGACTCCATGGTTGGTGCTCTATCCACTGCACCATCTAGTTGTCTCTGGACGCAATAACCATGTGTTAAGTGGGTGCTGTGCCTAATATCGTGTGGCCCATAAGGTTTGAATAAGAGGGGCTCCATGTTTTCAGAGCAGCAACTTCCCCCTCCCTTCAGGTGAAGGCTGAATCACACAGAAGACTGAGGTGTGAATAGAGCAAGAACAGACTGGGCCATCTCTCTGCCTGCATGTCACGCTGGCTTCCCGGCAGAGGTGGCATTCGTGTGGCTAGATGGGAGCATTCCTGGCACAGGGAGTGGTCGAGTAGAGGCTCAGAGGCAGGGCAGCATGGAGGACCTGTTGTTGAATGCCCAGCCAAGGAGATCGACTCTAAACCGCTGGAAGACTCTGGCGGATATTGTTATGGGCCTGCCCTGTGCCAGGCCTGTGTGTGATGGTGAAGTAGAGAAGCCGGGAGGAGAAAGGCAGCCCTCCTGGTGGCAGGAGTAGAAAATGAGAGAAACCCAGAAAGAACGCACCCCGGTTAGCACAAAGAGGGAAATGCAAGTCTGGGCAGTAGCATCGGGGGCTGCCGCCGCTCTGTTCACTCCCTCCTGGAAGCATGAATTGTGAACCCTCAGAATTGTAAACCTCCGGGACGTAGCGGGTGGACAGAAGGAGGGCAGGTACACATTGTGAAATCATTCACACGTAGGGGAGCGTTGGAGCTGGGGAAGTCATTGAGAAAGACAGAGAGGGGTGCTGTGCCCAGAGGCCCAGGGAGCGGAGGGCAAGCACCTCTAGGGGACAGGAGGCTTTCTGGAAGGGGGCGCTCTGTCGTGGCTCGCGTCTAGTCCAGAGGGGCTCAGGACTACCAAAGGTTTGAGGAAAGGCTCTACGGGGCCCTGGGGACCTCGGAGGGAGCGAGGCTCCAGAACTGGCAGAGTGCTGTGGCAGGACCCAGAGTGTGGGGGCCGCGGCTGCCCTTTGGGGGGAGAGGAAAGAGGAGAAATAAGGACGCAGAAAACTGGTGGGTTGTGGAGGTGGGAGGGGCCTCAGGCTCAAGATGGTGCCCATCCTCCTGCCAGGGCGGGGTAACTTTGGTCTTTTCCGTTGGTTCTGGGCTCCAGGCTGGCACAGGAGAGGCTTCAGGCCAAGGCAGAGCAGGAGCAGCAGCGCCCAGATGGCACCACGGCAGCTGCGGGGACGAAGGGAGGCCTGGAGCTCTGCATGAAGGCTGTTCCAGGAACAGAGGTCCCGGGACGCAAGGCAGGCGTGGCCCCTCGAGCCCTGGGGCCCAGCGGGGGGGCTGGGAGGGTCCCCCTTGTTCCTGGTGAAGCCCAGCGCGATGGGGCCGCCCGTCCCACCATCCACACTCAGAGGTCAGGATCTGTCACTGTTGGCTCTGCCTTCAGTGCTTGGAATCCGTGTCAGTCATTTGTGTCCTTAACATGTCGTCTTCTTTCTCTTCTAGGACTGGGTCGTGAGTAAGTTTGGGAGAGTGTTACCCATCCTGCACCTTAGAAGCCGGAACAGACGTAAAATATCCTTTCTGATTGATCCATCCGTCTATGGATTCGTGTTTATGAGGTGACACTTGCAGTGACGGTGCCCCAGGGTCTGTCACCTAGTCACCCAGCATCCTGGCTAGCACAGAATGGGAAGTCTACCTGGTGAAATGCACCTCTGGAGTTTGGGGAATGTGAGCTTAGACGATCACGGGGTTGAGATCACTGGAGGAGTGTGGAATTACAGAGGGAATAAGCTCAAGCTTGGGGTGTGATGACCCCAGGCCCGGCTGAGCGCCCACTCAGAGGAGCCTCTCTTCCTGGGCCTCCAAGGGTCTTGCCAGCTTCTGATGGTCTGTGACTGGCTTACGTCTTCCTCGGGATTTAAGAGCAGCTGATGGAAGGCTGGGAAGCCCAGGTGCCCTGTTGCAAGCTGCAGGGAGTCGTCGTAAACCTGGGCAGAAGTGGTGTTTTAGGAATGTTAAAGTCACTCAGCTAGGTGGGATGGATTCAAGAGGGAGGGGGTGTTCTCTGGAAAGATCGACAGTGTCCTTGGCAATGAGTCTGTTTCCATAATCTCCCGGTGAAATGCCATGGATGAGCTAGGAATTGCTTTGGAAAGGAAGGAATTGTAGGTAGGAGAGAGAGTTGCCCAATTCTGAGACCCTTCTTGGAACCCTCACCCAGTCTGTAGTCTCATTGAAGACCAGTCCTGATGATGGGCTGTGTTGGAGTGAGAATGTTATCTTGGGAACCCAGAATGGGCCACTTGGGGCTGCTGGACTCTGTCTTCACCCTCACCCAACCCAGAGTGATTGCTGCCAGCTACTGATGTAGGTACGTGACCTTGAGCCTTGACATGCACAAGCTATAAAGTATTAGAAGTTTAGACCAGTCACTTTTCGGATAACTAAACTCAAGGCTCCAGAGGCCAGACTCGGGGTCCAGTCTGCTGTACCACAGTTGTAAGTTCTGCAGGATTTTTGTTTGTCTGTTGAACAGTTTATGTTTTCCACCTTAACTGTTCCTAACATCTTAAAATATGATCCATCAAAATATTGCCACAACCTGAAGAAGTTTGAACAAGATGTCACAGATGCTGTCTCTATTTCTGACCTCACGTGGAAGTTGGAAGGAGGGGATGACGTGATGAGCAAGAAACGACAAGGCCAGTTTCCTGCCTTCAGAAGCTGTCCTGCTAAGAGAGTGAAGGTGGGGGGCACTCACTGCTCCCCATCCAAGACTGTGGGACGCCCTGAGCCGACATCCCCGGCCCCCCCAAACACAGCACCACAGATGGATGTGCAGAAAGCAGATTCCAGGCCAGCTGATCTTCCTACATCCGGCTTCTCTAAGCGTAAGAACAGTCACAAGCTAGAAGCAGGGTTTCTTCAGACTTCAAAATCCCCCATTGTCAGAGGCAAAAATAGCGTGTCTGATGATGGTACTGATTCTGAAGAAGAATTGAAAGCCGTGATAGCAGAAGAGAAGAAATCACAAAGCACGGCCTTCCCCGAGACAAACAGCACTGAGAAGGATTCCTTTGAAGTGGTTGGCATCGACTTCAAGCCAAAACCAGCCAGGTCAGGGCTCAGACAGAAAAGCCCCCAGGCCCCTGGCACAGGCAGTGCCATTCATCTGGCTGAAGATGACCAAGAGTATGACTTGGGAGACACAGGTGAAATCATTGCCGGGGGGAGAAATGGTGATCAGAGCAAAGACAAGCAAACAGTTTCATCAAAAAACAAATCTAAACAAAAAGAGGACTTTCTGAAAAATAGAGCAAATTGTCCATTTTCTCATCATGCTACAGAAATGAGTAAAAGGAAAAACCTCACAGGTAATGAAGGAGGGTCAATTAATTGCACAAAACGCGTCTCTAAAAAGCTGTCTAGTGTCTCACCTGAATCTGAGCATGGTGAATCTGAAGAAGACCTGGATTATGAGTCCATGATGAGTAACTGCTGTCGCCTTGACCTCACCTTGGCAGACTTAGAAAAGCTGGCAAATGAAGATGCCAAGAGCCCGGGGGGGAAATGCCAGATGTGCCGAGCAGGCTCTCCCCAAGAGACAGGACGTTGGTTCTGGCCAGAAAACTAAGAAGGCTCCCAAAAAAGGGGCTCGGTGCATCAATCCCAGCGACATTTTGGCTTCCCTCTTGGAAGGGGAAGAGAAAGTCAGTGACCAGAACCCACCGAAGAACAATATGTTGAAGTCCAAGTTTCAGGCTTTCAGAGGCGTGGGAGCGCTCTATAGAGGGGAGAAACCCAAAAAGCCCTGTAAGAACAGTGGCATTGCCACTCAGGTAAAAGAACAGAATTCATTGAGACAGGAAACATCCCTTGGCAGTTCTGCAGGAGAACAAGCCTTTGATTTGATCACTTGTTCCAGTGATGAAATGTCCCCGCCTCAAGATGGGAAGGAAGCAGATGGAGCCAAGAGTCTTCCATGTTGTCCTGGAAAACTTCCCAGGAGGCAGCCAGCCAGTGGAGACCAGCGTGGTGCTGTGCACTCACCCTCCTCCCGTTCTGAATGTGAAAATGCTTCTGTTTCTAGCCCGTCATCATCAGGTGCTAAGAAACCCTTGAGTCTTCATGCAGAGCCTTGTAGGACAGACTTGGGAAGTGATGATGGCCTTGGCACCCCAGAAATGGGAGACCCCGAGTGGGAAAGGAGTGGTTTCATCACTGTCGGGCCTTCTACAGGTCTGGAGCCCAGGCATGAGCTGGCAGTTCTGGAAACAGATTCCCAGAAACCTCTCAAGCTCTCTGTTGGGAGGGACGGTGTGCCTTCTCGTGTGCGAGGAAAGGACCCAGAGGGGTCTCGGGCAAGGGAGACTGAATGCCCACCTTCTTATGTGTCTCCAGCTGGTGCCATCAGCCCTCCTCAGAACTGTCAGGATAATCAGAAACGCTTGGCAGCCCTAGAGGAAAGGAGAAGAGAGTGGGAGCTGCAGAAGCGGCTGGTTCACAGTGCTTTGTCCAGCCTGGTGAGTGCCTCCCAGTAAACGCTGGCAGAGGCGCTTTCCCCTGAGTCAGCGTTCTCCCCGACAGCTGGGTTGGGGGGCTGAGCATACCCTCAGGTCTCTGTGGGACGAGCCGCGCTCTCACCGCATCAGCCCTCTTTGGAATCAGCACGTGGGTGAATGTTTAGTCCATGCTAGCGGGGCAGCCGAGGGACCGGCAGGCTCTCCAGGGCTCGGCACGTCTGAAGGAATTTCAAGGCTGCTGGGAACAGGGCCCGCAGAGATGATGCCCACCTGCTGGGGCAGCGTCTGGCCCGTGTCGACAGTCTGGATTCAGGGTTGTGGTGAGCCTTGGTGTTCTCTCTGACGTGTTTCGTATTTCCCCAGGACGGCCCTCCAGCAAGCAAACCAACTCACATCCTGTTCAGCTCCAGCAGTGAAGACGAAACAGAAGAAGACAGTGACAGAAGGCCTCTTCCAGGCAGCGGAGGCAGACGAGTAGGTGGCGGAGGCTCCTTTGGGGGCCCCACGTGGGCGGCAGTGATCAGCAGGCCATCCGGCAGACTCAAGCTGCTGTTCGCGGCTCCCTCACCTTCCTCCTTTCTTGAGCCTCCCTTTCCTTCATCCTCCCTTCTGGCTGGGCTGCCCCATCTTCTGTTCTCTGCACATCGGGCGGCTTCAGGTTTCTTGCTTTGACTCTTCAACACCTAATGAGAGTCTCTGTTCCATGATTCCCATCTCTGCCTCCCAGTTTCTCCAGTATGTCCCGCGCTGCTTTATGTAGCAAGGCAGAGTTGGGCTTGGAAGGAAGAAGACCCGAGTTCAAATCCTTTTTGTGCCACTTGGTTTAATGTGGTGAATTCTCTAGGCCACATGACTCATGGTTGTACACTTCATTTTCAAATAGAAGGGAAAGGATTCTTACTGTAAATTAGGATATATTTATGTGACATGAAGCATAAAACTTTGTTGCAAAAAAGGAATTGCTGTTTCCTCCTAAATGGTTGTGGGGTTTTTGTTTTGTTTTGTTCGTTAAGGATTTGGCCAGTAAAACCTCTGGGAAGCTCTTTGAGAGCAGTGAGGACGAGGAGCAGGAGACTGATGACGAGGCCCGGTTCCAAATTAAACCCCATTTTGAAGGCAGAGCTGGAAAAAAGGTTGGTTAGTGCTGAGGGCAAACGTGATTGTTAACTGTTCCCTTCTTCAGCCTGAGTGACAGCTGCGGCACATTCTGCTGGGTCAGCAAGCGCGTGTCGCAGAGAGCAGGACGTCTGTGATTCTTTTCTGGTTTGGGTGGGAAGCTCTGAGGGTGGTGAGGAGGAGTCATCTGGCTTCAAAAAGGCATCATGGTGCAGTGGGTCAAGGGCAGGGCTGGAAACCACAAAGCTCTGGGTTCGAGTTCTGCCTGTGACCCTCGACAAGTCAAACAATCCCTTGGTGCTCCGGCAACTCTCACTGGCTCTGAGTTTGAGGGATGGGGCTGACCTTCCTTAGCAGAAGTTTTCTGCTGTGGGAATCCCTCTACCAGTGAGAAATCCTAGGTCCAGGCCCCGCTCTGTCCTCCCATGGGATCTGGTTACTCATTGTCTGTATCTTCTGTTGGGCAGCTCATGAGTTTACAATCCCACTTTGGCACTGATGACCGGTTTCGAATGGACGCTCGCTTTCTGGAAAGTGAGAGTGAAGAGGAAGAGGAGGGTGAGTTTGACTATTCCTTTGGTTTTTCTGTTGACAACCAGACAATGCTAATCTTACTGGAAGAATGTCATTGATCTCCAGAAATGGCCCTGTTCGTCCTTCCTAATTTAATAACCGAGCAGAGATCCACAGCCTGGAGCACTTGGCACAGCGCATTCTTTGCATGGTACCGGGGACTCACCCCTCTCGTGTTCCACCCCTTTTTCTCATGCTTTCAGCCTATGTCGTTGGACCCCACACTGCCATCTTGAGATTTAGGACCCCATCCCCCCACCCTTCCTGCCTCTCTTTTCCTGTCTGTTCTGACTCTTGTTCCTTGGAGAGGAAAGGGATGAAGGAATGTCATGGAGAGAGAGCAGCAGCAAGCCAGGCAGAGGGTTAGATGTATGTTTGACGTGTGCATGTGGCGCAAGACGGGGCGGCTTTCACAATGGTGCCAGGATTGAGAATCTGAGTGAGTAAGACAGGCGGGGCCTCGAGCTGAGTGCTGGAAGAAACCAGGTTCACTCTGCCCCCACGAAGCATCAGGAGAGACTTTGTGGTTACAGCACGTGCCCTTGGGCAGGATGGCAGCCAGGAGTCTCCTCTGAAACATACTTTCTTTTTTTCTTTTTCTTAGTATTTTTTCCCAATTGCATGTAAAGATAGTTTTTAACATTCATCTTTTTAATTTTTTTTTAATTTAATATTTTATTTCTCCAGTTTTATGTAAAAACTTTTTTTTTTAACTTTTTTTGCTAGGCAGTGGGGTTAAGTGACTTGGGGTCCCACAGCTAGTGAGTGTTATGTGTCTGAAGCTGGCTTTGAACTCAGGTCCTCCTGACTCCAAGGCCGGTGCTCTATCCACTGCGCCACCTAGCTGCCCCTAAAAACAATTTTAGCATTTGTTTTTAAAAAATTTTTGAGTTCTAAATTCTCCCCCTTCCTTTCCCCATCATTGAAAAAGCAAGCAATTTGATATAGGTTTATATGTGTGCAGTCATGCAAAATATATTTCCATGTTAGTCATGTTATGGAAAAACCAGAGACCAAAAAAAACTCAAGAAAAATAAAGAAAAGGTCTGCTTCAATCTGCATTCAGACTTCATCAGTTCTTTCTGTGGGGATGGAGAGCATTTTTTTACCATTAGCCCTTTGGAGTTGTCTTAGATCATTGTGTTACCAAGAATAGCTAAGTCATTCATAGTTGATTATCATACAGTATTGCTGTTAATGCATCAATAAATATAAATGTAATGCAAAACATAAACAGATATAAATCTTCTGAGGTTTTTCTGCACCCGTCCTGCTCATTATTTCTTATAGCACAACAGTATTCCATTACATTCATATACCACAGCTTGCTTGGGCATCCTCTCAATTTCTAGTTCTTTGCCACCACAGAAAGAGCTGCCGTTAATATTTTTGTGCACGTGGGTCCTTTTCCCGTTTGTGTGATCTCTTTGGGACACAGCCCTAGAAGCGCTGTTGCTGGGCCAAAGAGTGCACAGTTTTGTAGCATAGTTTGGGCATAGCTCCAAATTGCTCTCCAGAGTGGTTGGATCAGTTCACAACTCCACCAGCAGTGCGTTAGTGTCCCAGTTCCACATCCTTTGCAGTGTTGGTCGTTTTCCTTTCCTGTCATATCAGACAATCTGACAGACGTGAGGTGGCGCCTCAGAGTTGTTTTAATCGGCATCTCTCCTACCAGTGACTTAGAGCATCTTTGAGGACCGCAGATGACTTTGATTTCTTTGTGCACTGCCTGTTCACGTCCTTTGAGCGTTTACCAATTGGGGAATGACTTGTGTTCTCAGGCATTTGGCCCCATTCTCTCTGTGTCTGGGAAATGATGCCTTTCTCGCCCTGGCCGTGACAGTTGTGAGCCCTCCCTCCCAGCACCATCCTGAGGCCCAGGAGGCTTTTAGGCCCTCGTCCCCCTGGGTGGCACAGCGGCTGGCCTTTGGGGGAAATCATTATTGAGCCGAGGATTGATTCCATTCTTCACATACGATAACAATCAAAATCTCAACTTTTTTCATGCATCATTTAGTTTTTAAAAAACATTTTAAACGTGCCCTTGGTTCAGCATTATTAGTTCTTCCTTGGGCCTCTAGGTGGCGCATTGCACAAAAACCCAAGTTCAAATTCCACCCAACACTGGCTGGGTGACCCTGGGCAAGTCACTTCACCCTGTTTGCCTCAGTCTCCTCATCTGTAGAAGTAGCTGCAGAGGGAAGTGGCCAACTACTCCAGTACCTCTGCCAAGAAAACTCTAAATGGGGCCAAAGAGTCGGACACAGCTGAAATGACTGAACAGCTAAGCGAGTTCTCAGCGCTGGCCGCCTTTTTGTCCCCTTTGTAATAAAGGAAGCTTGTCCATCTTACGGAGAAGGGAGTGGGCCCAGTGCAGGTGAAGGCAAGCTCGGTCTACAGCCGCAGCCTGGGGCTCAGATGATGTGGCTCCTTGTTCCCCCGCGTGGCTTCAGGGCACCCTGGACCCTGGCATCATCATATATGACACGAGAAGGGGTGGGATGCACGGCCCCTCAGGTCCCACCCCCCAGTCTGAGTCTCTAAGCTTCAGCAGCAGCAGCCTTTACTGTGCGTCCGCTGTGTGCCAGACCCTGGGCTGGGTGGGGAGAAAACATGCCAACGACACAGGACAGATCGGAGATAGTCTCAGGAGGGAGGTGTGAGTGTTGGGGACAGGTGGTGCTGGAGAGGCCTTGGGCAGAAGGTGGACTTTGAGTGGCCTTGAAGGAAGCCAGGGATGGTGGAGGGAGATGGATGCAGCCATGAGGGCTGAGGCCAGGTTCTGTACTGGCCTAAAGGGGGCTCTGTCCCCCATGAGCCCTCATGGTCTCATACAAAGGATAGTTTCTAACATTTCAGACTCTACTTTACCTTCAAGAGATAAAAAAAGCAGAGACAGCCGAGAAAGAGGAGCTCATTGCTGAGAAAAAGAAAAATATGGAGGTGATTAAAAACATCCTGCACGTCAGCCATCAGGCTCTGAAACTGAGCAAAGAGGAAACGGCTGCAAAGCAGTTCAGGTGCGTGCTCTCCGTTGGGTCAGCCAGGCCCTTCAGAGCCAGCGAGGGCCTCGTCCGTCACGGGCACTAGCCTGGGTGGTGGACGAGGCCGCGGGCAGGCACAGAGGGTCCGTGGGCGACAGGAGGGCCCCTGAGACCCCAATCCTGCCCTGCCTGGGTACTGGGAAGCTGCCTCTCCAGGGCTTCTGCTGACCCCTCTGCTCTTGACCATAGGAACATCGTACGCTATGACCCGACGAGATTGGACCATGCCGCGTTTGAAAGAAAAGTCGACCCTGAGGAAAAGGAAAGGTAAGTGCCTCACTGTCCTCGTCATTCCCTCGCACACACCCACACCCTCCTTCCCAGGGGGAGTGGACATAGAGTGTGACGAGAGGCTGTGTGGTCATCTCAGTTCTCAATTTGGGACCTTAGGGTGCATCCCCTAAGTTTTCGTGACTGCAGCCCCTCAAAACAAGTGATCTTAACTATGAAAGAGCTTTCAGATTTCTTACTATTCTAGCAAATGCCTGTTGATTGATTGGTAATATTAATTAAGAAGCATTTATTGAGCATCCCCTAGGTACTAGTTAATGGGGGGGATGCAAAGATTAAAATTCTCTCTAATGATGAAGACGAGGCTTTCGCTATATGCACACCCTGCCCTTCCTCTCCCAGGCATTTTTTCTGCGTGTATGCATGCATGTGTGCATACAGAGAGAAAGACAAAGCCCTGAATAACAAGGTTGGGAGGGTGGCATGAGAGAAGGCTTCACCTCGGAGGGATGGGGCGTGCTGTGGAGTGGGGGTCAGCAGAAGGTGGCCCTGTGGGGCAGGGGGAGTCCAGTGCTGGCACAGAGGGGAGATGGATTGTTACAGGGAAAGAACCAGGAGACGGTCCCAGTTGCCATGTGTGAGGGGGTAGGCGGGAAGGTACATTGGAGCATCTGTGAAAGGAGCTGCTGGCATCGATTGAATGGAGGGGCTGGGGTTCAGCCACAAGGCACAGGATGGACTGGAGAGGCAGGGTCAGATGGGAAATGTCAGGGCTGTGTGGGGTGGGGGCTGGGGTGCTGTGCCAGGTGGTGCCAAGGCCAGACTGGAGGGCCGTGTCTTGGTAGCTTGGTCAGAAGCAGTTTGGAGCAGGCGAATGTCCAGCCCGCGATGGGTGGGAGCATAAGGGACGGGACGCTCAGTGGTGGGAGTTGGCTGCGTGGACTCCGGGTCACTCTTCCCTTGGGGGTGTGACTCGCCTCCTGCTTCTCCAGTTTGTCCATCTCTTTGCTGTAGCAGCTTCATTTCATGTCCCTTGTCTACGGCCTAACGCCATAGCCCCTGGGGCTCCGTATTGCCTTTGGGAGCACATACAAAACACCTTGTTTGGCATTCAGAGCCCTTCAGAACTGGCCCCTCCTGCCTTGCCAGTCTCCTTACACTCCCCCCCAGCCCAGGGGCCTTCTCCAGTCCTGATCCTTTTCTACCACTGGACCCAGATGGCTCTGGAGGAGAGAGTGAGGCAGGTGACTGCCCAGCTTCACTTCAGTCCAGCTCACTTGCGTGTCATGGCGTACCCTCCCTGATGTCATGGTCCTCTTTGAGGACAAAGGACAGACCACAGCACGCCAGCCTCTGGGCTGTGCGCCCCTCGGCTTGAGCATCTCCCATACCTGCAGTCCTCTGCCTCCTGACCACCTGGCACCTTTTACAGGAAGCCGTCCCCAGCCCCTCCATCCTGTTCACCATCTCCTGCTCATCCTGTATGTGGCTGGTTTGTACATATCTGTCTGCGTGTTGTCTCCTCTTAGAGGGTGAGCTCTTTGAGGGCAGGGACCGTCTTCTACCTCTTCTTGTCTGCACAGTGCTTGGCACAGTGCCCAGTGCTCAGTAGGTGCTTAATAAAGCCTGCTGACCAACATAGAGAAAGTAGAGGAACAGTCTGGTAGCAGTGAGCGACACTGGAGGCCACGTTCTGTGGCCCACGGTCCTGCACCTCCTTTTTCAGAGAACTTGTGGTGAAGAGTGTGTCCACATAAGGTGGACTGCCACTTCCCTTTCCTGCCTCTCAGACCCTTGTCTCTGTTCTTCACGACAGCAAAGCCAAACGCAGAAAGAAAAGAGAAGAGGCCGAGAAGCTTCCCGAAGTGTCCAGAGACCTGTATCACAGCATTGCCGCCGATCTCAAGGAGAGATTCAGGGCTACAGAGCCGGCCCCGGGCGCGGGAGCTGCCGGCCCTTGGAATGAGACTCCTGAGGAGACAGAGATGGCCACGGCCACGGCCCCAGGAGCACCCGACCCCCCGGGAGGCCTCGGCGAGTTCACCTTCTCCTTCTTTGGCCCGGACGTCGGTGAGGTCAAGCAAGGTAAAGAGGGGCCGTGGGGCTGTTCCCCGGCCCCAGCAGCAGCCCGCTGGCTATCAAGACAGAGCGCTGGCCTGGAGGCAGGAAATCCGGCAGTCCAGCAGTCCTGCTACTGGGTCACCCTGGGCAGGTCATCACAAATTAAGTGTCATTGTAGCACCTGGTGAGGCTGTGCTCGATAGGTGCTCTGTGCCTGGTGTGTAGTAGGCGCCGTAGAAATGGACCGAGCCCCTGCCCTCTGCAGACAAAGGCGGCCCGGGTCATGACACCTGGGGGCCTCTTAGAGCTGAGGTTTGACGGGCCAGCCGGCAGGCCCCTGGGCCTCGAGGCTCCCTCTGTGCTTAGGCCCCATGGGCCCTGAGTAGTGACTGGAGTTGGGGCTTCACAGCCTTGAGCAGGTTCATTCCTAACACTCGCTCGACTGGGGGTGTCCTTTGTCCCCCAAGTCCCATGAAGCCGTCTCCTCCGTCTGCTTTGTCATTTCTGGTTTTTAGCTTGGGGGGGGCGGTCTTTCACCCCATGCCATGTGTTCTCGAGCCCATGTTGGGGGGGGGCTGAGGCCTTTGGGTCAGCCTTCTGAGAGGACCCCAAGGCTTTAGGGGGGCTCAGGCCCAAGGAGCTCACTCCTTTTTCTGCCAGGAAGAGTGCAAGGAGGTTTTGGGTCATGGGGTGGATGTCTTACAGCCACAAGGGAGAAGCAGAGGAGAGAGCTCAGACACCTTGGAAGTTAGGCTTGGCCCTGCCGGTGCTGGCTCCCTGTGGCCCTTGTCTAAGGCCCCCCAGCTGACCTTTCCAGAGGCGCCCTGCAGGCCTCTTCTGTAAGCCGGAAAGGAGGGTGTGAGAGCTGTGCCAGGGAGCAGAGGCAGGGTCACCCCCTAATGCCCACTCTGAGGTGCACGCTCTGCCTAAGGAAGGGACTCTGTCTTGATGCTGGGAAGATTCCGGGGTGGGATCCCCACTAGCCATGGCGGGGGGGAAGGAGGTGTTCCCTGGCCGAGGTCACACGGCCAGCAAAGGGCCAGTGCTCTGGCCTTGGGTCTGCTGCTTGTCACCTCCGGCCCCCAGCTGAGGTCCCCAGGGCAATGTCTGCAATGCGGATCGTAGGTGGCTCTTCCCTCAGCCTCTCGGGGGCTTCCTCTTTTTAAACTAGACACCTCCAGGAAAGCCCGTGAGCCTGGCATGAGCAGCTGCTTCCCTGGTCAGGAAGGGATTATTGTTTTATGCCAGGCTTCCCGTTGAGAGAGCTTGGAAATAGGGGAGCAAGTCCAGGCAAAATCAGCAGCCTTGGTGGGAGCCCTGAGTCTGCTGCTTGGCTGCCCTCCCTTCTGTGGGCCCCTGACTCCCTTCTCTCCGTGTGTAGACCCGTACAGGACTGAAGCCAGGCTTCCTGGGCACATGGCCTGGCAGCAGGACCCTCGTTTCCAGGACAGTAGCTCGGAGGAGGACGAGGAGGAGCCCAAGCCTGTGGTTGGGAGCCAAGAAGTGGCCAGGCCAGAGTAAGCCAGGCTCGAGAGTCATCTGTGGGCCCCGGGAGGTGAGGGGGAGGGGGTGGTTCTAGAGCATTGAGTGAAATGCCCACAGCTGGGAGGGGGCCCCTCATGCTCTGTGGTCATGGACATGACCAGAGCTCTCTAGGCTTGTTGGCAGTGGAAGAGCTGGGGAGTCACTGGGGCAGGGGGCAGCTGACCTCCTGCAGAGGTCCTGAGCCATGGAGGGAGTGTCCTTGCTGTCTGGCCCTCCCCAGACCAGCCGTGGGCCTCTGGGCCAATCACGGATCCTCTCGGGCTTCCTTTGAGAGCTCTTTGATCTGCTTGGAGGAGGGTGAGGTGTGTGGGGGTGTCCCACTTGTGTCTGTGTCCATAGAGGAAATGCTCTGTGACTACCGATCAGGCCTGTGGGATGCTGGAACCCCCGCTCCACCGCAGAACATCATTGGGCCTCCTTATACACACACAGGCCTGCGTGTCCTGAGCCAAGGTCACTTGTGGTGCATTGTCTATCTAGCCTTGTCCAGCACTTTGTGGCTGACGCCCCTTTGGTTTACTGATGAAAGCTGGGAACTTTGACAGAAATCAGAGGTGCCTCCCTGATCCAGGCCACCGCTGGCCTGGTGCTTTCACCTCCTTGGTGACAAGTCAGTCTGTCCCTTTATATCGGATCCTCCCACCCTCCCTCCCAGTGAATGGGGAGGCCTGGGGCCAGAGGAAGAGGAGGAGCACAGCAGGAAGACAGAGACCCCAGCTCTTGTGCCGTGGAGGCTGGGCCAGCCGGCTCTGTCGTCCCCAAAGCGCTCGGCCTTGGCCTGCCTGGTGAAGCAAGACCTTGGGGGAATGATACTCAGACCCTGCCAGGCTACCAGTGCTGGACTATCCCTGCTCACTTGCATTGGAAAGTAAATGCTTCTCTCTGTGTTTCTCCAGGGAAGCACAACCATTGGAAAAACCAGCCAGGAGATTTTTCTTTTTCTCCGAGAATGATGAAAGATTACGTGGTAAGGCTGGTTTTGGTTTTTATTTTAATTGGCAAAATATGTCTAGTCTAGGCTCTGAGAGGTTACAGCGCTGCACCCTTAGGGGCCCTGGCTAGAAGGCTGGCTTGGTGTTCTGGAGTCAGCCCCTGAGGGCAGGGTGGGGCACAGCCGGCCACCCTCAGGCCTCAGGGCAGGCAGTGGGCATGAGGGCAGGGTCACTCTTTTTCAGCTGGGGGATTTCTGTTAATACTCTACAATGAGAGCAGCCTGTCTTGGAGGAGCCTGGGGAGCTTGGAGGGCTCTCTGGCCTGACCGCCCACCAAGGAGGAAGCCTGCCTGACCCGAGGCAGGAAGTCCCTCTCCCCGCCCGGGTCTCCAGGCAGCCCCAGCAAGGGGGAGGTGTCCTGTCACCTTTCGCGCCACACCTCGTCCAGCTGCTGCACAGCCTGCTCTGGACTGATCCCTCCCTTGACCTGCTTATCCCTGATGCTCACCTGCTCTTCCCCTCCTGTTTCCTTGTTAGGTCAGTGATTTCTGTACCCAGCTCTGTGTGTGTGTGTGTGTGTGTGTGTGTGTGTGTGTGTGTGCGTGCGTGCGTGCGTGCGTGCGTGCGTGCGTGTGCCTACGTGTGTATGTTTTTGCATTGCACACAAATGTGTGCATGTGAGTGGTGAGTGTGCGAGGTGGGTGTGTGCATGTGTATACATGTGTGGCGTATGAGTGCACGTCTGCATGTCTAGTGTCTGTGTGTGTGCATGGGATCATCCCTCCTTTGAGCAGTTCAGAAGAGAGGGAGCTTTGAGTGTCAGTGCCTTCCCCCAGCATGCATGCGTGTGCGTGCGCTCTCGCGCGCTCTCTCTCTCTCTCTCTCTCTCTCTCTCTCTCTCTCTCTCTCTCTCTCTCTCCCCCTCCCTTCCTCCCTCCCTCCCTCTCTCTCTCCCTCTCTCTCTGTGTGTTTTCTTCCACACCCTTTCAAGTCCTGGAGAGCCTGCAGAGCCACCCCTAGGTCCTGTGTGTGGGGCCCCTGAGTTGTCTCTCTGTGCTAGAACTAAGCGGTTACCCCTTCTGGCCCGTCCCCTCAAGTTGACCCTTCCCACTCTTCTCAGCTTCCCCCTTAGCATCCCTCCTCGGCCCTGGCTCTGTCCTTGCTGCGCAGCAGGTCTGTTTCCTCTGCAGGACTAGGCTGTGTTTGGGCTACTTTCTCTTGGCGGGGTGACCCTGCCTGGAACTGCTCCCTCCTCAAGCCTGTCATCCTTGCCCTGGGCCCTGGAGGCACGAGAAGGGGAGGTGCTCCCTGGGTGGCCAGTCTTTGTGACGGCAGTTTTGCCCCGAGGTTCTTCACCTCTCCTAACTGTAACCCTGAATGCATGACGGTTCTCATACCCTGAGAGCTGTGTTTCTTTTTTTTTAAATTTTATTAGTTTATTTTAATTTATCAGCAATCACTTCCATATGCTTTTGAGTTGAAAATTTTTCTCCCCCTTCCTCCCCACCACCTTCCGCAAGATGGCACACAATCTGATATAGGTTATACATTTACATTCCTATTAAACATATTTTCACATTAGTGAAGTTGTAAGTAAAAATTAAAACCAATAGGAGGAACCATCAGAAAGAGGAAACAAAACTCAACAGAAGAGAAAAAAATGATAGCGATTCAACTTCCGTATTTCTTTCTTTGGATGTGGACAGCATTTCCCATCACGAGGCCTCTGGAGATGTCTTAGATCATTGTAATGCTGAGAAGGGTTCAGTTTAACAGTATTAGTCATTGCATAACATGGCTGTTATTGTGTACAAAGTCCTCTTGGTTCTGCTCACTTCACTCAGCATCAGACCATACAAGTCTTTCCAGATTTTTCTGAAGTCAGCCTGTTCATCATTTCTTATAGCACAATAGTATTCCATTACATTCATATACCACAACTTGCTCAGCCATTCCCCAGTTGATGGGCATCCTCTCAATTTCCAATTCTTTGCCACCACAAAAAGAGCTGCTATGAATATTTTTGTACATGTGGGTCCTTTTCCCATTTGTTTGATCTCTTTGGGATACAGCCCTAGAAGTGCTATTGCTGAATCAAAGGGTATGCATATTTTTGTAGCCCTTTGGGCATAGTTCCAAACTGTTCTCCAAAATGGTTGGATCATTTCACAACTCCACCAACAATGCATTAGTGTTCCAGTTTTCCCACATCTTCTCCAGCATTTATCATTTTCCTGTTTTGTCATGTTGGCCAATCTGATAGGTGTGATGTGGTACCTCAGAGTTGTTTTGATTTGCATTTCTCTAATCAATAACTATTTAGAGCATTTTTTCATATGACTATAGATGGTTTTAATTTCTTCATCTGAGACCTGTCTGTTCATATCCTTTGACCATTTATCAATTGGGGAATGGCATGTATTCTTATAAACTTGTCTTAATTTTCTATGTATTTTAGAAATAAGGCCTTTATCAGACACTGGTTGTAAAAATTCTTTCCCAATTTTCTACCTTCCTTCTAATCTTAGTTGCATTGGCTTTGTTTGTGCAAAATCTTTTCAATTTAATGTCATCAAAATGATCCATTTTGCTTTTCATAATGCTCTCTATTTCCTGTTTGATCGTGAAGTCTTCTGTTCTCCATAGATCTGATAGGTAAACTCTTCCTTGTTCTCCTAGTTTGCTTACAAATATCAGCCTTTATATCTAAGTCCTGAACCCATTTTGACTTTATTTTGGTATATGGTGTGAGATTTGGGTCTATGCCTAGTTTCTGCCATACTCTTTTCCAGTTTTCCCAGCAGTTTTTTTCTTTTTCTTTTTGGGCTTTTTTTTTTTTAAGCAATGGGGGTTAAGAGACTTGCCCAAGGTCAACCCAGCAGTTTTTTTTTCAAAGAGTGGGTTCTTATCCCAGAAGCTGGGGTCTTTGGGTTTATCAAATAATAGATCACTATAGTCATTGACTACTGTGTCTTGCATATTTAACCTATTCCACTGATCCACCACTCTATTTCTTAGCCAGTACCAAGCAGTTTTGATGACTGCTACTTTATAATACAATTTAAGATCTGGAATTGCTAGGCCACCTTCCCCTGTATTTCTTTTCATTAGTTCCTTTGATATTCTGGACCTTCTGTTCTTCCAAATGAATCTTGTTATTATTTTTCTAGCTCTGTAAAATAATTTTTTGGTAGTTTGGTTGGTATGGCACTGAATAAGTAAATTAGCTTAGGTAGGATTGACATGTTTATTATATTAGCTCGGCCTACCCATGAGCAACTGATGTTTTTCCAGTTATTTAGATCTGATTTTATTTGTGTGAAAAGTGTTTTGTAATTGTGTTCATACAGTTCCTGGGTTTGTTTCAGTAGGTAGACTCCTAAATATTTTATAATGTCTACAGTAAGTTTAATTGGGATTTCTCTTTCTATCTCTTGCTGCTGGGCTTTGTTGTAATGTAATAGAAATGCTGATGATTTATGTGGGTTTATTTTATAGCCTGCAACTTTGCTAAAGTTGTTTATTATTTCAAGTAGTTTTTTACTTGATTCTCTAGGATTCTCTAAGTATATCATCATGTCATCTGCAAAGAGTGATAGCTTTGTTTCTTCTTTGCCTATTCTAATACCTTCAATTTCTTTTTCTTCTCTTATTGCTAAAGCCAGTGTTTCCAGTACAATATGGAATGACAGTGGTGATAATGGACATCCTTGTTTCACCCCCGATCTTATTGGAAATGCTTCTAGCCTGTCCCCATTACATATGATGCTTGCTGAAGGTTTTAGATAGATGCTATTTATTATTTTAAGGAAGACTCCATTTATACCTATGCTTTCCAGTGTTTTTAATAGGAATGGGGATTGTATTTGGTCAAGCTTTTTCTTCATCTATTGAGATGATCATGTGGTTTCTGTTGGTTTTGGTGTTGGAGAGCTGCGTTTCTGAAAACATTTCGGTGCTCCGCGGTGGGGAAGCCAGACATCGGGAGAGCACTGCCCCTAGAGAGGGGATTGGGAGGGGTGCCGTATTTCACTGTGGCCGAAGAAAAGAAACGAAAGTGAAGCAGCACCGTGTTGCCCTCAGAGTCAGTGAAAGTTGTGGCAGAATCCACGGGCATTGCTCAAATGCCTGAAGAGACCTGCTAGCTGTTAACAGATGAAGTCAGCCATCGTATTAAGGAGATTGCACAGGATGCCCTGAAATTTATGAAAATGGGGAAGCAGCAGAAGCTCACAACAAGTGACATAGACTGTGCCCTGAAGTTGAAGAATGTTGAACCTGTGTATGGGTTTCATGCCCAGGAATTCATCCCATGCCGGTTTGCCTCTGGTGGGGGCCGGGAACTTTATTTCTGTGAGGAGAAAGAGGTTGATCTGAGTGACATCATTAACACTCCCCTACCCGTGTCCCCCCTGATGTCTGCCTCAAAGCTCGTTGGCTGAGAATTGAGGGCTTTTTAGCCAGCTATCCCAGAGAACCCACCTCCAGCCCCAAAGAGCGGCAAAAGGCTGAAGCAACAGAGCTCTTGAAATATGCAAAGGCAGGACAGGAAGAGGATGGACCACTGAAAGGCAGAGGTCAAGGAGCTGTATCAGCAGACGGGAAAGGGAAAGAAAAGAAAGCTCCACCCCTTCTGGAGGATGCCCCACTGAGACTGAAGCCTCAGAGTATCCGTGAGTTATTTGTGGAGCAGCAGCTGTACTATAAGGAGATAACTGAGGCCTGTGTAGGGTCATGTGAGGCCAAGAGAGTGGAAGCTCTCTAGAGCATTGCTGCAGACCCTGGACTTTATCAGATGCTGCCAAGGTTTAGCACTTCCATTTCTGAGGGGGTACATGTGAATGTTGTTCAGAACAGTTTGGCCCTGCTTATCTACCTAATGCGAATGGTGAAGGCTCTGATGGATAATCCGACACTGTACCTGGAGAAACGTGTACACAAGTTGATTCCTGCTGTGGTGACTTGTATTGTGACCCAACAGCTGTGTCTTTGACCAGATGTCAATAATCACTGGGCACTCAGGGATTGTGCAGCTCGCCTGGTAGCTCAGATCTGCAGACATTTTAGTCTGACTACCATCAACATGCAGTCCCGGATCACAAAGCCCTTCACCAAGAGCTGGGTAGATGCGAAGACACCCTGGACTGCCCGTTACGGCTCTATCCATAGCCTGGCAGAACTTGGACACGATGTCATTAAAACGATTCTCCCAAGGCTTCAGCAGGAAGGTGAGCGGATTCAAAGTGTCCTAGATGGCCCTGTGTTGGGCAGCATTGACCGGATTGGAGCCGCTCATGTGCAGAGCCTCCTTTTGAAACATTGTGCCCCAGTGCTGGCAAAGCTGCGGCCGCCACCAGATAAGCAGGATGCTTCTCGGACAGACTTTGGTTCCCTAGGACCTCTTCTGTGCTCTCACGTGGTCAAGACCCGGGCACAGGCTGCCCTACAAGCCCAGCAGGTTTACAGGACCACACTGACCATCACACAGCCCCTGCCTGCACTGACACTCTCCCAGGCCCTCGAACCACTGGGCTGCTGAAGGTTCCTGGCTCCATTGCATTACCTGTTCAGACGCTGGCGTCTGCAAGGGCTGCAGCGCTCCCCCAGCCTTCCGCACCTCCAACCAAGTTCATAGTCACGTCATCTTCCTCTGGGTGCCTCGTTTTCACAGCAGGTCCTGTCTCTTAGCACAGCAGCCCCTGGCTCTGGCTCTTCCACCATCTGGGGTGGGCAAGGGAGGGCCAGCTTCCAACGCTTCTCCAGCTCCTCCTCCATCGTCGTCTTCCCCTTCTCCCCTTGGGGGTGGCTCCCTTTCTGGAGCAAAACAGGATATTGGGGATAGTCCCCCTCCAGCTCCTGGTACTGCTAAGGCCAATGGTTCACATCCCTCTAGTTCCAGCTCTCCTCAGCCTACCCTCTGAAAGCTTCATACAAAGGCTCCTACAAAATGGTATTCTCACATTCAAATACAAATTCTCATTGATGTTATTACATTTTGGTTTGGGGTGAGGAGTAGTCACCTCTCCCCGTCAGCTGTCTTCAGATATGTCCCACTGTACAGACTCCTCCCCAAAAATAAAACAGTTCAGTGTGTAATCACAGATCTACCAGAGTTCTTTTAAAGTCCAAGAAAGAGGACTAGAGCCAGATTCTTATTACCCTGCCAGGACCTATGCATCCAACTCTGTCTCTGCTGGTGACAATGGTGGTAGAAACATTCCATCATTCTTCCTTTGCAGAGGCAGGTTGACATAGCACTCCCACTTTGGGTCTCAGATCCGGATGACATAAGTATCGCTGTGGCTTAGGTGTCTCACCAACGTATGTGGGGAATTGTTGCCAGGAGTTCCAGGGGCTGTGAGCTGAAGAAACTGAACCTGGAGTCCTGAGCAAGTGTACCGAGGCAGCTCGAATGAGAGGCTTGCAGGACCTAAGCCCAGAGGAGGGGCTGGGCTTGGGGGTCAGGAAGTCCAGGGACATCCATCTGGGAAGAAGAAAGTGTGGGTAGAGGGTGAGCTTTGGATCTTGAATGGGGAGAAAGCTATGTAGTTCTGAAACTGCATCAGTATCTTACCTGCCTGAACCATGGGCCCACTGCACAGAGGGAAAGAGCCGGAAGGGGAGTGGGGAAGGTCATCAGAGAGTTGATACCGTATTACAGTCAACTGTAAACACGGAAACATGCCAGCCTGGGCCCTTCTCATCTCCCCTCGAATCTCCCCACACTTCCTTATTGTAGAGCACTGGTCCACCTCAGTCTGACCTCACCTTGAGATGGCTGCAGCCTAAGGATTCGATGGGATTCAGACTCATCCAGTCGAACAGAACCATGAAATGAAATTTTGTCCACTCGTACCCCTGGCCCATACCCTGAAAGAAAAGAGAACCCCCCCTCCCCAACCTTTGATAATAAACACCATGCTTAACCAATACCTTAAAAAAAAAAGTTTCAGTGCTCACTTCATCAGATTGATGAGCTGTGGCTGGGTTTGTGCCCAGGCTGTGCTTGGCACAGAAGCTTTGCTCCTGGGTGTTTGGGGTCATCCCCTTCCCCGGCAGCCTTTTCTGGTGGGACTCTCCCTGTTGGCTCATCGGTCCTGCCTCCTTCTTCCCATCGGACCTTAGGCTAAGGCCAGGCTCACCAGACACGTGGCTCTACCACTGCTGCAGGAGTGGGTGAGCCCTTGAGCCTCCATCTCCAGCTTCACCCCCCCCCAGCCTGCTCTCATCCTTCTCCCAGCCTGGCCTCCTGCTGTGGCCTTGGTGTCCTCAGGCCAGCCGTGACCCTGCGCACCACTACTTCAGCTACATGCCATCCTCCACTCTTGGCTCCCTTTCCCAGGCCCAGGGCTGTCCAGTCACCTCCTCCATCATGAGTTACTGGGGAAATTGGCTAAGTGGTGAACACTGGGCACACCCCCGGGCTCCTCTCCTGCTTTCCCTGCTCCTCAGACTCCTTTGCTGTGTCCTAACCGGTTTCTTTGTTTCCATGCATCCCCCACACTGCTGCAGCAAGGGTCTGACCTTCCCCCTGGCCCTGAGATCCCTGGCATTGAAAGCCCTGGGCAGCCCCACTCCTCCCTCCCGTGGGGGAGCTGTCTGCCCTGGCTTTGGGTCGAGGGCCTGACCATCCTGTGAGGACCTGCTGTGTCCTCCAGATCACGGAGGCTCATCCCCCAGGGTTCCCTCTGCAGCCTGGAGCCTTGGTCAGTGCCTACATGCTGCTCACAGAGCCTTTGTGCCTAATCACTTCTCGTGGTGGGAGCAGAGACTCGCCTTGGTGCGTGGCACTGTGAGAGGTCCTCGTTGAAGGACGTAGGGTCAGAAGGAGGAGAGAAACTAAGGCATCAAGTGACTTGATGTTCAAACTCACAGCAGCTATGTGTCCAAGAAAGGGTTGGAGCCCAGCTCTCCTGCCTTGAGGTCTAGAGAGAGCTGGAGGGTCTCTCATGGGGAGTGTGAGAGGATAAGCAGGAACCTGTGTGGTCACCAGAGAGGGGAGGACCAGTTTTATGGGGGTAATCTTGCCAACTTTCTTTTCTGGAAACATTTGTCTCTATTTTCTCTTCAGTGGGTCCTGGGTCATTCTGGCAAGCCTCAGGAAGCCAGTGCAGCAGCGAAGACTGGGAATCCAGAACTGTGACTCTGCTGCAGGTGAATGAGGGCAGTGGTCCCCCAGGGGAGGAGGGAGAGCCCTGGGTGGGTGTGGCCGTGGGGGAGGGGAGCCTGTGCGTCCCCACTGGGAGGAGGCAGAGCCCCTGGTGCTGTTTCCTTGGGGTGGAGGTAAACCCAGAGCTGCCTGGTGGGTGTGGGGCCCTGGGCCCACAAGCTGTGTGCTCTTATTTCTCTAGGATTGCCGGAAGAAACACAAAGCAGCCAGGAGGAAAGCCAAGCCCTAGAGATGACAGTGACCAGTCAGGGGCCAGGGGCCCTTCCTTTGAGGCTTCAGGAAGAGGTGGCCTGAGGGCCCACTCTAAAACCAGGAGCCCTGCCTTGGACAGGGGCTGGCTGGGAAGGGGCGGAGGCCTCTCTGTGAGGCTCCTGGGGGCATCTGGGTGTCTAGACTGCCCGCCAGGGTCCCTGAAGGCGTGGGTTAACATTCTCTGTGTTTCTTGTGTTGTCTGTTTTGTTAAATATTACCCAGTTGCATTCATTTAGGTATGAAGCCTCCAAAGAGCTTGACCCTGAATATGCCCCAGGGGTGTGAGGACCCTGCCAGGCCATACTGCAGAGAAGGGGCTGCCATGGTCCTCAGACTCACCTGGCCAAGGCAGCTTTTGGCAGAAAGAGCTACCTGCTGCTTTCTCTCCACTGGCTTTAGGAAACCTTTTGAGTGAATGTAATATCAGCTTCATTGCTATAAAAGAGGAAAAACCATTTATTTTTTAAAAGAAGCCCAAAGTGATCCTAGGTCACTGCCATTTATTAGGACTGACACTCTGACGAGCCCTTCCCCATTACTGTTTTCAGTGCTGGTGTAAATAAGAGGGCTTCATTCATTTATGACTGTACAAAAGTGATTTGTCTCCTATTTTGACATTTATTTTCAGAAATATAAACAGAACAATCTTTTTCCTTTTTTACTGTGTTTATCTATATTGAGTAGGTCACTGACCTACACGGTGCTGAGATAGGTCAGCAAGAGCCTGGGGCTCTGCTTCTACTGAGGGGCTTTGGGTGGTGGGAGGAGAGAGGAACATTGGCTACACCAGCCCTCTTGAGCCTAGATGGGAGATCCCTGAGGCATGAATGAAAGGCCAGATGCATCAGCCAGCCAGAGGTATGGGTGAGGAGAGCACAGAAGCCACAGGTCCAGAACTTCTCTTTCAACAGAATTGATTTCTTCTGTGGGCATATATGTTTGACTTCAGGCACATGGGGATCAGTGGCAGAAGGTTAGGGACCCTGGGCCCAGAACCTGTTCTGACCCACTTGGGGATTTGCAGCAATTGGCCAGGGGAGCCAGCCTGTCACGAGGATGTGAAGGGGAAACTGGGAGAGACCTGGAGTAGGGGCCTGGCTGCGGGATCTGCACACTGGGTGTGGGTGAAGGATGGTCTGTGGGCCTGCCAGGAGAGCTGCCCTGCTTCTGGGATGCTGACCAGTGGCTTGACCCCTTAAGAGGTAAAGTCCATGAGAGCAGAGGAAGCAGAGATGCCCACTCTGGGCTGAGAGCTTGCAACGTCCCAGCAGTCTTGACCTCAAGGCATGGATGTTCCAGCAGGGAAGGCAGCCCAGCCTCTGAGGCCCCATCCCATGCACAGGGTGGTCTGGATGTGCCACAGCAGGCCAGGTGCTGACCAATCAAACGCCTTCAGACCCATCAGGAGCTCTGGGTCAGGTCTGCTAGGCGGTCCTGGGTCTGTGGTGGGCAGGGGCTGCCCAGGGATGGGGGAGATGACCAGACTGGAGGGGGAAACCCTGTCAGCAGGTCCTTGACTTCAGACCCCACTGGGAAGCTCAGTGGTTAGGGCCTACAGACCGCAGGCAGGGGGACCCACACTAATTAGCGGGGTGGCCCTGGGGACGTCACTGCCCCGGGCCTGCCTCAGCTTCCTCAACTGTAAACTGAGGATAACAGCACTACCCCCCCAGGGATGTTGGGAGGACCAGATCAGGTCCTGTTTGTAAAGCGCTTTGCACCCTTAAAAGCGCTACCTAAACGCCAGCCATGATTATCGAAGCCACTAATTTCTTAGAAAGGGAAGCTGAGGCCAGAGAGGGCGAGGGGCCACCCGGGAGGATCGGCTTCCTCAGCCTCCCCAGGTCAGGGGCCCCAGGAGGACGCTGCCGGGCTGTTCCCGCCCCCTGGCGTGCCCCACCTCCGGCGTCCGCCCCGTCGCCAGGACACCGCCCCGCCAATCGGCCGCCGTCTTGTTGGCTGGCCTCTGCCCTGTGCGCTGATTGGCCGCGCCGGGGCCGGCCCGCCCTTCCGCTTCTGCTCATGCTTTCCTCCGCTTGCATCATTCTGCCGGGGTCGTCCCAGCTGCGGGCTTGCCGCAGGTGAGTCCCCCGGGCCTGGCGGAGGGAGGGCGGCCCTTGGCCTGGGGGCCACTTGTCTCTCGGGGTCTTCTTTGCGGCCCTGGGCGCTACACGTGGACGGAACGGGAAGCCGTAGGGCTCAGAAAGGGGGGAAACTGAGGTCCCGAAAAGTTCAGCCGCGTGGTCCCTCAGGCTTTGCTGGAGGGAGGGGCTTTCCTCACCAGGAGTGCCCTGGCCCAGTGACGTTAAAGGTCTGGGCTCTTCCCCCCTCCCCACCAGGGTGCCGACAGGTGCACGTCCCTGCTGGCTCATCCCAGGCCAGCCAGCTCCCGCTGCGTGCCTCAGTTTCTCTTTCTGTAAAGTGGGGGTCATAAGAGCAGTGCTCTCCAGGGTAGGGGTGAAGGGTAGAGGGGTTAATGACACTTGTGAAGCAGCCACAACCCGAGCAACAGCGGGCATCCTCCTGGGCATCCCCCCGGGCATCCTCAGCCCAGGGCAGGAGTCTCACTCGGGGCCAGGGCTTTGCAGGCACTTGCTTCTTTACTCTTTTGGAAGGCCGGGTTAGCTCAGCCCTACGGTGTGCCAGGCCCCGCCCTCTTGTGGCCCCTCCCGGCGCCCCCGGGGTGGGGGAGGGGCAGCAGGAAGGCCCCCCCCCATCCTCCCCCCCTCAGTATCCAGGCCCAGAGCTGGTGCCGGTGCGGTCCCGGCTCTGCGCGCCCAGCCCGTGCTGGGCACTGCCCCGTGGTTCCTGGACGCTATGGTGTCAGTATAGCTCGCCAGGCTGTGAAGATGGGCCCAGAGCAAGCAGGCGCAGTGATATATGCGTGGGGGCTGCGTCCCCCTGGCAGCCCCTACAGCCCGGTCACTGGGACACGCCAATGGGCAGAGCTCGGGCCGGGGCTGCCACCGACGGGGGCTTGGAAGAGAGGCCGCAGGCGGCAGGAACAGAGAGCAGAGCTGGGTAGCGGGGACTAACGCCACTGTGCAGGGGGCGGGTCCAAGCTTCCCCAACAGGTCTCTTCTGGCTTGGGAGAGAGACCGGGAGCTGAGACAGGGAGGGAGCTGCAAGACCCCCGAGAATGTGCCCCACATGCAGCAGGAGGGGGCCAGAAGCAGATCTTGGAGTTGGGGGAGGGGGTCAGCCATGGGGAGGAGGGACTTGCTTAGGGACCCCCAGCCAGCCAGGCTGTGAGAAAACCAGTCCCTGCGGCTTCCTCCAGAGGTCTTAGCCTGTGTCTCTGGGCCAGATCTGGGCCCTCTTCAGACTCTTAGACCCCCTGGCTTCTCTGCTTTTGACAGTGAGGGGTTCTCCCTACCCACCTGCCCTGCCCGAGGCTAGGGCATTGGAGTCAGAACACCTGGCCATGTGACCCTGGCCAAGTCACATAAACTCAGCACCTTCGGTTTCCTTGTCTGTTAAATGAGGGGGCTGAGCTCAGTGGCCATGATGGTCCCATCGGGGCTGAGATCTAGAGTCCTGTGCTTCTCTGCAGAAATAGGCAGTGTTCTAGGTTTTTAGGTCGCAGCTCTGACTGCAAGCCTCCAGGTGGGAGCTGGTGTCCAGTGGGGCAGGACCAGAGCTCGAGCTGGATATCAGAGCTGGACATTGAAGCCGTGGAAGGCCATGGGATTACCAGGGGCGACCAGATAAGAGAGGCTAGGGTTGAAGAGGGAACCCTGGGGGTTGGGGTAAGAGGGAGGACAGCACAGAAGGACAGAGCCTGTCCAAGAGATGCCCCCGAGGCAGCATCAGCACGTAAGGAGGCCCATGGGTTGTCACCGGCACCCTTTCAGGGCCAGCTGAAGCCTCCATCTGCTGGCCTGCTGGGAATTGGTCTGATTTGGGCAGTTTTCTGCCTCTGCCCTTGCTCTTAGCTTATCACAGACCCTGCCCCCAGTGGACCGTAGGCTGCACTCCTTCATCATCGATTTAGGGGAGCACCCTGGCCCTGTAGAGGGCCTCGAGGCCAGTCCCCTTTTGAGAGGTCTGGGATTCAGCCCCAGGCCTTTGAACTGACCCCAGAGTCCTACTGGGGCTGATGAAATAGGTGAAATAATTCAGTGAGGTTTTCTCTGGGAAAATGCCTGGACATCCCGGGTCTGCTTGCTAGCTGGTTCTGTGCTGTGTTCTAGATGGCTGAAGTTGGGGCAGGAGGTTTGGGGGGTGGGGAAGCCCTGGTCATCAGCAGAGAGGGGCACATGCACTCCTCAAGGATGGGGACAGAAAGGAGATGGCAAATGGGCCCACCCAGTGAAGGTGGCTGAGAACCTGAGGCAGTCTTTGGTGCCCCATATGCAAGAGGTATCTAATAAATGCTCGTGGATTGGATGGAATGGCTCAGCAGAAGGCAGGAGCACTCCCACTGAGGAAGAGGTGCTTGGCCTGGCCTCCAGCCTCCGTCTTATGGTATCCTTTGGACAGTGACCACAGAGGGGTCTCTTGGCTTGAGGTGGGTCACGATGCCTGGGCTAAAGCAGGAGCTGCTGCGTTTTCAGCAGCCCTTGTGTGGGAGACAGCCGGTATTTCTATAAAGTAGAAATCATGTTTCCAAGAGGAAGAGAGCTTTCTTTTATAAGATTAAGTACATCACAATAGTTTGCAAAGGGCTGCATGCTCAGGAACACGCTCATTTTGCAGATGAACTGATAAGCAGCTGGTAGAATTTGAAGCCAGGTTTCCCTGCCTCTGTGTGGGGCATGCCATGCTCTGGACAGCTTCTTGAATTGAAGCCTCAGTTATTTGGTGACACTGGATAGTATTTCTAGGAAGGCAGCTGTGCTCAGAGTGGTCCTTGGGTTCTTGGTAGGGTCCAGATGTGGGGACCCGGCTGCACTGTCTCATCCAGCAGGATGCTTGGCCAGGGTTCCCTGGGGCAGCTGCCCCTCAGCTGAGGGTCCTCCCATGTTCTAGCACGAGGGCCCCCATGTGCCAGCTCCGGCTCTCGTTCCTGGATGGCGGGGTGTCTGTGGGATTGATCCGCTAGGCTGCATTTCTGGCTGGCTCTGTTCTTGCCCAGCCCCATTGACAGCCACATGTTGAGGGTAGGGAGTGGGCAAGGACAAAGAGTGATGCACAGCTCTTCTCTCTAGCAACAAAATGGTCCAGCAGGTCCCAGAAAACATCAGCTTTCCTGCCGAGGAAGAGAAAATCTTGGAGTTCTGGACGCATTTCAATTGTTTCCAGGAATGCTTGAAGCAGTCCAAAAACAGACCCCGGTGAGTGGACGAGTGCAGCAGGGCCGTGAGCTTGTTTCCTTGAAAATTAATCTGAGTGGCTCACAGCTACCTCAGGCCTTTTCAGCCCAGCTCTGAACGAGGCCTCTCCAGAAGTGCCGGTCATGTTCTGTCCTGAGCCCCGAAGGTGTTCCCTTGCTTGGGCAGGGGCTGGTGTCCACGCTCCAGATCCTGGCTTTCAGGCCCTCCCTTCCCTGGGCTCCCTCCCTCTCTTGCTCCTGTCCAGATCTCCTACCTCTTAGGGTCGTGAGAGCAGGGTGTGTTCTCTGCACCACCTGCTGATGACAGATGCTCTCATAGGCACAGCTTTGCTGACTCTTGCGTTGTCACTTTCTTACATTGTTTCTAGTTCTTTCCCCAGCCAGACCAGAAACTCCCTGAGGGAAAGCCTGGCCAGCCTGGCGGGGGTCGCTTCTCCTCCCTTGTGCAAATTGGGGGTGTTTGTTAGCCATTTATTTGTCATGAGCATTCCAAACTCGAGTCTTGCTTCGGGCCCCCTTACCACTGCCATGGGCCCTGGGTCTGGATGTCAGTCCTGACATGCTTTAGAAGGACAGGATGATGTTCTCTTTCTCCTCATTGTCTACCACAGATATACCTTCTACGATGGGCCTCCGTTCGCAACGGGGCTTCCTCACTATGGACACATCCTTGCAGGCACCATCAAAGACATCGTCACCAGATACGCTCACCAGAGTGGATTCCATGTGGACAGAAGATTTGGCTGGGACTGCCATGGCTTACCTGTGGTACGCTGAGGCTCCAGTCTCACTGGCAGTGCACTTCTCCCAGGTTCTGTTGACTTCCTGGCACCATGCTGTGGCCTCTAGCAGGCGCTCTCTGGGGCCTCTCCTGGTCCAGTGGAACATGGATGTGGGGGCTCGTGGCATTAGAGCCACAGACCCCAGATGGCAAGAGAGGGGCCACAGCAGCCAGGCTCGGTCCCAGTGTGGCTTCTCTTTTCAGGAATATGAGATAGACAAGTCCCTGGGAATCAGAGGGCCAGAGGACGTGGCCAAGATGGGCATTGCTGAGTACAATCGCCAGTGCAGAGGGATCGTGATGAGATACTCAGCTGAGTGGAAGGTAGCGAGAGTTGGGGGGGCTTGGAGACTCTCCCCAGTGTCTGACGCGGTGAGAGCCCTTGTGCCTCTGCGGAGGGAGAGTCCTGCGTGGCGTATCCCTGTCATGAAGTTGTAGCAACAGCAGCAGTGCCCCCGAGCTAGTCAGTGGCCAGGAGAGGTCTTGAACCCGGGTCCAGAGTTCTCTCTGATATGCCATGCTTTAAAAAGAGAGCAGGAAGTCCATGCCTACCCCTTTCACTTTTTAAAAAATTTATCTCATGTTTAATTCATGCAATAGAACATGCATTTCCATAACATAGCAGAATTTTTAAATTTTTTTACATGAAACTGTAAATCTCTCATGTACAACTTGTTCCTTTTAAATATATGATAAAGATATCACGTAACGTTCTTTCTTTCCTCCCCCTGCCTCCCCCTAGAGATAGCTACCACTAGACACGAATGTGTGTATGTGTAGAAATCATTCTGTGTATGCTTCTGTTTATCAGCTCTTTCTCTGGATGCAGAGAGCATCTTCCTTAATTTGGGGGTTTATAATAGAGGGACTTATTTGCTCAAAGATGTTCTTAGAACAAAATTGCTGTTACCATATATGATGTTTTCACTGTTCTGCCCTCGTTATTTTATGTAAGTCTTTCCACGTTTTTGTAAAGTCATTGAACTCATCATTTCTTATAACACAGTAATATTCATCATATCCCATAACTTGTTCAGCCACTCCCCAGTGGGTGGGCATTCCCTCAGTTTCCAGTCCTTTCCCCTCCTTTAGCAGGAGGTCCCAGGCTCACCCACCAGCCCGTGAGCACTAGCTCCCTCCCGTAGGTAGGCAGATGACAGAGCCTGGGGACCTCTCCTGGAGAGGGCAGACACCACTGCTAATGACCTTGTTCCTGCTTCACCAGGTCACCATCTCCAGGCTGGGCCGCTGGATTGACTTTGAGAACGACTATAAAACCCTGTACCCCGAGTTCATGGAGTCAGTGTGGTGAGTTGGGGGCTCGTGCTGGGCCATGGCTAGGCCTCTCAGAAGCTCGAGGCTTGGGACAGCAGGCCAGGCCACTGGGGCTCCCCTGGTAGGTGAGGTTTTTGTCGGTACAGCCCCACCCTACCTACTAGTCCCCTGGCCCCTCCCTGCCTTCCTCAACACATGGGTTTGTCCATCGGGGCCAAATGATCCGTTGGCCACCCTCCCCTGTCCGTGCTTGGCTAGGCCAATACAAACATTGCAGGGGAGGAAGACGAGGCCCCTGCATCTTGGTGGCTGTGGGCTTGTTGGCCGGAGAGAGTAGTCTGGGCAGGCTGCCCTTTCCTGGTAAAGCTGGTGGGCTTCCTGTGTCCCCAGGTGGGTGTTCCGGCAACTCTATGACAAAGGCCTAGTTTACCGTGGTGTGAAGGTGATGCCCTTCTCGACGGCCTGCAGCACTCCTCTCTCCAACTTTGAGTCTCACCAGAACTATAAGGTAGGCTGGGGGGATATGGAGGTGAGTTGGGCTGGTCAGAATGGCCAAGCAGCACACCTCTCACACGTTGCTTTAGTAGAGAGAGCCGAGCCAAAACTCCAGGTGCAGCCTGCCTGCGAGGAGTCCAGGGGGTCTCGGCTCAGGGACAGAGGTGCTCTTCAGTGGGAGGACCCTGGACCGTTTTTGAGCTCTGTCCATTTCTTTTGGGCTCTTACTCACCTCCCGTTCATCATCTCCATCTAGAGGTGTGAATATGCTGCCATATCACAGCTCATTTGCTCCTGCTCTTGATACATGGTTCATTTCCGGCTTATTGCCCTTGGGTATGCGTGCGTGCGTGTGCGCGTGTGTGTGTGTGTGTGTGTGTGTGTGTGTGTGTGTGTGTGTGTGAAGGTACAGGGGGTCCTTCTGTCATTGAATTCCCTGAGGCATATGCCCGTGATGGGGTGGCAGAACCGAACAGGAGGAGTTGGGTGACAGTTGATACACGTGCACAGCGCGTCTCCCCTGGGCTGTAAGGCACTACTCATGGACCCAGTTCCACCATGACTAGCCCAGGAACCGAACCGGGTCTGTTTGTGACCCTCCTAGGACATGTGGACCCCTGCCCCCTGGGGCTGGTGAGCCTGACCTTGCCCTGGAGCTGGGCCCTAAGGACCAGCTGGGGCATTGCTTTTCTTTGGCATTGACTTTGTTTGACTGTTACTGCTACCTTTGATATCCCTTTGAGCTGCATTTCTTTTATTGGTGATTCAAAACCTTTTTACTATGTGGTTGTGGACAATTTGTGTTTCTTGAAAACTCTCCATACACCCTTAGGCTACTAATCTGTTGGGGAATGTCTCTCTGGCTTGGTGATAGGTGTCCATTGACCCTGGATTTTGGGTGTCAGACTTTTAGTAGCTGTTTGGCCAAAAGGATTTATGTAAAGCCAGAAACTGCATCATGATTTGTGATGGAGAAGCACTGGGTGCTTGCCCAGTGAGATCAAGGGAAAGCGAGGGTGCCTGCTGTTGTCTGTGCTGACGTGTGGCATTTGGAGTTGGGAATGGGAATTGGTCCAGCCATGGTGACAGAAAGGGGCTGTCTATGCCCCAGAGGCTCCAAACCGCTGCCCCAGTGAGAGCCCAGTGCTGGTGAACACAGATGTGCCTGGTGATGGGCGTGAGGGAACATGGTGTGCACGTGGGAAGGTAGAGACAGGTGTGGTAAATGAAGGTGATGGCACACTCTTGGGCCAGCATCCGTGAGACAGGGAGAAAGCCCGGTAGGCTCCCATGAAGTGAGGCAGAGCAGAGGGAGTAGGAATTTACCCACCAGGGAGAATTCAGTCATTATCAGTCAGTAAAGGTTGATCAAGCATCTGCTGTGTGCCTGGCACTGTGCTGAACACTGGCTATACAAGAGGAGGCGGTCCCTGTCCTGGGGGAGTTCCCAGTCTAGTGGGAGAGGCAGTAAGCAAACAAACAGCTGTAAACAAGCTCTGTAGAGCATGAATAGGAAATCAGGAACAGAGGGAAAGGACTGGGATGAGAGGGGCTGGGGAAGGCTTTCTGTAGGAGGTGGGACTTTAGCTGGGATTGAAGGAAGGAGGGAGACACAGGAGAGCTCGGAGCAAACCCGTCGGGCGGTGCTCAGTGCCTGACAGCTGAGGTTCAGGTACCTACAATCGGCAGTCAGGGTTAGCGGGAAGTCAGGTGTGGTGTGCTTGAGCAGTGTTCAGCTTTTGGCTTGGGAAGAGAGGAATCTACTTGGAGATAAGGTTGCCTGGCCCCATGCCTGTTCCGGGGGTCCCTCCTCCCAGGGTCTGGAGTCAGTCATGGAGCAGCTCGGGGCTCCTTCAGGGGCCCGTGGGCCTGGCTCTGTCAGCCTCTGCGCCTCGCCTGGGGTAGGACCTCTTCTGACTGATGCGTGAGAAGCCAAACCTGGGATTTGGGAGCTAGAGTTGTTGCCAGGATGGTGTGTCCTCAGCTACAGCCAAGATTTGGTGTTTATTTTGTATGTGCTTTTTGCAAAGGAGCCATGTCAAAAGGACTTTGGGCTTATGGGAAGGCACAGGCGGGAGTGACCCAGGAGGTGAAGGCTTGTGTGGCTGGTCTAAAATGCAGGCCTTTTCCCTCATCCATGACCTTCACTTACAGGGAAACCTCCAAGAAGGCAGCGAGAGCCTCTGAGGAGGGAAAGTGGGGCCTGTCAAGTACAGGGGCTAAACAGACCCCTCCCCGCCACGGGAGACCCGTTGGCCTCTTTTTTGTTTTTGTTTTTTTGTTTTTGTTAGAATGGATAAAGCTACTCTGAGAGGAGTGATGCAGCCCAGCTTGGAGGCCCATCCGTGTTTGTCTGTGTGGGGTTGGGCAAGTCCCTTGTGGGCTTTGGCGTCTTCATTTGTGAAGTGGACAGCTCGGTCCTAAGATTGGAAGGCTCCAGGGAAATGGTGTTTGTACAAGGGCTCGACAAATGTTAGCACTTGTGACCTATTCTACTTCTTGTTCAGGAATAAGCTAAGGAACTGACCTTTCTCTTGTCCTCCTCTCCATAGACTGGAGCCACAAAAACCAGTCAGGGACAAGTAGTTAAAGAGCAGAGCCGCCTGCTAGAGATGATTGTTTATTACAGGACATTAGGAAAGTGGGAGCTGACTACATTTGGTACGCTTTGTTTCCTGAGGCAGACCTGTGTATGATAAATTGTATAAACTTTTTTACAAAACATTTAAAAGGAAAAAAAATTAGGGTAAGCTTTAATTATTTGGAAAAGCATTTTCCCTGATGACCAGAGATTAATGAGGCATTGCATCTGATTCATTCTTTGTACTTGACAATCGCCCTAAATGTGTTCTGTGCTTGGGAAACAAATAGAATAAAAAATAAGGTGCTGAGTTTGCCATCTAAAAACTGATACGTTGCACCCCTTTTCAAGATAATTTCTCCCTCCTGTTGCTTCTTCATTTCAGGATGTTCAAGATCCCTCAGTCTTTGTCACTTTCCCTTTGGAGGAAGATGAAGCTGTGTCTCTGGTTGCGTGGACCACCACGCCCTGGACTCTGCCCAGCAACCTGGCCCTCTGTGTGAATCCAGATCTTCAGTATGTGAAGCTGCAAGGTAAGTACGGGGTGTCCTCACTTGGCAGCCCCAGTTGCCAAGATAGAGGGGGGCTGCTGGGGGCAGGGCTGCAGCTTCGGTGGGGGGGAGCTCCAGGATGAGCATCACAGGCCAGTCCCAGTGGGCAGCTCCTTACAGAAAGCCCCAAATGACCATATGGTCAGCAGGAACTGTTGGTCATTATCAGGGGGCTGGGGGAGGCAGGATGCAGCCCCTGGGGCTTGCTCCGGGCTTTCTCCTAAAGTGGATGTTGAGAAAGCTGCCCTTGGGTTCATCAAAGCAATCCATCCACTAGCTTTTATCAAGTACCTACTGTGTGCCAGAGAGCATGAGAAGGAAGCAGTCCCTCATGGCTGGAGCTTTCTCTCTGATGTTAACTCCCAGTGCTGCTTGTTACTCTATTATTCTAATGGATGGACAACAAGTGAACGTGTGATTAATACAAAGGGAACAGAGATGCCATGGTGGCTCTGGCCAGTGGTAGGTCCACATTTATTAAGCTCCATGTGCTAAGTGCCTCTGGTCACACCCAGTCTCCTGCTGTATACCCAGCATAGTCCCCTGGGGCCAGCCTCCCCCTCTGGAGGCCTTTGGGCCCCATCCTTTGTGTCTCCCTCCGCTCACTCTTCAGTCTCCCCCCAGGGTCTGGTGAGGGTCTCCCCTTTCCTAAGGCCAAACTAAACACGGCCTCTGCTGGCTGGCCCGTCACTCTGGCTCTAGCATCCCTGCACTCCACGCTGCAGCAGCCCTCCTACCCCACCCCCTCAGTCTTCAAGCCCAGTGCCAGCCAGTCTCTTTCCTGAGGCATTGACCCTCGATGAAGGAAGGGATGGAGCCTCCGACTCGGTCTTTGGACACCCCTGCAGGCTCTTGCTCATAACTGGTCCCATAGATACGTGTGTGTGTGTGTGTATGTATGTGTGTGTGTGTGTGTGCGTGTGCGCGCAGAGAACATGGCACCAGACACCTGGCCCCATTCCACTTGAGAATTCTCTTACCGGTGACACAGATTTGCTAGGGAAGATTGATCCCTTCTTTATGGAAGATGAATTCCAAAAAGCTGCGTTCCCTACTGGCTTTTTAAAAACAGGCCGCTCTCCTAAGAGGTTCTGTCTCCTCAGCCTCAGCCTGCTTCCCACCCTACCAGTCTCTGGGTGTGATCGCCCAGGCTCCAGGTGAGGGTGAATGTGTCCGAATAGACGGTCCTCAGTAGAGCGAGGGCCCTGCACTACAGGGCCTCTTCCCTAAACGTCCCGGCCCCTGGGGAGGCTTCAGTCCCCCATCTTCGCTTGGTCTGGCTGGTCGGAGGGCAGGCTGGTCACTCTTCAGCCTTTCCACCGCCGACGGGCGGACTCAGTCATGAGGGTCGGATCTGGAAGGACTCCAAGGCATCCTCTGGCACAGCCTGGTAAAACCAAGGCCCCACGCGTTTCCTGCTGATTGATTGCCCTTTGTGGGGAGGCCAGCACACCCGGGAGAGGAGAGCCCTTGGCGTATGGAGGTCCAAGTGCCTCAGGCCAGTTGGCCTCGTTTTTGAGTCCGTGTCACGAGGCCGTGTCCTTTAGGTGACCTGAGCTATGAGGCATCGCCTTCCCACGAGCTTTGGTTTTCTCCCCACCCTCCCTGCTTGGGGCCTGAGGCTGATCCCGGCTTTAGGGACCTGCCGGCTGGCAGTTTTGTGCCCGTAACTGACCCCTGCTTCCCTTGGCTGGTTTTCCAGATGCCGCTATGGGAAGGATCCTGATCTTGATGGAAGCCAGATTGGGGGCCCTGTACAAGTCAGAGAGTGACTATGTGATCCTTGAGAGGTGAGTGCAGGGGTCCCAGTGGATCCGCCATCTGTGCCTGCCTGCCATGTCCTTCAGGGGTTGGCTGCCCTGACGGGTGCGGGAGTTGCGTCACCTCTCTTAGTGCCGCCGTCCCATTTTATAGAAACTGAAAAGGAGCCTCGCACCTATTACTTTCGTTTTCACTGAAAACTCATTGTTCTCTCCTAGGTTTCCTGGCATTTCTCTCAAAGGCAAGCACTACAAGCCAATGTTTGAGTATTTTGTGAAGGTGAGATGGCATCTGGCTTCTCTGCGGCCCTTTTCTTCCACCCTCATTTGGTTCAGCCTGGAGTGACGCAGCTGAGGGCCAGCCCTCGGGCCTTGGCTTCTGGATCAGAGGAGTGGCAGGAGCAGGAGGAAGAGCCAGGCCGGGCTGAGCCTCAGGCTTCTGTCACCAGCCCATTTAGCCTTGGCCAGGTCCCCCTTGGGGCCCAGACTGCTCAGGAAGGGAGAGGCCGCACTGTGGCTGGCTAGTCAGACAGACTGGCCCAGGGACCCTCAGCCCCTCTGCCCTAGACCTGGGGACAGAGGTGGTCACGTAAGCGCCTGTGTGTGCTCTTGGGGGGTCAGATTCCATGTCAGCTGACTCATCCTGGCGTCTTCCTTATCCCCTCACAGAGGCAGGTCTCCTTTCCCCAGGCACTGGGGGGACCTTGGCTGCTGAGTCCAAGCCCTCCTCCCCCATCCTGCTGAGGAGGAAGCGGGCCCAGCGGGGGAGGGTGACACCAGGCCCTGGCAGCCACCTTGCCCATAGTTGGCTTCAGAAGATGGACTCCAGGGGTCTGGCCAGCTGGCTGCTCATCTTGGGGCAGTCTGGAGGCACTGGGGGGCCAGGAGGCAATACTGGAGAAGCTACAGCCCTGGGTGTCAGGCTCTGTTCTGGTTTGTTTTTTCTTTTTGGTGAGGCAGTTGGGCTTAAGTGACTTGCGCAGGGTCACACAGAGAGTAAGTATCTAGTGTCTGAGGTCTGAACTCAGGTCTTCCTGACTCCAAGGCCAGAGCTCCATCCACTGCGCCACTGAGCTGCCCCTGGCGGTCTCCATTCTGGACCCCTGTGTTGGGAAGGATGTGGGGATGTGTGAGCACGCCCTGGGAGCCCAGCAGCTTGGATGTGGGCTGGGGGAGGGAGAGAGGGGACACAAAGGCAGCGAGGTGGTTCAGTGTGTAGAGTGCTAAGAGACTTGAGTTCAAATCTGGCCTCAGATGCTTATTGGCTAGTGACCCTGGGCAAGTCCGTGAACTGCCGCCTGCCTCAGTTTCCTCTTCTGTAAAATAAGGAAAATAACGGCACTCACCTCCCAGGGTTGTTATCGGGATTAGATGAGATCGTATTTGTAGGGCACTTGGCACAGTACCTGGCACACAGTAGGGACTTCATCCCTTTGCTTCCTCTTCTTCCTCCTTCTTACTTTACTCCTTCCTTCCCTCTCTTTCCTTCCTTCCTTCCGTCCCTCCCTCCCTCGCCTCCCTAGTTTTCCTTCCTTCCCTCTCTCCCTCTCTTTCCTTCCCTCCCTCCCCTTCCTTTCCTCCTTCCTCCCTCTTTTTCCTTCCTTCCTTCCTTCCTTCTCCCTCTCTTTCCTTCCTTCCTTCCTCCCCTCCCTTCCCCTCAGAGAGTCTCCTGGCTCACTCACATTCCAAGTCCAGCCCCCATCACTGTTTTGTCCCAGTGGAGCCTGGGGGTGGGCCTGACAAGAGCCTCCCTCCCCCGGCTGCTGTCCTGGGGTGAGAGGTGGGAAGCTGCCTCAAGAGGCAGTGGACGGCCCCTGTCCCTGAGAACAGGTCAGGCTGGAGGGCCTCAAAGGACTTTCCCACTTGGGATTTCTGGGACTCCTTCGGGCGTGGTTCTGCACGGGCTGGTCGATGCTGGTGATGCCGCAGACTTGGGGTTTCGGCCAGCTTTGAGAGAAAGCATGTTTCTTATTCGTTTGGTCCTCACAAAGCTGCTGATGTTCCCGTATCATCAGCGCCCTGACCATGGCCACCTTCTTGCCTCCTCTACAGTGTAAAGAAAATGGCGCCTTCACCGTGCTCGTGGACAGCTTTGTGAAGGAAGAGGAGGGCACTGGCGTGGTGCACAGTGCGCCGTACTTCGGGGCTGTGAGTGTGAGGCCGTCACGGGGCCCCCGAGCTGGGGGGAGGATGGTGCGCCAGCAGCAGATCACTTCCCCCTGTGCTGCGCGGCTCTTGTGTGCACACAGGCGGCAGCAGGTCGGGCCCCCGCCCCCCTTAGACTGTGAGCCCCTCGAGGGCAGGGGCTGGCTTCCGGCCGTGCTCTGTGTTCCCAGAGCACTGTGCTTGTTGACATAGAGAGTCCCACAGGAGATGAAGTCCGAGGCCAGAGTAGTGCTAGAAGAGCCACGCGGGGCCTTCCCGAGTGTGGGTAACAGGCAGGCGAGTCTCCCCAGAGTCTGCTGCAAGTGGGGTCCGGGAGGGAGGAGCTCTCTCCCTGGGCTGTAGGACCGGCGGCCTGGATGTCCAGGTAGGGGTCAGGAGTTCTGCGTCCATCTCAGGAGAAATGGTGGGGATGAGGCTGGAAGATGCAGAGAAACGGTTCCAGGGAGAAAGAAGGGGTGCTTGGGCAGGCTTCAGAAGACAGAAAAGCAGGGCAGGTGGCTGAGCCACCGACCAGGGTTGTAGGACAAACAAAGAAAGATGAGGCACGTGAAGCGGAGGGGAGAGGAGCAGGCTAACGATGACGGGGCCCAGCACGTTGCCCTGCCAAGTCAGGTACCTGGAAGGAACTGGTACAAGGTGCCGGTGCCAGAGGAACAGGAGGAAGATGGGAAGAGGCACTGGAGTGGGAGTGGCCTGGGCAGGGTGAGCTCCTGGTCTGGGGCCCCAGGCCAGCTCAGCACAGGCAGCCGGGGGCAGTGGGAGAAATCCGGCCAGCTTCCTTCCCAGGCTGGACAGGGGTGGCCTTCCCAAGGTGGGTCATCCCACAGGGTGGCCAACCATCCCTCAGGTGGAAGAGCCGTGTAGAGTCAAGCCCCTGGGCGCATACGTCACTCGTTGCAGGGGTCCAGCATCCCCTCTCTCCTCAGCCCCTTCACTTCGTTAAGTTTACTCCCAGTGTGTCCTTTTTCAGGACGATTACCGAATCTGCATGGACTCCAATGTTATCCAGAAAGATTCTGTCCCAATTTGTCCTGTTGATGCCTCCGGCTGCTTCACGTCCGAGGTCACCGATTTTGCAGGGCAGTACGTGAAGGTAAAGAGTCCAGGAAAACATGGCAGCTTTCTCTGGCTCTAGCTGACGGGTTTGCCTTCAGGTTTTTGCCTGTGTTTCTTTCTTAATTGGGAAGTTAATCGTGTGTAGTGTCTAGAGGTGCTGGCGCATTAGACTAGAAAGCCCTGCGCTGATGGGTGTTTTCTGCCTGTGCTAGAGGCCTCTTGGAGAGGGGGCGCGAGCCCACGGTGGCAGCGCTGCACATAGGAATATGTCCCCCTTCTGTCTGGTCAGAGACCGTCAGGGTGAGAGCCTGGGCCCGCGGGGAAGATGGCGTCCCTAGAGTTCCCTCCCCTCTGTAGATGCCCCTGGGAGCAGGAGCTGGGCTGGGGAGGGGCCCCTGCCAGTTCTCCCCTCCCACCTTGTAGTGTGCCAGCACAAATCTTCCCAAACCAACATCCAGGAAGGAGAAGCTTAGGCTTAGTTGCAAAGAGAACCAGGTGTGATTAAGAATGTGGACATCTCGTTCTTAAAGCGCCTCCTTTCAGCAGACAATATTGTGGCCCCTTTGGGGGTGAGAGCTGGGCTCAGATCCGGGGGGCGGAGGGGCAGGAGAGAGGCGCTGGGCATCTGGACTCTGACCATGGCCTTGCTGTGCTGGGAGGAGAGGTGAGTGCAGGAGACAGTGGAAGAGACGGGGAGGAGGAAAAGGCAAGCTGGCTCTGGCCGTACCATATGAAATGCTTCAGGACGGCCTAGGTGGAAGTGACGGGCAGACTGCTTGTCCCGCCCCCAGCCCGCCCCATCTTTCCAGTGCTCTTCGGTCCTGTGACCTGGCCTCCGGGCAGCAACTCCATCTCCTGACCCCAGGCCTGGACCAATGACAATGCCACCTAAATGTAGAGCCTTCCTTCTGTTTATTCACTATGTCCTCTTTATCCCATCTGGAACTTATTGGACTGGACAGCCTGGCACGTGGTAGGGAGCTGATAAATGTTTTATCGACCAGCGGGCTGGCTCTGGATGGGCCTGCAGGCGAGAGCTCAGGGCTGGTTCCATGATGTGACAGTTGAATCCACGTGAGGTGATGAGATCATTGGAGGAGATGGGCCCAGGACAGAGCGCTGGGCACACAGCCTCCATCCCCTTCCCCGCCTCCATCAGAGGAGAGCTGCCGTGGGCGATGACCTCGTGGAAGAGGCTGGTGGGGTTGGTCAGACAGGTGGGGAGAGCGTCAGGAGCCAGAAGGAGGAGGAGAGCTCAGATAGCTGGGGGGTGGCAGCCAGAGCACTGGGGCCTCGAGCCAGAAGGGCCAAGTGGCTGTGTGACTGGTCTGAGTCTGTTTCTTCATCTGTAAAATGGAGACAGTAAGTGCCCCAGCCTCGTAGGGTGGTGGGGAGGATCAGACACCATGGTCTCTATGAAGTCCACCCTGGCTGCTGTTAAGTCCCTTTTCCTGTGGACACCGTCACCCTTGGCCAGTCACCCCGACCTGATGTCTCACAGTCACGTCAGACCCTCAGGCTCTCTCTACACCTCATGTGTGGTGTCTCTGCCCCTTTGCCCCTCCCCGTTTTGGCCTCCTCTGCCTCCTGTCCTGATCACTGTCCCCACCACTTCTTGGGTCGAGGGTGACCGAAAGCTGGGAACGGCAGAGAGGTCCAGTGGTCATGAGCAGCCTAGAGCTGATCCCTGGGGGGGATTTTGGCACGAGAAGTCATGGAAGGGGAGCTTGCCCAGAACAGGTGTCCTTGGAATGGGGAGGGGAGGCCAGCCCCTGCCCCCCAATCAGGAGTCTGCTCCGCTACAGGCCCACGGTGCCACGGGAGGACTCTGTGTCCTCACCTGATGAGGTGCTTGCAGGGCCTCCCACTGCCTCCTCTCCCTCGTGGCTGGCTCTGTGTCCCAGCGTCCCTTTTGTGTCCTGTCTTTTCTCCCAGGACGCTGATAAGAACATCATCCGGGCCATCAAGGAGCGTGGCCGACTGCTCCTCGCCAGCACCTTCAGCCACAGCTACCCCTTCTGCTGGAGGTGAGCTGGGCGGGGGATGGTCTTCCCTTCCTCCTCAGGCTGCCAGCCCTTAGCTGTGATGGGCCCTTACTACTGAGATGGGCGGAGCATTTGGGGGACTCTGAGGTGTGCTGTAACAGCCTGGGCATGTCATCAGAGGGGTACTCCTTGTGGGGGGCAGGGGGCAGTGATCCCAGGGATGCGGGAGGGCCCCACGGGTGTGGGCAGACATTCCCTCTGCCAGGTCTTAGTAAGAGCCGCCCTGACCGGCCAGAGCTGATCAGAGGTGCCACCAGACGTCCCTGTCTAGCACACAGTAAGCACCTAATTAATGCGTCTTGGTTTGTCAGCTAGCTCGTTGGGAGGCTGCTTAGGGACAGCCAAGTCCCAGCCCGTGTCCCCTTTGGGCAATGCCAGGAGCTCTTTTGACCCTTTCCCTTCGTCCAGGCCTCAGGGTCCCTGGGCACTGGGACCTTAAGGAGGGAAGGGCCCCTGCAGCTCCCGGGGCAGCATCTCACTGGCCTCTTCAGCTGCTCGTCCCAGGGCCCAGGCTGCTTGGGGTCCGTCAGGCAGTCTTATGTAAACGGATGCTTTCTCCATGCCTTCTGTTGCTAGCCTACGGCCTGCTCCTGGCGCAAGGTAGCAGCTCTGCCCGAGCTGAGGCGGGGGTGCTGGCGTAGGTCCGGGTGCGAGGTGGAGTTCGCAAAGCACCTGGGGGAGACCGACCAGAGCCGAAAACAGCCATGGTTCTGGGTCAAGACGGATCGTGGCTGACGTTCTGCGCCATTGTTCTGTCTGCGTCCTCAGGTCCGACACGCCACTGATTTACAAAGCCGTCCCCAGCTGGTTCATCAGAGTGGAGCACATGGTGGCCAAACTTCTGGAGAACAATGACCAGTGTTATTGGTGAGCCTTGAATGGGCCTCCCCGGGCAGACAGCGGGGCCAGGCCGTCCAGCTGCCCTGGAGCCTGTGGTCCTAGTCATGACGCTCCATCTGTGTGTCTGGCCTTGTTTGTCTCTGTCTTTCTAGGTCTCTTTTTCCTCACACTCTTGCTGTGAGACACACACACACACACACACACACACACACAGAGAGGTGCGCACAGAAGTGGCAGAGGCCCACTTAGAGACTTGAGTCAGGACAAACTTCCTGACAAACGTGAGCCATCCCAAGAGCTGCTAGGCTAGTCCCTTCCTCCTGGGGGTCTTTCAGAAGAAGCTGACCACACACTTTAGAGAAGACGTCTCTTCCCCTGGAACACCCTCTCTGGCGGTGTCTCTGCCCTCGTGATCCGGATTTCTCCTGCAGGGTTCCCGAGTTTGTGAGGGAAAAGCGCTTTGGGAATTGGCTCAAAGATGCCCGCGACTGGGCCATCTCCAGAAACAGATATTGGGGCACCCCGATCCCGCTGTGGGTCAGTGATGACTTGGAAGAGGTAAGGGTGCAGTGAGGAGCCTCCCATCCCCGGGGCCCTCAGGGAGCTGTGTAGACGGCGGCCTGTTGGGCCCCTCCATCCTGTACTGTGGCAGATGGAGGCTTTCCCCACTCTCAGAGGACTCTTCTCTCCCTCTGTGTCGACCCCATCCTGGCATCCTCCGGCCTTGGGGAGGTTCTCATGGTGGCTGTGGCCATGAGGCTGGCTCTAGCCAGTGGAGCACACTGCCCGCCTCTGAGAAACGAGCCTGGCCATTTCCCAACGGGGTTGGGGGTCACGATTGTTCATTTGCAAGAGGATCACCTTCCTTGGTGAGAGCTCGTGCTCAGCATCAGAACTCGCGGCCACGTCCTGCTCAGTGATTCTGATGTGGCACTACATGGTCTTGGGCAGGTGGTCTGCATCGGGTCAGTGGCGGAGCTGGAAGACTTGACGGGGACCAAGATCTCGGATCTCCACAGGGAGAGGTCAGTGTGGGGCCCTGAGAGGGCTCTGAGTTGTGGGCTTGGTCCAGAGCCCACTGGTGCCTGCCCTCCTCGGTTCTAACGAATAGTGCTCGCTCTCACTCCCACAGCGTTGACCACCTGACAATCCCATCCCGCCGAGGAAAGAGCCCCTTGCGTCGAGTGCCCGAGGTTTTCGACTGCTGGTTCGAGAGCGGGAGCATGCCCTACGCCCAGGTCCACTACCCCTTCGAGAACAAGCGGGAGTTTGAAGAAGCCTTTCCTGCCGACTTCATCGCCGAAGGCATCGACCAGACGCGCGGATGGTGAGTAAGAGGCGCGGTCTCTGGCGAGATCACGCTTTGTGTCTTTGTGTCGCCCTGCTATTGCCACACGGGCCACTGGGGCCTCAGGGAACCAGAGAATAGAGGAGAGCAGGGCAGGCGCCTTCCGCTTCCCTGTCCATGGACACAAGCCCAGAAGTGAGGCTGAGCCGCACCCCCCAGGAGTGCCCGCTGAGGCTTCTCATCTCTGGCCATCCCACTGGTGATCGGTCCTGGGCCCTGGGTTGTCAGGGTGCCTGATCTCATCCCCACGCAGGGCCTGGAGCCCATCTTCCTGCTGCTGAAGGTCTGAGCGTGAATCACTCTGCCCAAGGTCATCTTCCCTTGTTCCAGATGGCCCTGGCATCCCAGCTTTCCCATGGCTCTGTCCTGGTGGCTCATAGTGCACTGGGCCTGGAGTCAGAGAGAGCCGAGTTCAAATCCAGCTTCAGACACTTCCTAACTACATGACTCTGGGCAAGGCCCTTCACCTCTGACTGCCTCCATTTCCTCCCCTGTAAAATGGACATGATCTCAGCACCTCCCGCTAGGGTCATTATTGTGAGGCTTAGTGGAGATCGTATTTGTAGAAGTGCTTAGCACCAGGCCTTAGAGCCAGGCACATAGTAGGTGCTTAAGAAAGACTCATTCCCTTCACCATTCAGACAGAGGGTTCTTAGTTTTTTCCGAAACCCCTCTGGTCCGAGGTGACCCCCGACCCCCCGGGAGCACTGCGAGGGGGCGGCCTCCCTGCCGCTGAGCTCGGCCTTTGAAGGGCTGCATGTCGGGGCTGCCTTCCAGGCCTGCTGACGCCACTGTCCGCTTCCCAGGTTTTACACTCTGCTGGTGCTGTCCAGTGCCCTCTTTGGGAAGCCTCCCTTCAAGAACGTGATTGTGAACGGGCTGGTCCTGGCCAGGTACGGAGCCTTTGTCTTACCTTGATAGGTAGTGACCCACATGATGTCCTCTGCAGGGGCCGGTCCCATGGCGAGGCCGAGGGCTGGCGCACAGAGGGCCTGGGCAAGGCAAGGAAGGCCGCCAGCCCGGCCCTGTCCCCTGGGAGGCTGCGCTGGCGGATCGGAAGGTTTCGTGGTGGCGGTCGGTGGGTTCTCCTGGGTCCTCACTTGACTCCGCATGGGTCCGTGGGAGTCTCCCCTTGGTTCTCTGCGTCCGTAGCTCATGCTTCTCGCAGAAGCATCACGTGCTATAGTGACTTCGGCCCTTTCCTGGTCACTGGGCATCCGCTTGGTTGGTGTACATGTGTGCCCCCACCACACACGGGTCAGAGAGAGGACCAGGCTCATAGGAAGGGTTTGGAAGAGCGTTTAAAAAACTCCTCTCGGGAGTGAGCTTCGGGAGGGCCTCCAGGGCGGGAATTTGGGTCTGAGGCTCCCACAGGGCTGTGACCCTGCTTTTGTTTTTCCAGCGATGGTCAGAAAATGAGCAAACGGAAGAAGAACTACCCTGATCCGGCAGGGATCGTCAGCAAGTATGGCGCCGATGCCCTGCGGTGAGAGTCGCTAGCCTTGCTCCCTGCTCGGTGCTTCTGACACATTTTGTCTGGCTTCACTTACGCCCCAGGGGACGCCCACACGGTCTCTTTGTCTGTTGCTTTCTGGGAGCGTGGACCATAAGTATAGACAGTTAGCAAGCCTTTATTAAGCAGTCCATGTGCCAGGCACAGACTCAGTGCATCAGCTCTCAGGGAGCTTACAGTCTAGGCGTTCACAAGAGAATAGAGGCTGAGGAAGGCATCCTAGCAGCTGGGGTGGAGGTGTGGCCAAGGCCTCATTGCAGAGATAGAACCCAGGGATTCTGAGAGGCCAAGGTGAGGCAGGAGGGCATTCCAGGCAGAGGGCATGACCATTGCAAAGACGTGGAGGTAGGTGATGGCATGATGTTCTGAGAACAGCCAGAAGTCCCATGGAGGCAGATCATAGAGTGCTTGAGTGTGTGGATGGGGATGGAGCATGAGGAGATGGCGGGCAGGGGCCGGACAGCAAAGAGCTTCCAACGTCACACAGGTGGCTGAGTAGCTGATCCTGGAAATGGTGGAAATGGCAAGATTTGTCCGCTTATTATGTAGTGGGGCAGGGAGAGTGAGCAGCGGAGGGCGATTCTGAGGTCGTGGGCTCAGATGCCTGGGAGGATGGGAGCGCCTAAAGACATGAGAGTCTGAGATGTGCACAGGTGTGGGTACTGCTTCTGGGCTGCACATCAGGGTGCTCTGGTGAGGGGCTGATGAGGTCACCAGGGGAGGGCATGGAGAGGAAAGGGCAGCCGGGACAGACCCTCAGGGCTGGGCCAAGGGGTCAGCAGGCTGGTCAGGAGAGAACCAGAGAGCAGGGCACTGGAAACGTGGAGAGGAGAGGGTGACCAGAGGTCCAGAGCGTGAAGGGCCGCGGAGGCAATGGGCCAGTTTCTATTGGATGAGGTTGGGACCAGGCAGCAGAAGGTCTTTTGGGGCCGGGGGCCCTGTGGGCCTGTTTGCAGGCAGCAATGTCGGGGGGGGGGCGGTCCTAAGGAGCCAGGTTTACAGGAGCTGCTGTGGGCCACGGGAGGGTCAGTTACTCAAGGGGATCACCTTGCAGAGGCGAGGGCCCAGTCTGGGTCCTGGAATGCCACATCGTAGGGTTTGTGGCCTCCTCCTGCCTGTAAGACAACACGTGGGTCGGTGTGGAGGTGAGGGATGGCGGGGGCCTCGGGACGGGGACAGGCGACCCGGGCATGAACATGGCGGGTTCCCAAGAGGCCGGGCTAAGCCTGCCCACGGTGCCCACCCCACCTGCAGGGGTCGAGACCTCCGGGGCGTGGGGAAAGGTGGCAGAGAAGAGTGAGATGGGAAGAGAGGAGGAACGGTAGCAGATGGGGAGTGGAGGGCACATGGCGGTGCCGCCTCATTCAGACGAGCTGGTGGGAAGCTCCACATCCCCTTCCCTGCCCACCGCCTCTGGTCAGGCCGGTGGAGGGCTCTCCTGGACTCTGCTTACCCCTCCAGTGTCTGAATTGTTCAGCCTACCCATCTTTTGGGTCCTGGCTCCATCCTTCAACATTTGTTTGTGCGATCAGTGTGGCATCGAGGCCTTTGACCAAGGCATTAATACAAAGATTCACTGGCACACCAGGGCCAAGCACAGAGGCCTCCTTTCCAAGGGGCATCAGACCATTAACGGTGGCGCTGGACGCCCCTCACTTTTGTCAACATCACGACAAACTCGATGGTTCACGCTCCCCACACTGTGTCAGAAGTGGAAGTGAGGGTGGTCCAGGATGGCCTCTAGAGAAGCACACACGCGTTGCATGTCCCTACACGGGTGGTCCCTCTGCTGACACAGGTTGCAGCCCTTCCAAACCTGGTCTTTACTTGTCACTGTGGCTGACTGATGGCTCCGTGTGGGGGCACCCCAGAGGGAAGGCCCCACCCCAACCAAGCCTGGCTAGCCTGGCCAGGGCAGTGACAGCTTTCTTCCGTCGTTGCAGGCTGTACCTCATTAACTCCCCTGTGGTCCGAGCGGAGAACCTACGATTTAAAGAGGAGGGGGTCCGAGACGTCCTCAAAGATGTCCTCCTTCCGTGGTACAATGCCTACCGCTTTCTCATTCAGAATGTCCTTCGTCTTCATAAGGTGCGTGCCGGGGTGGGGCTGTGCCGGGTGTGCTGAAGAAGGTGTGGCCGGGGGCCTCTGCCAGCCTAGGGGTGAAAGCCACATCAGCACGAGAGACGCACGGGGGCCTTTGGCCTCTCTGAGAAAGACTAGGTTGGTGGAGGGGGTGAAGGGGGTCTGGAAGGACTTCTGGGCTGGGAGAGGGGGCCCCGAGCATCCCCCAGAGGCTTCTGGGTGACCCGGGGCAAATCATCAGACTCCTCTGATCTTTTTCTTTTTCTTTACCTCTCACCTGAGCAAGGTAAGCTCCCTAGGAGCTTAGGGGACCGGGAGAGCCTTGTTGGGTTTGTGTCTGCTGGGTGGGAGAGGTGGGGGAGGGGGCCATGTCCACATCTGGGTGTATGCCCATGGTGAGAGGAGAATGTTTGGAGTGGTCGGAGTTGGCCTGTGAGCCAAATCCCCTTTAGGGAAGCTTAGAATCCCGTGAAGCAGAAGGAAGGAGGGAGGGCACTCCAGGCATGGGCTGCAGCCTGTGCAAAGGCCAAGAGGCGAGAGATAAGGCTGAGTGCAGAGAATAATGGAGCAGCCACTGTGGGTGGAGCACAGAATGTGTGAAGGAGAGCTTTGTGCCCTGTGTGTGAGCTGAGTGCGAGCTCATGTTTGGCCTCAGAGGGAGGAGTAGCCAATACGCAATGTGTTGGACCCCGGGCAGGGAGTCTGGAGGCAGTAGCCCAAGGAGCGATGATAAGATGTTGTGGAGGGACTCTGTGCCTCCCAGAGTGCTGGGTGCAGAGAGTGGGAAGAGTGGGGGCCCCACAGGGAGATCCAGGGTGCCCGGAAACCCCTGGAAACCTTGGCCCCCACTGGCCCAGTCAGAGAGAAGCGTCACGTGCACTTTGACCAGGCTGTCTCTTCATGGAGAACAAGGCAAATCCTTCCCAGGCATCCCCTCGGGATGTCGCCCATCCCACAGGGGTCCTGTTCTCAGTGATGAGGAGCCTCCTCCCTGCAGCTGGGCCCCTGAAGGCACTGTCTCTTAGAGCCCCTCGGGCACCGGTGCCTGGCACAGCCTCCAGTTAGGAAGGCCTTAGATGGGCCAAGCTGAGTCCCTTCCGAGGGCTCATTCCTGCTTGCCTCCCCAGCTCTGGGCAGGCCATCAGGGGTGCTGGGGACTCCCTGCTCGCATTTCCATAGGCTGCTGGGCCCAGCTCCTGTTAGTCCCAGGGAGCTCTGCAGGTTTAGAGGCCCCGCCTTGGTCCAGGAGCCCTCCCTTCAGAGCTCATTCCTTACTCAGGACACAGCTGGCAACCACCTCGGGCTGGCCGGCCTCTCCCTTAGACCACCCCAGGCTGGCCGGCCCCCCCTTAGACTGCCCGGGGCTGACTGGCCCCCCCCTTAGACCGCTCCAAGCTGACTGGACCCCAACTTAGACCACTCTGGCTCGTGGGGGTCAGAGACATGCCTGCCATCTGCCCTGGGGCCGGGCCTGTCCCCCTCTTAATCCTTGAGCACTGGGGTGCTCTGTGCACAGGACTTCTGGCCAGACGCCATCTCCGGTGTCCTCGGATCTCTCTGTCTCTGTCTCTTTCCTGTGAATCTCTCTGTCCTGTTCTGCTTCTCAGATTCTCTGCTTCTGTCCCTCTTACTCCCTCCCCTCATCTCTCTACTGGTAGACTGACCCAATGGGACTGTTCTGCGACTTTCTGGTCCTTCTCCAGTTTCCCAGGTCCTGGGGTGCCTGGGCTGTGCTGCTTCCTGCTGCCCCGCCAGCTTGGCCCTGCCTCTTTCAAGGCTTTTCGGAGGCTCCCTTGGCTGCTGCACATCCTGTCCCCTTCTCCTCCACGTTGCTTCCTCCGCAGATCCCAAGGAGTCCAGGGTGATAGACGCTCAGGCCTCGTTCTTGCTGTGTGACCAGCTGCTGCTTTTTCCCCTCGTCCGCTTCCCTGGAGAAGTCTTTTGGCACAGGTCCTCCGAGGTCCTTGTTTTGGGTGGCCCTTCACATCCTTCTTCCCTCCCCTGCCGGGTGATGATGCAATGCTCCTTTCTCCCTCAGTGGGGTCCGGTGTTCTAGGATTGTAGGATATTGTATAACAATAGGCCTTTGTTCCTGGGAGAAGTTTGGGATCGTTAAGTGATCTTGCATTTTTCTCAACGCAGTCCTGCCTGCTCTCCTCTTAATTTGGGGCTATCCTGTCCACTCGTACTGTCTGTGTACAATGCAGGTACTGACCAATAGCCTGTGTAGCGTGGGACAGTTTGCGTAATGCCTTTATCCACTTGGTGTTGTCTGTGTGGATGGTCGTGGCTTCTGGGGCTTGGCATAGCAAGCACGGCGCCCTGCCACAGGCGCGTCCACGGGACCTCGCCGTCCTTTTAGCACCTTGCATCACCTCCAGAACTGTGTTGAGCCCCTTGGCAGACAGCCATCTCCCTGGTTTTTGCCTTGCCTGACGTTAATGACATCCTCGGCCAAGATGGTCTCTGGTCTTTCAGGGAAGCTTGAATAACGTCATGTGTGGTTGGGCATTAGCTTGTTGGACCCACCTTTGAAGCAGCCTTTCACTCTGCCAGGTCATGTGGCTTTTCGAATTGGCAGAGGAGGGCAGAGAGATCTTATGTGATCTGCACCTTTCAGACATTCAGTGTAAAGATGTGGCTGCCTTCCCAAGACCCTTTGCAGAATCTCTCTGTGGGTGGGAAGGCGGGCATTTAAGCTGCTCGCCTTGTTTGTCTTGGGTGCCAACCTCCTTTCACTATGAAAAAAGTTCAAGAATTTTCCCACAGTTTTTGTCTCTTGTCCCCTTCCAACTTCTTGGGAATCTACCCAAACCTGCCTCACCATCGTTGCCCGTCCGCACCTCCCTCCCGTTGCCCGTCTGCACCTCCCTCTGTTTGCCTGTCCGCACCTCCCTCCCATCATGAGCTACCCTGATCCAGGGCCTTTCTGCATCTCTGTCCTCACTGGCACTGCCTTCATCTGTTCGATAAGGACACCGAGGACTGGGCAGAGTCCAGACTCTGGTGACTTCTCTTGTCCCTGACAGGGAGAGCCATTGTGAGACTGTCTTGTGTTTGGTGTCTTCCTTTAGTTGGGACTAGGGTCCATGTGACCTCGCTTAGCGGGCTCTACCGGCTTCCCCTCGTCTGCCGTCTTTCTCCAGACTTCACAGCTGGGACTTGGGTTGGCTCTGATCACTCCGTGTCTCTGTGCACTTGGCAGTTGAGGAAAGTGTTTGCTGACTGGAGTCTCTTGTAGGCCTCTTCTGTCTCTCTCAGAACCATTTGTGCCTCATCCGGGTCCCTTCTGTCTCCCATTTTTAATGTCTCCTACCTGGTCCAGTGACAAGTGGTCAGTACACGGGGGACTCAGTTGTGGCCGTCACAGGCTGTCTTGGTCGTCCTTTCATGCTCCTGGATTTGTTCTCATTCCCAGCTTGGCTCCTGGCAGTCCATGGTTGAACGGTTGGCTTAGGCCCAGACCCTGAGGCAGGGCTAACTCTCACGTCAGTGCATCAGTGACCTTTCCGCATGCAGAGCCTGGCTGGTCCTGCCTCATTCCTCTGTCTGTGTGTGTGTGTGTGTGTGTGTGTGTGTGTCCAAGAGTCCCCCCATCCCCAGTCCCAATGCACATGCCCCTCTAAAGGCCCCTCCCAACTCTGTTTCCTAGTTTTTTCACCTCTCTAGAAATTCAGAAGACTTCTAAACCTCTCCAGCCACACGTGTGGTTTCCTCTTTACCTCAGATGAGAGTGAGGTTCCAACTAGCCCTCCATCCCACCTGCTTCCTCCGTGTTAATTCTGCCTTTCATGCCCCATTTTATAATATAATTGCTCCCTTTTACCTTTTCCTGCCCAATTTTGTTTTTTAGAATTACTCTATCATGTACAACTTAGCCCCAGCCTTTCTTTGAAACTACCTTAGTAATGAATGATGACAGTTTTAAGAATACTGCTAACTTTTTCATATATATAATGAGTAAAGTTTTACCTTAATGAGTGCCGTATAATTAGTCTTTAGTGTTTTCCTTATATTTCTTATGTATTTTTTATATTGAATTTTCCGTTGAGTTCTGGTCTCTCTCTCTCTCTTTTTTTTTTTACAAATACCTAAAAGCCTTCGGTTCGTCAGATGTCCTTTTTCTATTCATTCAGAATTACACTCAACTTTACTGTGTAAGTTTTTCTTGGATGCAATCCTAGGTCTTTGGCTCTTTGAAATAGAATGTTCCAAGACCTGTGGTCTTGTAGAGTAGAAGCTGCTAAGTCTTGTGGAACCCTGCCTGCATTTCTGCAGTGTTTAAAGTGGTTTTTTTTTTTCTTGTTGCTTGCCATATTTTCTTCTTAAGTGTTCCTCCTGGGATCTCTTGCAGGCAGTAAAAGGTAGACTTTTTTTTCTATTTCTGCTTTACCCTCTTGGCCTAGAGCTTCAGGGCAGTTTTCCTGAGTAATTTTTTGCGATAGTATCCAGATTCTTTCTTTGGTCATGACTTTGAGTTAGTTCAGCAGTACTTACACTGTCTCTCCCTCACCTGTTCTTCACGTCAGTTGTTTTTCTAATGAGATGTTAGTATCCAGATTCTTTCTTTGGTCATGACTTTGAGTTAGTTCAGCAGTACTTACACTGTCTCTCCCTCACCTGTTCTTCACGTCAGTTGTTTTTCTAATGAGATGTTAGTATCCAGATTCTTTCTTTGGTCATGACTTTGAGTTAGTTCAGCAGTACTTACACTGTCTCTCCCTTACCTGTTCTTCACGTCAGTTGTTTTTCTAATGAGATGTTCATGTCCTCTTATTTTTGCTAGCTTTGTTATCTCTTGGTGTCATTTGATTCCTCCTGGCCAGTTCTAGTTTTCAGGGAGTTATTTTTTGCTTCTTTAAGATCTTGGACCTCTTTTTCCAATTGGTTAACTTTCTTTTCATCATTTTCTTGAATTGCTTTGTTTTTCTCCTAATTTTTCCTCAATCTCTCTTATTTGATTTTTGAATTCCTTTTTAAGTTCTTCCAAGAACTCTCTAGATAGGAGTGGCTTTTTTTTTTAACGTTGCTGTCTTCCTCTGCATATGAACCCGGACCTTCTTTCACACCCTAGTGGGCTGCAGGCCTGTGAATAGGTTGCTTCCCTGCTGGCCTGTCTTCATTCCGTGGCTCTGCCTTCCCTTTCTGCTTAGTCCCGCTAACGTGCCCCGTGACCCCTTAAGGCTTCCAGGCGTGCCCGTGCTCGACGTCATCGCCACCCCCTGAAGTGTCTGTCCCTCTGGCGTGGTCTCTCCTTACATGCTACTTTGTGGGTTTACCTTAGACCCCCCCCCCCGTGAGAGTGGAGACCGGAGAGATGGCGTTGTTTTTCATCCCCAGGTCCCCATCACCTACCATCGTCTTGCTATAATAACTGGCAAGCGTGTTTGAATTTTTGAGGTCCAGTTAGAAGGATGTGGCAGATTGGAGGTAGGAGAGGTCACACAGGTGCAAAGAGATCAGGGCTCTTCTTAGACAAGGGGGTCACAGAGCTGTGGCCTGAAGGAAGAGAAGGATTTTAGCCCTTGAAGAGATTGGAAGGTTAGGGTTAGAGCCAGCTTGTGGAAGGCCTTGGATGCCCTGCCAAGATAATGAGGCTGTAGCACAGATGGATGAGTCCTGGGTCACGGCTGGCGTGTAGCGGGGTGAAGGGGCCCGGCCACGTGGCCTTCCCGCCTTCTCTGCTCGTCGGACCCCAAAAGGTGGTGTTTCTTTGGCAGAAGCTTCTCTAGTCCATGCCAGCCTGGCTTCCATGTAAACGGTCCCCTTGCCTTTTCCTGGCCAGGAGGAGGAGGTAGAATTCCTGTATAATGAGGACACCGTGAAGGAGAGCAGCAACATCACTGACTGCTGGATCCTGTCCTGCATGCAGTCCCTCATCGGGTTCTTTGAGGTTGAGATGGCTGGTGAGGACACGGGGAACGGGGACAGGCTCCCTCTGTGGGGGCTCCTTCTGCCGAGCCCCTCCCCTAGCACCTGGGCTGATGAGCCTGCCCTCAGGCGAGCGTTTATGAAGCACCTACTGGGTGTTGGGCCCTGGGGTGGGGGTGGGGGGATAGGAGGACAGAGAAGGAAGCAGGGCCTGTCCCCCTGGAGCGGGCACAGCCAGGAGGGGATGGGGCTGAGTAACAGAGAGAGGGTACCAGGGCCTAGCGGGGGAGGTCAGCAGGGGCCGGCATTGCCGGTGCTCCATGGGCAGGTCACTGCTGGGCCGTAGTGAGGCAGAGACGTCAGGAGAGAGCTTGAGGCCCGGGGAATCGGGAAGGCCTGCTGACCTGATCCTTCCTTCTTGGGCCACTCCAGCTTACCGACTGTACACCGTGGTGCCACGATTAGTTAAGTTTGTGGATGGGCTGACCAACTGGTACGTCCGAATGAACCGGCGGCGGCTCAAGGTGAGCATCCGCTCGCAGGCGGGCGGGCGAGAGCATGGGTGGTGCCGCCTCGGGACACCGTGGGGCCTAGGGGCACTCAGGGTGGCCGAGGAGGACACTGTCCCCTGCAGGCTTCCGCAGAGGCCCACGGCCTCCTGTTCTCGAAGGGCTGCTGCATGGGGCCACATTTCCTCATGGGGCCCTTCCTTCCCCCCTCCCCCAACCCTTTAAGATACAGAGGAGGGCTGGGCCATCCAGGATCTCGGGGCGGGCGGCATGCCTCCTGTGCTCCACACCCCCAGGAAGCAGGGAGGGGGCCCCCACTCGGGGCCCTGAACTCCATTTTTCAGTGTTCTCATTGGACAGAAACAGGGTGGTTTTTCTGATCTTTTTTCTTCAGGGTGAAAATGGGACCGATGACTGTGTCATGGCCTTAGAGACTTTATTTAGCATTCTCTTCTCCCTCTGCAAACTGATGGTAAGCATGCCCCTCCCTCCCGCCCTCACTAAGCCCCCGGGTTCTCCAGGTGTGACACCCTCCAGCTGCTGCTGGTGTTGGCGGTGGTGGCGGCCAGGCCTCTGAAAGGAGCCCACGTCCCGCCCTGAGGGGTGCCAGCGGAACCCACGCAGCCATCACTAGTAGCCTCCTGACGAGGGCTGTTGAATAACGTAGTTGGTGCTGGGGCTGGGCCCAGGGCCTTGGGACAGTTGTAGACCGCGCTCCTGCCAAGTCACATCCCAGTGTTCCACCCTCCCCCAGCCCAGCTCTTTGGGGTTCTGAAGTGGGGATATTGGGCTTTGGGGGCTACACACATGTAGCATGTCCACCTGGCTTTTGTACAGTAGAAAAGCAGCGAGTCCTCTGCATTTTGTACGTGTCCCACCCCAGTTGTGTGATGCAGCTCGGGGGGGTACAGCCCTGCCTCAGCTGAATGGGGGTCTGGCTGCCATCTTGGTTACGGTAGTTTCTCCAACCACAGGCAGGGCCGTTTGCCCCTCGAGTGTGTGTATCTCCTGCTGTTGGAGATCACTGCCCTATGCCATCAGTGACTGTACTGGGCAGGGGCCCTCTCCTCTCTCCTTTACACAGGCCCCCTACACCCCTTTCCTCACGGAGCTGATTTACCAGAACCTGAAGACCCTCATTGACCCGGCCTCGGTCCGGGAGAAGGACACACTGAGCATTCACTACCTCATGCTTCCTCACGTCCGGTAAGCATCGGCACACTCCACTGCACAGGTGGGTGTTCCCTACGTGATCACAGCTGCTCCCCCCTTCCCTCTGGCAGCCTGCGAGAGTAGGGAGGACTGCCCCCATTGCAGGGATGGGGGGACTGAGGCCTCTTCGTGGGCCACAGGGAAGCCTATAAGAAAGGAGGGCCCTCCCTCACCTACAGATTCCTCAAAACTCCCCATTCCCTTTTTGTCCAGCCTGCCCAGTGGGCCCAGCTAACCTACACCCTCATCCTCACTGTCATTGTGGAGGTGCTGGGTGATTAGGAGGAAGGTCACTCTGTGTTACTAGGTCTGGGGTTCATTTATCATTTTGCCAGGAAAAGGCAATTTGGAAAGGAAGGCACCTCACTTGAACCCATGTTTGAGGTGTGATGCTCCTGGGTTTTCTCTCCTACTCCCACCAGAGCAGAGTCAGAGGAGAGGCGGGAGTGGCACGGGGCAGGGTTAAAGGCCAGGCCCGGGCCAGCCAGCTTTCTGATGGGCCGCCTGTTCCTGCCCTGGCTGGGTGTGGTGGGGAGCTTGGGGCGGCTCCCTGAAGGCACTTGGCCTTTGCTGATTCTGCAGTATCAGCGTGTGTTTGGTCCTCACCATCCTTCTTAGAGCCCACAAGAATTGAAAGGGGTGGGAAACTCCCCAGAGGGGGCGGGCAGCGCCGTCAGCCACTTAGGGGCTTTCCACCCACCCCAGAGAGGATCTGATTGACAAGAAGACCGAGAGCGCCGTCTCCAGAATGCAGTCCGTCATCGAGCTGGGCCGAGTCATCCGGGACCGCAGGACGATTCCGATCAAGGTAAGGTGGGCAGAGCCCTGCGCAGCGCCCCTTCCCGCCTGTGTCTCCGCAGCCTGGGCCTTCTGGTCAGGGCTGATGGAGAGTGGGTGTTGTGCCCTTTCTTCTCTCTCCAGTACCCTCTGAAGGAGATTGTGGTCATCCACCAAGATCCCGAGGCCCTGAACGACATCAGGGCTTTGGAGAAGTATATCCTGGAGGTAGGCCTGTGTGGACCTCTCGGGGGCAGGGGCAGGGCGGGGGGATGGCAGGGGGGTGGGGAGCGGCAGTGGCCCCTGGCCTCGCACACCCCATCAGAGGGAAGTTTTCTCTGCTGGACCCATTCCTTAGGTGGCTCTCAGCTCTCAAGGAAGATGTTTCCCAGTGACGGACAGGCTGATGCAGCCGGCCCTGAGCCATCCAGGAAAGACCAGGCTGTTTGCGCTAGGCCAGCTCTGTCCTCCAGGTCCGGCCTGCCTTTAGCACGACTTTGTTGTTCAGAACTGGTCGTGCATGGACAGCTTTGGGCCCGCCCCCCACGCCCCGGCTCCCTCAGGAAGTTGGGTCTCCCCCTGCCCAGCCCACCCAGTCAGGCCGCCAATGGCGCCTCACGCCACGGACTGGAGCCTGTTCATCATTTTGTGACCTTTGGCATTTGTATCTTCTTTAAAATAAATACAGGAGTTGAATGTTCGGCGGGTGACCTTGTCTACAGATAAACAGAAATACGGCATCCGGCTCAGAGCAGAGCCCGACCACATGGTCCTGGGCAAGCGCCTCAAAGGGGCCTTCAAGGCTGTGATGGCGTCCATCAGGGAGCTGCCCAGCGAGCAGCTGGAGTGCCTGCAGCGCACTGGTACGTGGAGGCCCCTGGGGCATTCTGCTCTCGCCTCCACCCAGGGACAGGGCTGGCGGAGGCTGCAGGTATGGCTGGGCCTGAAGGGCATGGCCATGAGCGACCAGCAGCCTGAGCCGGACGCGTCCTTCTCGTGGCCCGACTGCCCGCCAGCCAGGCCCGGGGTGGGTGGTGGCTTTGTCGGGATCTGGAAGAACAGGGCTGGGTTGTCAGAGGCATATCCACCGTTCCCCGATTCCCAGGCCTTTCCACGTTCTCTCACTTCTGCCCCAAACGTCTGGTTTCATGGGAACCTTAACCCCGTCCCCACCCAGGCACTTGCGCTCAAATTGGCTGTTTTGCAAAGTGGGAGCTGGGCAGAGGCCACAGGGTGAAGGGCAGGGACACCTGCCGCGAGCCTGGAGCCCCTCGCTCCGCTCCCTCCTGGCCGGCCCGGAAGGGGCGTCACAGTGCCCGGCGCCCCTTGGGGGGAGCCCCACGCGCCAGGCCTGACAGCTGCGTTTCCATAGGATCCCTTGTTGTGGAGGGGCATGAGCTTCGCACAGAAGACGTCCGCCTGCTGTACACCTTCGACCAGGCCTCGTCTCACTATGAAGCGCACTCAGATGCTCAGGTGCTGCCCATGCTGCCCTCACGGCCGGTGCTTCACCCCATCAGCAGGGAGCGGGCTAAAAGTCAGGTTCTGTAGGGATGCAGGAGGGAGTGGTCTTTTGTTCTCTCACTCAGTAACGCAGTTCAGAGTGAGAAGGGGCCCTGCCTTCGAGGAACAGCAGAAGGAAATGAGCATTGATTAAGCACCTACTGTGTGCCAGGTATTCTGCTGAGCACTTTACAGTTGTTATCTCGTGATCCCCACGACAGCCTTGGGAGGGGTGCTGTTATCATCATTTTACTGTTGAAGCAATTGAGGCAGGCAGCATTAGTTAAGTGGCTGGCCCAGGGCCATCTAGCTAGTAAGGTCTGAGGCGGGACTTGAACTCGTCTTGCTGACTCCAGACCCTAGCGGCCTCGTGGAGCTTGTGTTGACTTGTTGGACCCTCTGAACCAGCAGGTGCAAACGTGACTTCCCTGACTGATGGGAGAAGTCCAGAGGTTCTGGCCCACGGACCATAGGCAGGGGGGAGAAGGCAGCTTTTCTCGTGTCACCTGGGTGTTGGAGAATGGACAATGGCCCTTGGGTCCTAGCTGTACTGTGTCCCACGGCAGGCAGAGGACAACCCCAGATTCCCCCGGGTGGTGGACAGACTCGTGTCCCCAGCAAACCAGCAGACACACGAGATGCTTTAGCTCTTGGCGTGCACTGTCTTTGCTCAGTCCGGTCAGAGCAGCATCTCCCTGTGTTGGAGAGCCCTTGACACCCACCCTCGCGCCCTCGCTCTCTCCCCCGTAGGTCCTGGTACTCCTGGATGTCACCCCCGATCAGAGCATGGTTGACGAAGGCATGGCCCGGGAGGTCATCAACCGCATTCAGAAGCTCCGGAAGAAGGTGAGGCAGGCATGGGGAGCCAGGGACGTGCCGTGACACCGTGATGCGTACGTGGGTCACTGAGTCGGGGCGAGCATGGGTGAGCAGGCCCTGCTTCCATTGGGTGGCGGGCACCTGCTGCCGCTGGGCGCCTCACCCTCTCTCCGCTGACGCTGATCTCCGGTTTTTGTCTCTGATTTGAAGTGCAATCTGGTCCCGACGGACGACATCGCTGTGTACTACAGGTCCCCCTCTCAAGGGGACTACCTAGACACTGTCATCCGGACTCACACGGACTTTATCTTGGCCACCATCAAGGCTCCTCTCCAACCTTACCCAGTGCCGCCATCGAGCAGAGTGCTCATCCAGGAAGTGACCCAGGTGAGTGCGGGGCCTCTGTGACAGCGCCCTTAGGCCCTGGAGGCCAATGCTGGAGCTCATCCTGGGAGGAGGCCTCGGGTAGAGGCCCCTGGGGATCCGTCCCTTCTTGGAACCTGCTGGCTGGCAGCGCCAGGACCCAAGGAGACCCAGACCGTGGACTGACCCAATGACATGGCCACGGGAAGGCCACTGAGGCTTGGCTTGGGTTCTGCACCTGCCCTGCAACCATCGATGGGGAAGTAGGTGGGGTCTGGGAGTCAGCAGGGGTGCAGTGCAGTGGCTGGAAATGACCAGGTGGCCGAGGGTCCCTGGGCACCACCTTTTCCTTGCTAGTCGGAAGAGGGCCCTGAGACACATAGCCAGAAGAGTGAGGAGGGGACGTAAGTGCATCCCATTGGAAAACAGGTTGAAGGAAGTGTCAGGGTCGGGGAGAGCCAGGCTCCAGACAGCTGTCTGTCCTCGAGAGGGATTGCCCTTGGTCTGCTTGGCCCCAGGGCATCGAAGGGCGGGGGAACAAGCTGCCTTGGCAGGTAGTGGTCACTGAAGGTCTTCTGGCAAAGCCCAGGCAGGGGCTCCCAGGGCTCCTCCACCACTGGGTACGGAGGGGGAGTATGGCTGCGTGGCCGCAGTTGTCTTTGCTCTCTGGACTCTGTGGCCTTGGGCTGACTCCTGGAAAACAGGCGCCCACCCCAGTGTTGGCAACATGCTTCCTTTGTGCTGGGCACTGTGCCCAAAGGGGACCCCTTCCCTTCAGGAGCTTCCATTCTAATGGGGGAGAGATAGCACAGAGGAAGGGACTGAAGGGGCGTGGGTGAGCTACCCACGAGAGCCTCGCTGGTCGGAGAAGGCAGCAGGCGCCGCAGAAGGTGCCCCAGAGGACCGTTCAGGGGCCGCCGCAGCTTCTGCAGACCCCCTAGGGCTTTCTGGGCATTGTCACCTGCAGGCCCATCTTTCATTTGTTCTACTTTAGGGGTCCCTTGGGTCCCCCCTCAGGGGGTGGTTAAACACTAACCCCCCTCTTGTATTCAGCTCAAGGGCTCTGACCTGGAAATCACCCTGACCCAAAGCACGGCCCCACCTGCAGCCCCGCCTGCTCCTGCATGTGCTTACGTCAATCTGGACGTCTGTGTCGATGGTAAACAGCGAGGTAAGAGGAGAGCGCTGGCTGGGCTCTCCACGCCCCCTTGGCGTGGCATGTGTTGCACTTACAATTGCCTGTTTCCTTGGGCCCCTCCCCACCATGTTGGTGCATCAAGTGGAGCAAAGGAACCAGCCCCTGTCATCAGGCAGCAGTCTGCCCTTGGGGGGCCCATGGCCCCCACTCCTCTCCTAGCTCCCTCGAGGCAGCACAAGCTTGCACACCAAAAGGGTGTCTCCTCTTCTCCTGGGCAGCAGTGGGACAGACCTGGTGCTGGGGACATCCAGCCCAGGGAAGAGGAGCTAGGGTTTGGGCCGAGAGCAGCAGAGGAAGCTGCCCCCAGGTGCTGCGAGGCCCCTGAGCCTCTCACAGCCAAAGAGGCAGGCCCCAGAAGCTCCTCCTCATCACTGCCCCATCCCTGGGCCTTGGGCCTGTAAGCTGGGGGTCCCCGTAGTGATGGTAGACAGCCAGCATTGGACTAAGGCGCGTAGGGAGAGACCCAGACTGTCTGGCAGTGCTCAGAGATCTGTGCCGCAGGCCTGATGCCGTCAGTACTGCAGCCTGCCATATCCCGCCAAGGTCTAAGGAGGTAGCTTTGCATTGGAGGCTGACTCCACTAGCCTCAGAAGCCATTCCCAGCCATCTAGGCCTCGCATCCTATGGGCCTAATGGCCTGGCCTCTTCCCCGCATCCTTTTTTCCAGTTAATTATCACCAAAGAAATCATTCAGGCTTCCTGTGGGCCCCACACTCACACTCTGAGATGCCTTCCTTCCTCTCCACGTTGGTGTGTCCTCCCGGGGGCCAGATGGGCCCTTCTCTCCACTTTCTCCCTGTGGTTTCATCTGTGACAGCTTTTCCTCGAGCTGTTAGCCTGAAGCCAGGCTCCATGATTCTCTGGAAAGACCCCCTCCTCTCCCGTCCAGCTCAGAGGCCTTGTTCCTAGCAGGGCCAACCAAAAGCCTGCTTTGGCAAGGCCAGAGTTTGGGCTGACCTTCCCTCCTTGCCACACAGCAGGGCCCTCCAGGCTCCTCCAGGCAAGCCCTTCTTTCCAGTTTCTCCTCCCCAGGGCTCTGTCTCTGACAGCTTTCCCAGCACCGTTAGCCCCTCTGGCCTCTCTTCTGAATGCTCCAGTTTGGCCTGGGCTCAACGCATGTAACTTGGGCCTGACTGAGCCTCGCCCTGACGGGCACAGAGCCCCGTCTTGATGAAGTGACCACTTGAGGCACAGTGCCCTGTCCCCTCATCGAGAGGTCACCCAGAGAAGATTAGGGAAGGAAACGAGGCTGATTTTCTCCTCTTTTTAGGTGGAGTCCTGCTCCTTGAGAATCCCAAAGGAGATCACCAGCTAGACCTCACAAAACTCAAGGGTGCCATCAGCAGCATCTTTGACCTTGGTGCTCCACAGCTGGCTGTTTTCCACGGAAATACAGGTTTGTGACTGAGCATGAGGAATCTCACAGCAGACAGTCGGCCACTCGGTCGGCCTCTGCCTTATCAATCGTCTGCTGCCAAAACCGCCGGTCACTCTTTGGGTCACGTGTGGCGTGGTGGCCGCTCCCTTCCAGCCTCTGCCTGGGGCTCCTCGCGGCCCCTCACACATGCCCGCCACGTGGCCAGCCAGGCTCCTCCTTCTCATCGTGGGTGCGCCAGGCCCCTGGCCCCCTCAGCCTGAGCCAGGGGCTCGGGGACCACGGGAGAGAGGCTCTGATATAGTCACAGTCTTATACTTGAGCCCCTTAAAGGGAGAATTCAGGCGCTTTGTGTTGAAGGAAGAAATGAGTGCTTGGGTATCAGACTTCCTGATGGCCAACAGTTGTCTCCCCCAAGATGTTGGGACATGCAGCTCGCCTGTCCTTGGGCTCCCCATGTCCTGCCCGCCATGTGGAGGGGCCTGAAGGAGACCGGTGATGGTGGTGGGAAGCCCCAAAGCCGATAGAGTATAAGAGTAGCCTCCCCCTGGGCTCTCAGGAGGATGATTGGGCTAGGAGGAAGCTGCGGGCCTGTGCTGGCGATTCGTGCCTGGCTTCCCAAAGCCTTGGCTGCGAGGTGGAGTTAGGGGTTGGTTCTGAGCCCCCCACGATGCTCTCACCTGTCAGGGCTCCCCAGACCCCATGCCTTTGGCTGGTTTGCACTTTGAGCAGCCTCTCAAGTGGGCCGGCTGGGAACCCTAAGAGGCTCGAAGGTGACTTTGGGGTGTTCAGGCTCCTCGCGGTCCCCTCCCATGGAGGAATCGAGATGCGGTCATTTGTCAGTTCATTATTAAAAACCTCATGTTCCCCTCCCGGGACTCACCACGCATCTTAAACGAGCTCTGCCTCTGCTGGCGTTTGCTTTACCCGCTACTTTGTCCTTCGTAAAATGGGAGGATTTGGGGATCGGCCTCAGGCTTCCGCGTGGGGGGGATCGCAGGCGGCTGGGAGAAGGCATTTCAGGCGGTTCTCTGGTGCTGGCAGGCGCGTGCTTCTCAGGGTGTCCCCTCCCCTGCCCCCACCCTGGCCAGGACAGCCTTTGCTTCCCCCACGGGTGTTGGGTGTGGCTCAGGGACACAGCCAGCCCCTGGGTCTGTCCTTCATCTCTGGTAGGTGACGGGGTGACTTCATGCATGTGTCCCAAGTGTGATACCCATTAACTCCTCCCGTGCGCATCATCGCTGGGGAAGGGGCTCACTCACGCTCCCTTTGGTCTTTGGGTGTCACCATGAGCCCCGAGTGTCCTTTGCTTTCACACCATGAAGAATGAGCTCTCTGAGCTGCCCAAGTCAGCTTGAATTGTGCTTCCTGGGGCCCTGCCTGGGCAGAGCAGATGGGCCTGATGCCTCCCGGCTCAGGCCTCTCCCTCCTTGCAGAAGTTGTCAGCAAAACTGACTTGCTGAGTCTCAGCGGGAAGACCCTGTGTGTGACGTCAGGATCCCCCCCGGCAGTGGTCCAGAACCCCAGTGTTCTCTGCGGCTTCCTCAATCTACAGCTGGTGAATGCCAAGCCACAAGGTATGTGGGCAGCAGGGGCGGGGCGCTTGGCCTCCATCCCCGTCCTTCTGGGGGCAGTGGCTGAGGGAGGGTGGAGGGTGATGGGGACCTGTTTCTGGAGGATCGGGGTCTGTGGCTGCTCCCCCGGCAGCCTCGGGCCCCTGGGAGCATCAGAGGCCAGGGCTGAACCCCACCCATCCACTGGGCCCTCAGCCAGGGGAAGGGCTTGCCTGGAGGGGACCTGACGGCCCTGCTTCTTCCCTAGAGTGTCTGGTGGGACAGGTGGGCACACTGCTGCTGGAGAACCCGCTGGGCCAGAAGCCCCTGACCTACCAGGGCCTGCTCCATGAGACCGCCAAGGTGTTTGGCCTGCGCAGCCGGAGGCTCCGGCTCTTCTTGAACGAGTCCCAGACCCAGGGTGAGAAATCTCGACGGGGTGGGGGACCGTGTTGGGGCCGCGTTCCCCTGTGCTCAGGGAGGCGCTGTCGCCCTTTGCAGCTGCCTGGCCTCCCTCGTTACTGCCTCCTGTAGAGAGGGTCAGTGCTTCTGGACACGGCCATAGTGCACTCATCCCACACAGTGCTCCCATCCAAATGGAAGTGGGGAGCGGCTCACACAGCGAGCGTCCCCAAGGCAGAGTCACCCCTGGCCCACAGGGATCCTGCTGCCCCCCCAAGGCCTCCCAGTGCCCACAGCCACCTCTGAGCTTCCTCTGGGCTGTGCCCATGGGCGTCCTAGGAGGGCAGGGCCCCCGGAGTAGGGAGGACCTGGGCCTCGCAGGGGCCTTAAGTGGGACGAGGCAGAGTAACCAAGGGTGGTCTTTGGTGCCCTTTCCCCTTCCCACCCTTAACTCCAGCTGCTCTCAAAGGCCTGTTCCCCAGGGTGCCCTGCGTTCCCTGCCCGTGAGGCAGCAGGGGGCGCCACAGTACACAGAGCGCTGGGCCTAGAGTCAGGGAGGCCTGAATTCAAATCCTGTCTCAGACACTCACTACCTGTGTTACCCTGGGCAAGTCACTTCCCCCCGCCTCAGTTTCCTCAACTGTAAAATGGGGGTGACAATAGTGCTGGCCTCCCAGGTTGTCAAGATCCCGTGAGATCATGTTCTTGAAGCTCTTTATAAATGCGTGCTGTCACCTCCATTGCGGTTTAGCCTGGCCGGTGAGCTAGTGCAGGAGAGCCGGTTTGGCTGCAGGGCCTTGAATGGCAGACCTAGAGGAGGGATACACACCAAGGGACCCCGCAGATACTCACTTTGTAGAGTAGGAAACAGGCCTGCAGGGGAAGGACTTTGCGATTGCCCGGCTGGTGAAATCGCTGCTCAGGATTTGAACCCAGGACACCCACTGCCCTGTCTGCCATGCTATACTTGCTTCTTCATCTCTTCATTCCTGCAGCATATATTAGACACCTACTGTTTGTGGTGCAGCATGAGAAGGGAAGAGAGCTGGCCAGGGCTCCTAGCAGCCCTTCTCGTTACACGGCCTCAAACGTGCCCCCCGTGGCGGGTGGGTGGGAGCTCACGCTCTGTTCTCTTCCCTCCAGAGCTCACGGAAGACGTCTCTATGAAGTCGCTGAACATGCAGACAGTGTATGTAGACGTGTTACCCACCACCGCCGAGTGCTGACCGCCCCCTTGCAGACACAGTGTGGCAGCAGGCACGTCCATGAGGTCACCCCCGAGGACGGGCGCCCAAACCCAGCGCTTCCCTTCTGCCCTGAAGCTGGGGTGGGGGGAGGTGTCAGTACCCCAGGGACTTTGGCCAATAAATGTGACCTCCCTCGAGAAGTCAGCCTTGTGTCTTTGGTGACGCTCTGGTTCTGGTCAGCTAGCGTGGGCGCCGTGAGCATGGGGCCGGGCTCCCACCACAGGAGCTGGCACAGGCCAAGACTGCAGACGGGTCACTTCCAGGGGCTCTGGTGCCAGCCGCCTTGAGGAGCCTGGGCCCTCATGACTCCAAGTTTGCCTGAGAGCATGTCGGAAAGCCCGGCCCGGGCCTGGCCTCCCTCCTGCTCTCTGGCCAGTGTCCGTGAGCCCTTCCTCCAGGAGGGAGGTGGCAGCCACGGCCCTCACGAGGTCCGGCCTGGCACACAGTAGGCGCTTCATCCGCGCTTGCTCCCTTCGCTGGCTGAGCGCCAGGGCGCTGGAGGGGCCTGGGTCTGAGCCACGGTGGACGGCTGCTGGGACAGTCGGGAGTTCCATTCGTACCCGCGTGGGCTTGGGTCAGTCTTCTGTGGGGAGAGGCCTGTCTCTGCCCTGCCTGTCTCGGCTGTCTGGCCGACTCCTGAAGGAAGGGCCAGTCAAACAGCGTTTATTCAGTGCCTACTCTGTGCCGGGGCCTGTGCTAAGCACTAGGACACAGCTGAGGAAGCCTCCTTGCTGACTGGTGAGGGCAAGCTGGAGAGGAAAGAGCCACAAAGGTTTGGGGGCACTGACACTGAGCTGGCAGTGGGGGAGGGGGGCGAGGGGCGAGGACCTGGGTTCAGATCCTGTTCCATGTGTGTGATCTGGGCCTTAGGAAGAGTTTTTTGGTGATTGTGTGAAGGATGTATCAGATGAGGAAACTCCCCAAAGGATTGCAGTTACTTGGGAGGGGGTCTGTATAATGGGGACAATCTGAGTAAACCATGGGGGTGGGGCAGGTGGGGAGCCCCACCAGCTTTACCTCAGTGAGGAAGTCCAGCTTGGGGGGAGGTTGGAGGGTGGAGGTGGGAGGTTTGGGAGCCCTCTGGGCAGAGACTAAAAATGAGCCCAGGGTAGCGGGCGCTGGGCTGGGCTGGGCAGAGCCGTGGAGGACGCACTTGAGTCAAGGGCAGGAGATGGGGCCCAGGCCGAGCTGAGGGGGACCAAGGAAGGGGCCGGCATCTGGAGGAGCAGGGGCCTGACTGTTCACTGAGGACTGGGGGGATGGGAGTGGCTAGCGGCAGCTCATCCCTCCCTGAGCTGCTGGGTCAGCTGCAGCAGGCGTGGATGCCCATTCAGGCACAGGTTGGCCAAGGTGCCCGCTGAGGCCCCCCTAGCTCTGAGGATGATTCAGCGAGGCCCTTCTGTTTGGCACCCTGGGAAGCAGGTGTTATGGGTATTATCTGTGGCTTATTAGGGACCTGGCACCATGCTCAGGCCGTGGATACCTATGCCTGCCCTCAAAGAGCTTATAGTCTGAAAGGAAAGACAGTGCACAGAAATGCGGGGACTGGGAGGGCGAGGAGGGCGATTCCCGTGATGGGGCATGTGCTAAGTTCAAAAGGAACTCGTGAGACAACAGCTGAAGTCTGGGAAGACAGGAGCGTACCAGGAGGGGAGAATGTCTCTTTTACAGATGAGGAAACTGAAGCAAACAGGGTAAAGTGACTTGCCCAGGGTCACCCAGCTAGGAAGCGTCTGAGGCAGGATTTGATCTCATGAAGATGAGTCTTCCAGACTCCAGCCCCGGGGCTCTGGGTGGCCCCCAGGCTCTGACTCTCCCTCCTCTTTCCCTTTCCATCTCTTTCTGTCCCTGCATGGCTGTACTGACATGGACAAAGGACAGGCCCAGCAGCCATGCTCCCTCTGCCTCGGTCCTGCTCCTGGGTGTCTGCAGGCAGGTCTGGGGGACCCGAGATTCTGCCCCTGCTTTGTTCAGCCTAAATACCCTCCTTTCCTGGGCAGGCACCAGCAGCCTGGGCTTCCACCTTCTCTGCCCTGCCTTAGTTTCTGACCCCCAGCACCTGGACCAGTGACGTTTTGTGAGCACAGAAAATGAAATGAGGAAGCCCATTTCCCCATTTTGAGAGGCTATAGAAGGGGAGTGTCAGGAGCACGGGGCTGGACACCTGCCTAGCTCACCTGCTGGCCATGTGGCCTGGGCCAGTCCTGGGCCATGGAGCTTGACCCTAACCCAGGCAGATGGTGAAAAGGAACAGGCAGGGCTTGGACTAGGTCCTTCCTCAGTTGCCAAATTCTGCAGTTTTTTGAGCCTCTTCATCTGTAAACTGGAAATAACCTCTGGGTTACTGGGAGTGAGATTATCAGAAGCGCTCTGCAGACTCCAAAGTGCACCAGGCTCTTCTAGCTGCCGCAGAGCTGGCTTCCACACCTTGGTCTGGCCCTCACTCCAAGGCCACCGATAGGTAGCCTTTCCTGACAAGTGGAGACTCCAGAGGAAATCAGTCATAGGCTTGCCTGATCTGGGGCCCCATAGGAACAAAGGCACGCATTTTTTCAGAGAGAAAACTTTATTTGGTGCGCAGCTTTGGGGATATTTCAATAGGACACGGTTGTTATTTGCCACCAATGTTCCCCAGACCCCCTCGACTGAGCTCCTGTGCCCCCGGGGTTCTCTGCTCTAGAACTACCTGGAAAGGCCCCCGGGGGACTCCCACAGAGACCTCTTCCTGCTCTTGGCCTTGGGCCAGCCAATCTCCTCCTACACCCTGGCTAGAAGAGATTCAAGCCCGGTGGAAGAAGAGCAGGCCGAGCTGGCCAGGGCTGCCTCAGGGGTACTGAGCTCCCCTTACCCGGGAAGGGATCCTTGGTCCCGCAGAGGCTGGACCAGAGAGGCCTCTGCCGCACCATCGGTGTCTACGGCCCTGACAACTTGGGGGCTATGGGCTTCTCTTTTCCCTCTGCTGGAGGGCTTCAGGTAGGTCTGTAGAGGCCCAGTCTTCTGGCAGCTTCAGAGATGTGAGGGCCTTTTCTCTTTGGAAAAGGGTAGTGGCTCGCCCCCCCGGGACCAGCAGGGCTCTTCATGCCCTGAGGAGCACCCCCAGGGGCTGGGGTAACCAGCTGAGGAGGCTCTTTCTGGGGGTCCTGATTGGGAGGGACCCGCCCATTGGCACCTTCCTCCAAGGGCACCCATGGGTCCGAGGCAGGCTGCCTAGCCGTGGGAAGAGGCAGCGTCTTCCAGCAGGTGGAGTGACGTAGACGGTGGATGGCCAGGTGGGTGCGCCAGGGGTCCTGGATGCTCCCTGTGCCCAGCGTGTCCGGCCTCACAGTGGCCTCCAGCCTAGGGCCTCTGCGCAGTGGGGCTCTCCTTTCCTTCTTACTACCACCAGCACAGTTCTCATCTGGGGGGGTAATAGAGAGCCGGATTAGTGTGGGCAGCTTCCCTCGGAGGGCCTGAGCAGAGAAGAGCCTTCTCATTTACAGAGGAGAAAACAGGCTCAATCACTCGCCTGAGGTCACACAGGCAGGAACATTCAAAGTGAGACTTGAACTCAGGTCCTCAGACCCCAGAACTGGGACTCATCATGCTGGACCAGCCTGCCTCCCTAGGATCTTCCTTGGTGAAGCAGGGGATGGCATCCTCAGCTGTTTGTGAGTGTGGTGGGGAGGTGTTCTGGGCCCAGGATAACCTGACTGAGGACCCCCATTTCAAGCAGTCATGCTAGGACTGCTTCTGGGGGTGGTCGGGGCCAGTATCGGGAGTGGACACAGCCCTCACAGACCCTCGAATGAGCCTTTTCCCAGAGTGCCGGGGCTCAGCTCCACTGCTTGGCTCCAGCCTCCTCGAGACCCATCTGGCGGGCACGGGCAACCTAGCCAGGAGGAACACCATTCACCGGGTGCCTGTCTGGGTTAGGATCAGCTCAGCCCAGTCTGGAGAGACCGTCAAGCCCAAGCCTAGAGGTCTCAGGCCATGGAAAGCACGCTGGCCTTTGGTCCAGAGGACCTGGGTCTGAACCCTGGTTCTAACACTTCCTGCCTCTGTGGCGCTCGGCAAGTCACATGATCTCTCTGGGCCTGTAAAAGGAGAGGCTTGGGCTCGGTGACCTCTGGGGTCTGTGATGCTCTGATCTCATTGCTGCTGAGATGGTGCAGAATGTCAGGGCGTCTCCTGGCGCCAATAATGACACAGTCCAGACGTGCATCGGTGACCTTGGGTATGCAGGAAGTGGTCAATTTGATGCACATTTATTATGCACCTACTGTGTGCCAGGTGCTGGTGGGGAGTGGGCCTAAGGCCCAACCCTTGAGGAGCTTATCCCCTACTAACATCTGAGGTGGATTTCTAGCCTGGGCATGACGGGGACTGAGATTCACCGCCATCCACTGGTGCAGCTTCCTGGCCTGGGTCCTTTCTCTGTCCCTAATCACTAGGGATGACCTTCCCCTGAAAAAGGACCTGGTGGGCCCCCAGTGATGGCTCAGCCACCGGCAGTGGTAGCCCCTTGCAACCCAGGAGTTGTCCTTCCCCATGTCCGACTCTGATGCTCAGACCAGGCACTCAGTGCCTCCATATCCCTGCCTCCCAGCCTGGCCCCATCGGGGCCAAGTCATCCCACGCTGGCCAAGGGTCCAATGGTTCCAGCCCGGGGGCATCACCTCATTGCCTCCCAACATCGAACCTGGACCAAGAGATGCCTCCATCAGAGCCGCCTCTCACACCAGGTCCACGATCATATTTGCTACACCAGGCTGTTAGCACCCTCTGGCCTCCTTCTCAGTAATGGAAGACCAGTCAGTCAGTCAATAAATGTTTATTAAAGTCCTACTATGTGCTAGGCACTGCTCTAAGCACTGGAGACACAGACAGGCAGACCCACTGAGGGAGACAAACACACAAACATTTCTGTGTGCACAAGAAGGGGGTAGGGTGGGATAAGCATTTATAGAGCTCCTACTATGTGCCAGGCACTGTGCTAAGCAAGTGCTTTACTGTCTCTCATTTGAGATGGACAGAAGGTAAATAGGAAGCAATCTCAGAGGGAGGGAAGGTGCTGGTAGTGTTGTTCCTTCCTTCTCAAAGACAACCAGGGACATGAGGAGGGCGATGTCTTGACTTGCAAGTGAATTGGATTTAAGTGAGGCAGGGCTGTGCAAAGCCATCAGCCTCACTGCTCGAGATCCATCTGAGTGCATCGGGGAGACTTAGGTCAGGATGACTGGAGATGGCCCCAGACGCAGTGGGGAAACCTTGGTAAACTAGGTCCCTAAGGCTTTCTCCGTTTGTCTGAGGCAACACCCATTTAGTGATGTAAAGCTGAGTAAGAAATGAGGCAAAAGGTGGCCTAGTTGGCCCGCTCAGGAAAAAAAAAAAATCAATCTGGAAGGAGAAGACCCTCAGGGTTTCTGGCCAGAACAGAAACAATTGCTATTTATGCTTGCTCTGAGCCATCAAAACCCAAATAAGGACCAAGTGAAGCCTGGGCTGCCACCAATTGTTGGCCAGTCAGCAACTGCCAGAGTGATTTGGGTTTAAGGCAAAGTCAACTAGCTCCACATGAATCCCAATGGGCTTTTTCAAAGCCTGGTTTTCCAGAGCTCTATTTCAAGAAATCACAAATGAAACTACATGGCACAAAAGAGTTAATTGCCCCAGTTTTAGAAAAAGAAATCTAGCCCCCCAAAACCAAGATATCTGTTGAGGTCCTTTGAGCAGAGGACCCACATGTGAGAGTATGGTTCCTCCTGTGGGCAGAGAGGAGGGAGGTGGGAAGGATGGGTGGATTAAGTATTAAGGGGGATTGGGAAATTCCCTGACTTCAAAGAGCTTATGTTTTACTATAAAAAATGTAACTATTGTATTATTAAACTGTGTATATTAACCTGAAATCCTAGCTTATTGATCTGCAGGTTGAAAATAGGGCACACCCCTAAAATGAGATCTCTTTGAAAGGAAAAACTGCTTAGGAATGGACTAAAAGATAATTATACAAAATGATCATGTTTGTTTAAAAATAAGTGGAAGGTCATTTTTAAAACCTGTTTCCATTTACATAAAAGAGCATGTTCATGTCTTAGCATCCCTGGCCTTTTGCTGGCTTCTCTTGGTGTGCTCTGAGTGCAAGTGGCATTTGGGGATGAGTCCATGCATGCAGAGCCAAACTAGGAGAGGAAGGCAGCCTGGATCGTCACCCTAGAGCTGTTGATGCTGGGTGTCAGAAGGCAACTCAGCCTGCACCTCTGGTGTGAGGGCTGTTCATCCACCTTGGGTGCCCACGTGACACTCGGCTCTCACCTGTGGCTCCGAGAAGCCATGGCAGGCAGCGGCCACACCCCAGTGAACCCTCTCAGCAGACAGCTAAACCAGATTGTGAGGATAAGTGACTGACCTCAAACCGTCAGTGAGTCAGGGGGTGTCCACCCCAAGCGAGTCAAGACTTCCCCTGGCAGAACGGGCAGTGAGAACTGTGTGTTCCAACAGCCACGATGGCGGCTGAAGCAGGTGTCGTGGGGTACGTAGACACTGAAGACCTGAGGTCATCCACCACATCTCAAGCCCACCAGTCGTCTTGACTCTGTCCTGCCACAGGACTCTGGTGATTCTGGAGGAGAGAGTGAGGCCGATGACTTCGTGCAGCTCTGCCTCACTTAGATCCAATTCACTTAAAAGGCAAGACATCACCCATGAAGTCAGTGGTCCTTAAATGGCAGGGACAGCTGGTTTCCATAGCTGTTTGTGGTCTTGCCAGTCGGGCAGGGGCTGCCTTTTTTGTATCTCCAGCCCTTCGGTAGGGCACACTGCCCAGAGAGCTGGTCTTAAAGGATACCACAAAGAGGCACCAATTAAGCTCCAATGAGTTACTTAGCATCTGTAAAGTGCTTTGCAAACCCTGAAAGGGCAGCCTCCAGGTGTTTGTGATTCAGTACCTCCTACAGAGCCCACTCTTTGCCAGCCCATTTGGGGTTTTCTCTGCAGAGATAGTGGAGGGCTTTGCCTTTTCTTTCTCCGGCTCATTTGACAGATGAGGAAATGATGGGGGGATGAGATCTGGACCCCTAAAAGGAAGAGCCCCTGAATTTTCCCACAAATTTCAGGAACCCAGTCCCTGGCGTTAGCCGGAGACACTGGCCCACCCCAGCCTACCTGGATTACTTAGTTTACTGGATGCCTCTTAATGGGGTCTAGGTCCCTTCCTTGTGGCCTTGGAACCATCCCAGGCTACTTACCACTCCTTGATCCCATCCAGATCTTCCCAGTCTTTGTCTATATAAAAGTATCAATTTTACCCCCATTAAATCGTGCAGATTCTTAGAAGATTCTTAGAATTTCGCAACTACCGCAGATTTACAAGAAATCCTGCCCACCCAGTGGGTGTATAATATTGCTTCACTACTCTGACTGAAAGAAGGCCTGAGTGGTTCAATTCTTTTGAGGCAGATCCACCCTGTTCCCTTGCATTTTGGGATTCCTAGCACCCCAAACCACATCAGAAACTGAGGCAAACAGGGTGAAGTGACTCACACAACCAGTAAGTGTCTGAGGCCGGATCAGAACTTGGGTCTTCTTGACTCCAGGCCCAGCACTCTGCATTGTACCACGTAGCTGCCCCAGAAGAATGAGCGCCATCATGATAATTATTATTCAGGATCTATTTCCTCTGCCTGCTGGGCACATCTTCCCCCTCCACAGTGCCCCAGCCTTGCTGCCATCCCTGGCTACAGGAGGGAAAGGCAGAGATGCCCAGGGCACTTAGGGGGACCCTCTCCTCTCAGGCCATCTTCTGGTCCGTGGCTCGGCTGCCTGGGACACGTGGCTGGCTTTTCATCCACACAGGGTCTGTGCCTCCTGTGCTCTCACCAAGAGCGGCCTCCCCAGAGGCAGTCTGCCGCAGTGCCTGTCTGGCACCCAGGTGGACGGTGACCTTGAATCTCCAGAGATACCTGCCCCTCCCTCGCTCTCAGCAGGTGCTCTGTAGGACAGCCCTGGGCTCCAAGGTGTTCAGAGCCCATGTGACAGCTGAACAGATGCCAGTCTGGAACTCCCAGGAACAAAATGGCTATGTCTGCTCTGTACCCACAAAGCCTCTGATGCCAGAGCTGGGAGGGGAAGGGCAGAGCTCTCTCCACGAGCCCCCCCTGCTCAGCCCTACCTCTCTCTGGGCTTCAGATCCAGCCTTGGACTCCACGCATATCGAGGAAACCCCATGGGCCAGCAACGCAGCCCTGTGGACCCCCTCCCCCACGGCGGCCTCAGCCTCCCCCCCCCAACCCCCTGGGGAGCAAGGGCTGTACCTGGTCCGGAGGGGTGGCTGCAGGCTGGCTGCTGCAAGCTCTGCACCTGTGCCAGGCTGTGGTGCCCCTGAAGAAGGCCCCGGCTCATGCTCTCTGACCGGCGAGGGAACGGCCACCTCCAGGTGCAGCTGCAGCAGACTGGGCCCTCCAGGCCACCTGCCTGGCGATGGGCAGAGCCTGGGTGTGGCCCTTCATTGTTTGCCAAGAGGAAAACAAATGCAGGCTGGGTTGGGGAGGCCAGGCTGGCCCTGCGGGGGGGGGGGGGGGGCTCAGTTTACAAGCTGCTCCCCAAGGGCCCCAGACCTGGAAAAGAGCCCCGTGGGAACCCACGAAGGCCAGGGAGCAAACGCTGGCCAAGAGAGCAGCAGCCCAGTGACCCAGGGCTGGGTGTGACCCCCAACAGTGTCTTAAAGGGACAGAGCATTGGATGGGGAGCCCTGAGACAAAGCCTTGCAGAGGGTGGCTCTTGGGACTGGAAGATTGGCGCTGCTGGACTGCTGCCAATAGGTCAGGCCTGTGTCTGAGGTCTGAGGAGCACAATTTCCTCCCTCCTCCCTTCCTTCCCTCCCTTCCTTCTTCTCTCCCTCCTCCCTCCCTCCTTCCCTCCCTTGCTTTCTCCTCACTCCCTCCTCCCTTCCTTCCTTCCCTTCCTCCTTCCTTGCTCCCTCCCCTCTCTGGGCCCTAGCTCCCTCAAACCTACGTAGGTTAGACTCAATGGCCTGGGGCAGGGGTGGGGGTGAAGCGTCCTTCTCTCCCAGCTCTAGACCCAGGATCCTTGGCCTGGGGGATAGGTCACCTAGGGCACTTATAAGGCGTCAGGCTGGTCCAAAGCAGATGTCCCGGGGCTCTAGGTCTCAATTAGCTCAGATTTAAATGATGATGTCTCAACTCTGGAATTCTCCCCGGCTGACTGTTTGTGCTAGATCCCAGCTGGGGTGAGAGTGAGCACCAGAGGCCTCCCCAGGGGATCCCCCAATGTTGGTGCCCCAAAGTTAGGAACCAGGAATCCCAGAGCGGAGCTGCAAGGGTGCCTGAGGAGGAGGCAGTGTCAGAGACGAGATCTCAGTGAGATCTGGGGGTCATGGAGGGGCAGAGCTGGGGTCAGGCTGCCATAGGAAAAGAAGGGGGGCAGAGCAGCTTCCACTCCCCCCATGCAGCCCTTCTCAGGGCCTTTGGGAGGCTTCTGCTACTAAAATATCGGGTCCCAAAGTCGCTTCCTGTTGTTGAGGTTAGAATTGGGAGAGCTGGTTCAGGTGTGAAAGAATTCACTTAGACCTTCTCTGCAACCATGGGGAGCTTTATTGACGCAAAAGCAGCGGGCTAGCTCTAAGAAAGAGGACTAACATCTTACAAAGGGACAGGGATCTGTTTTATCTGACAAGGTAAGGGGAGGGGTTGTCAAGACTCAGGATGAGGAAGACAAATGGCAGCATAGGGGACCCAGGATAAGGAATTTGGGAAATGTCATGACTCAGGATGAGGGAGACAAGGAACTTTTATGGTCCAGGATAGGGGGCGGTTGTATGGCATCTCAAGATAAGGGAAACAAAGGCAATTCTTTTGGTGCAGGTTGTAAATCGCAATCTTATCTTCTAATCCCCTCAGGGGCCTGGGGAAGCAACCCATAAGGTTATTTTTAAGCCTAGGGCACTCTTTGCCCCCCACATAACTCTGGCCATGACCAGGACTCCCAACTGATCCAAACAGGCTTCTTGTGAGTGAGTGCTGGACAAGTCCAGGCCTTGTTCCCACCTGCTAACCCCTCGATGGACACCCATCCTGAGGTCAGCACCTGCCCCATGGATTGCCCTGGCTGGAGGAGCTCTCCTGGAGCTTCTGTTTTCTGCTCCTGCAGAAGGGACAGGGAAGCCCCCTTGGCCCCCTCTGCCAGCGGGGAGAAAGCCTGGGACGTCGATGGGTGGCCCCCAGCTCCTCCTTCCAGAGCTAGGCGCTACTCCCTCCTTCTTAGGCCCAGCCCCAGCCTTGGGGTGCGTGTGTCTGTGCCAATCATGCCCTTCATCAGGGTCTACACCAGGCTGTTGGGGGAGGGGCTCTCTTGCTCAAGTCCTGGGTAGAGAACATTTGCTGGATTGTCTGTGCTCTGCATGAGGGGAAGATGAGAGGGCTGGCCCTTCATTCCTCTCCACCCAGCCGGGACTGGACCCTGCAACATAAATGTAGCCCCATAGAAATGCTAGTGATCTCCTGGCCCCCGTGTTCTAGACTGGCCAGCTCTTGAGCACAGACCCCAAAGGGCAGGGCTCAGGGCCACGTGCACCCTAAACCCTCAGGAGCCGCCCCCCCCCCCCCCCCCCCCCCCCCCGCCAGAGGCTCAGAGGGGCTCAGCAGTTGGCCATCCTGGCTGGAAGGATGCAGGGCTACTGCAAGGGAGCCAGCCCAAACAATATTGTCTCAGTCACTCCCACTGGCCCAGCCCAGAAGCAGGGGAGCTGCCAGCTAGGCAAACTGCAGTGAGCACTTACTAAGCAGGCTAGGGAGGACTAGAAAGCCTGCTGAATGAAAGCCGGCCTAGAGCTGACCCCAGTGTCTTTGGGAGCTGAGGGGTTAACCAGACTGGGAAGACTGGCTCCAAACCAGGGCTGTCAGCCTGGGCCAGCCTAGTTCTTCTGCCTGGGAGGAAGGACCTCTGGGGCAAGGAGTGGTCAAAGGCAGGGCTGGAGGGTAGAGGGCAGCTCCCAGGACTGAGCACCCTCAGGGGACACCCTCAAGCCCCCCATGGTCAGCAGCCACAGGGGCCACTCAGCTGATGTGTGGCCCTGACCATCTCCTCCCTGTCCTGGGCACTGGCTCCAACTCGCCCAGGCCAAAGTCCCTCTTGCAGAGGACGCCAACCAAAGAGGTCTCTATCCCTCTTCCATCTGCATTCCTCCTCCGGGCATCAACAGTGTTCCTGGCCCTTCTTTTTCGCTCCTCCTCATTCAAATTCAGTGCCCAGGAATGGACTGGAGGACCAGCCAGTCCCTTCCGGCACCAAATAAATACCCTCTGACTGAGGACTCCCCTTCCCACTCAGGCCCCTGACCCTGTTTCTGCACGGCGTTCTGTGTGCTTGGGGAGGTCACTCTCCAGCTACTTTACGTATTTTTAGTTATTTGCAATGGGATTTTATTGCCTCTTGGATTTTGTTATTATTATAAAGAAATGCAGTTGGCTTATTTGGTAGCACAAGGTTTATTTTGCAGCCTGCAATTCTGCTGAAGCTATCAATTGTCTCCATTAGTATTTTTGTTGATTCCCTAGGATTTTCCAAGTATGCCATCATTGTGTCAGAAAACAGGGATATTTTATCTCCACTTTACCTGTCTTCATGCCTTTAATTTTCTTTTCTCCTTTCATTACTGTTGCTAGCATTGTTCCTATGATTTATTCTCTGACCTATTCATTATTTAGAATTTCCCTCTTAACGTCTGGGTCTGGGTCTTGGGGTGTGGGGGCTCCCTGAACCAGTTACTATTTTATATATACTTTATGATTTCCCCCTTTTACATTTGTTTGCTCTGTCTCTATGCTTAATAGATATGGCAAATGTTTGCCAAAGTTCTGTGTGCTAAGAAATACACATATTCTCCTGCAGTCCCATTTAGAAAATGCCATGAGTAGTTTGGCTCTCGTCTCTCCAGCATTCTTTACTTTCCTTTTGTTACCTTTCTATTGGATTGACCCCAAACTGAGAGAGATACCTAGAAACCTCCGTCCCCACTGTTACCACCTGTAACTTCTTGTAGCTCTGTCAACATTTCCCTTGTGAACTTCACTGCTCAGGCATTGGGAGTATGTAAATTTAATATTGATTTTGTTTTATTGGATATGGTTCTTTTCACCATTGCATAGTTTCTTCATCTTTCCCTTTTTAGGTTTTCAATGTCTAGTTTCATTTTATCAGATAACAGACAACCCCTCTTGTGGGGAGATTAGCTTGATGCATAGTAAACTTTTTACCATTTCCTTATTTTTGTTCTTTAAATGTGTTTCTTATAAGCAGATTATGAGTTTTTGTTTTCTTCTCTAATTTGTCACTTCTTCATTTTATTGGATTGTTTAAGCCATTCACATTTGAAGTGATGAGAGTTAGGTTTATATTTTCCTCCCTTTGTCTTTGATGTTTTTTTTAAAATTAGGATTTTCTCTCCTCTGCTATAAACACCATATTATGTCTCTTCAATTATTGTAGCTGAATCTGTTTTAAGGTGGCCCTGTTCTCAGCAGCTCTCTTCCCCTCACCCTTAAACCTCCCACTCCCATGTGTTATTCCTTTTCCTGGTTTTAGTTCCTTTCCTTTTTTGCTCTTATATGGTTATTTAATTCCTCCCCTCTTGTTTTCTTCTCAGTTAAGCTGTCAAGTAGAATCCTGCCTTTCCTCCTCTTCATATTATTTTGTCAGAGTTTTTGAAATGTTTCATTTTCACATCTTTTTTTGAAAACTATCACTCTCTCATTTTCTTCATTATTCATCTTGTCTTTTCTGTCTGCTTCAGACTTGAATTCTTTGGTTTGTAGTCCTCAGAATCGCTTAGTTCTTTTTTATTCTCCGTGTCCCTCATGCAATTAAAGCTTTAGTGCTGCCTGTTTGGGGCTCTTCCTTCTAATGGCTTCTGTCCTCGCCTTGGAGAGCTCATCTGCCGCCCCCTTAGTATTGGCCTTCACTTGTAGAAACACCAGCTCCTGCAGTTGATGGAGAGGATGCTGCTTGTGGCCGGACTCCTTCTCTGCCCTGGCCTGGGTGGGTCACTATTGACCTTTCCCCAGCCTGGCCATTGTCCTCCTTTTCAATGAAACCTCTTCCCTGAGGAGCCCAGGAGCTCCTGGTCCCTTATCCCTGAGGGGGAGGAGGAGTCTCTCTAAAGCCCCAAGCCCCCCAGATCAGGCCCATTGTAACCACCTCATCTCCCTTGGTAAAAAGTCTCTTCTCTCATAGGGGCCTGCATCAGTGGCAGCCCAGCCCCTCACCCAGACAAGGTTTCTCCCTTTACTAATCCCTCCCTTGGCCTCCTCCCCCCTTCCCTCGAAGGCTTTCTTCTTCCCGAGAAGCTACAAGGGTTGTTTTGCTTGTCAGCCTTTGGCTCCATCGGGGCATACCCCACCTTTGCCTCCCCCTTCCTTCCCCTTCCCCTTTATTCTCCCTCCCCTCCTGTAGATGGACCCCACAAACCAACAAAAATCCATCCCCATAGAGAAAGGAGTCTCTCCATGGACCTGCACTTTGTCTGGCCTTTGAAGCCCTTCCCAGCCTTCTCACACTTCACTGCCCAACATGACGCATCCTCTCCACTGCAGTTGCACTGGCCTCCTGACTGTTCCATGAACAAGAGCCTCGGGTTGGGGGCTCTGGGCCTTCTGCCTGGCCATCCCCCAAGCCTGCAAGGCTCTGCCTCCTCCACTCTGACTGCTGACCTCTCTGACTTCCTTCAAGTTCCAGCTGAAATGCCACCTTCTCCAGGTGAGAAGCCTTCCCCAAGACCTCTGGATTCCAGTGTCTTCCCTCTGCTCATTATTTCCTATTCGTAATCTGTCCATAATCTGTTTTGAGTATATTTGTTTGCACATTGTCTCCCTGGTTAGATTGTAAGCTCCTCAATTGTAAGCAAGGAGCATCTTCTGCCTCTTTTTGTATCCCCCTCACTTAGCATAGTTCCTGGCACATGGTAGGTGATTAATACATGTTTATTGACTAACTCAACACATCTCCGTGAGATTCCTCCTGTGTTGGAGGCCCTCTCACGCCTCTCCTGAGCACCCCTGGATCAGCTGCAGGACACAGGGCCCAGGTGAAAATGAGAAGACATTTATTGAACCATCTACAGAAGGGGGCACCTTGGACAGCCTGGCAACACTGGCCTGTGAGCAGAGCTCATCCAGGAGGTAGTAGCGGGGCCCCAGAGTTTGACATCAACACAGACAAGCGACCCCACCCCCACCCAGGCCCTCCAGCCAGGGGACCAAAGCTGGATGCCCGAGATGACCCCAACCCTCATGGAAATCCAGACACGGCAAGACAGACATCCACTGAACAGGACAGAGAGGGGGGTCTGGGGTGGAGAAAGAGAGTGAGGAGAGGGGTCCCCCCCACGGACCCTGAGGCATTTCCCAGAAGGTCCTCTCTCACCCCATCTGTGTTCTGGGATGACCGGGGGAGTGTCCTTATCCATCCCCAGTGGAGCCCCTCATGGGGGTGCACTGTGGGAATGTCCCCCCCAGATAGAGAAGTAAGAAGTTATTCACAAAGATGAGGGTAGAAAGCCCGACCTAAGAGAGGCCACCCAGACCCCCAGACTTCCCCTGCCCCTCCCAGCTGCTGCTGGAGTTGTCCTGGGTTCCATGGCTGAGGAAATTCCCAATGATGAATCCTTCCAGACCTCGTCCATGGGGCAGGGATGGAGAGGGCGTCCTGGACTCTTACGGACTCCAGTGCCCCCCATCTCCAAGCCTGGCAAAGCTCCAAGGTCAGGCAGGGGACTAGTTTTCTGGCCCCAGCGCCAATGACCGCTTGACCATTAACAACGACAGAGAGGGGCTCCTGGGAGCTGGGGGGTTCCAAAAGCAAAGGGATTTAGTTCACTGGGTCCTCTAACAAGCCTGTGAGTTACCAGGGTGGATGTTATTCTCCAGCCCCTCTTTACAGTTGAGGCTCAGAGAGGTTGGTTAAGTGACTTATTCAAGGTCCAGCTAGTTGGTTAGTGGGGGAAGCAGGTCCAGACACCCCAAGGCCTCTTTGTCATCCACAGCCAAGGCCAAGGAGCAGTGGTGATGGGTCCTCTCGCCTCTCCCTAGACTCCATACTGAGGAGAGAGGGGGAGCTGGTGGGCAGCAGCAGGGTAGGGGCCCCCAGAGGAAGGGGGCTTGGGCTCCAGCCTTGGCTGGCCCATCAGCTCACTGGATCTCTCTCCTGCCCCCATCCAGCTCCTTTCTCATCCTTGAGGACAAGCCTACTGGTACCCATGGGAGTCATGCAGGGAACTGTGGTGGTCCTCTGGAATTAAACTGGCCAGGAATTATCCAGCTGAGGAAATGGTCTGTGACCTCCAGTGGTTGGAATCTTCCCCAGCAACATAGGTTCGAGGCAGTCCTCCGAGACTCAGAAAGATTGGGTGACTTGTCCAGGACCATACAGCTCAGCAGATGAGGATCAGAGGTAAGATCTGAACCTGAATCTTCCTGACTCCAGGCCCAGCCCTATCTCCGCCTGTGAGGCTGCTAGGTGTCTCTACCTCTGTGTTGTAGGCAAGAAAACTGAGGCCCTGGAATTAGGGGCAGGGCCAAACTCCAACTTGGGGTCTTGTGCCCTCCCCAGGCTGCCTCCCAGCAGCTTGTGGGGATGACGACTCCTGTCCTGGGAATTAGCGTCCATTCCCCTGAACAGAAGGTTCCTATGATCTCCCACCTACAACGTGCACCATCCAGTCTTAGATGCTGGCTAAGAGACCACAGCATGTTGGAGGGAGAAGGAGGGACCACAGGCACAATGGAGTGCCTCCTCTTACTTAATGGAGAGGAGAACCCACAGGCGCAGACAGCCAGGGGCAGAGCTGGGGCTATAGCCCCTGCCGCCTGACTTATAGTCTCCTCTGCCCCTTCCCACTAGGCTTGGGATGCCAATGGGGTCTGAGAAGGGAACAGGAAGGCCAATTGTATTGGTGTGTTCCCATGCCTTGGGAGAAGACTGGGGAGAGATAGAGGTTTGGGACCAACGGTACCATTGTTCTGGGCCAGCCTGGCCCGCAGGGAATTGTCTCCCGGCTAGGCTGCCTACGGGGCTCAGCAGGACAAGTCGGGGCCCTCCCATGTGTTCCCCAGAAACAGGACACATGGGGGCTGGCCCCCAAGGGGCCCAGAACGCTCTGCCCATTCGCACAACTAGCCTGGTCTTTGCAACTTCCAGGGAACCATCACAGGACTTAGAGCTGAAAGGGTCCAATTTCCTCTTTAACAAATGGGGCAGTTGATGCCCAAGGGATAAGGTGACTTGTCCAGGTGCTTCTAAAAAGCATCAGAGAAGGAATTCCAGCTCAGGCCTTTGTCTCCACAGGCTGTTCTCTATGCACAGCATCGTGATGCTCTGGTCTGGTCTTCCTTCTTCTCTCTCTTTGCTTTGTCCAAGATTTAATTGTTTTGGGCACCACAGAAAAGCTGAGCAGAGGGGAGCCAGGGGTGGGATGGTTAAACCAGAGTCCTGGGGATGGTTTCCCTGGAGGGTGGAATGTCTCAGATCCTAGAGGGGCTCCTGGCTCTCCCCAAAGTGGTCCCACAGGCCCTGGTCCCATGAGAGGCCCTCACCTTCTCAAGAAAGAGAGAAAAATCCCTCCCCTCCCTGAAGAAAACCATCAGATAACACCTCAGCCTTCTTTCTGCTGGTCCCAAGGACAGCCGGGAGACCTGGCCTGACACCTTGGCTTTTGTTCATTTAAATTCCTGCGGGTGGCGCCGCGAAGAGCTGAGAGGAATGTTGGATGGTCATGGTCCCTCCATTCTCTGAAGGGGCCCAGTGACGTGTGGCTCGGACTCCAGGTGGGAGAAGGGAGGGGCCCGAGGAAAGGCCTGTTCTGGGTCACTCATTCACATGGCGACTGGGCCCCAGCTCTGCCTCTGCATTCACTCCGAAGTCCCATGTCATTCCTATCAGCAGAGGCCAGGGCTTCAGAGAGCTGGGCCACAGGAGGCAAGCCTTTGTGGGGCAAGAGCCCCAGCCCCAGGGCTCTCCCTCAGGCTCAGCTGCTGGTGCAGGAGAAGGCCCTGTGGGACGGATGGACATCACAAAGAAGTGGGCAGGCCTGCTGGCCATGCCTTAGACGCACAGGAGGCGGGGCTCAGAAGCAGGGCTATCTATAACAATGTTGTACTAATGGAGTCCAAGAAAATCCATGGGGAAGATACAGATGTGGATGCCAGGTAGTGGGCAGGTCAGGACACGCCCCCGCTTTCCCACATGCTTGCGGTCTTGGAACCTCTCCTGAGGACCAAGCTGGGATAGAGTTGGGAGGGGCCCCCAGAGAAGTACCCCAAAGCCCTCCCCTCATCCCCCTTGGTGGGGGATGACTTCACAGTGCCTTTGCTCATATCTACACCCTACCCCCATCGGGAAACAAAGAACAGTGACCATTTTCTTTTGACATCTCCCCATCCTGAGAGCCCCAATCATTGCAAACTTGAAGAGGGGTCTAGTTCAGCCCAGGGATCTGAGCACTTGGCCCCCAGGTGGGGAACAGGCTGAGGTCAGCCAGAGGTCTCCCCACCCACCCTGTGGGTCCTCTAGGCTCTCACCCTGGTCAAGGGGGACCCACGATGAGGCAAAGAGGGCAGGTGAGTGATCCCCGGGCCCTGCACATCCCCTTGAGGGTGCTGCATGAAATGAGGGAGGGTGAGGCCTCAATGGGCAGGGTCGCTGTCAGAGCTGGGAGGGCGTGCACCTGGCTTCCCAGCTCTGCAGCTCTATTTACAAGGTGCTGGGGAAAGGAACATGAGAAAAACCAAAACGCTTCAAAAATGACAAGCGCTGCATCCTCCTCTCTGAAGACTCGGGGCTCCCAGGCTCACCCTTTCGGACACACGACGTTCATTCAAGAAAAAAAGACGCGCACGCACACCCTCACGCATACAGAGACACAGACAGACAGACGCTCACGAGCACACTCATCCACAGGCTCAGACATCCCGAGGAGCCCCGGCCTCTCCTCCCCACTTCCCTCCCAGCCCCAATCCCACAATGCAACTCATTTTTATAAAGGGACAGGAGGGTGGCTGTGGCCGCCATCTGGAGCACCGTTCAAGCGGCCAGGTTCTCAGCATTGATGCTGGACATCCGGATCTGCGAGCTGCTCTTGCTCAGAATGGACAGCTGCGTGCCCCCGTTCACCCCACTGCTGGCCAGGGATGGATGCCGGTGCTTGAAATCCACAGCAAAGTACCGGTTGACTTTCCAGCTCCGCCATTTTCTCTTTATTTCGGACTGCACCTTTAGGGAGAAACTTCAAAAGGTCATTTCTTTATGGACCTTGCTGCTTACCTCCATGCTGAAGGCCAAACCTGGAGACCCCTGACTTAGCTCCAAGAGCAGAGAAGAAAGCCATGTCCATCTTGGGCCACAGAATAAGAGCCAGAAGGCCCGGGGACCCTGGAGCAAGAGAGAGTGAGTGGGTGCCTTCCTGCCCCTTGGAAGGCACTAGGAAAGGTTTTCACAGCACAGCTCTCTCTGTCAAGAACCTCTGATAGCCTCCCTATGCTGCTCAGGCCCTCGGCCTTCCCTGCTGGCTGTGCCCTCTTCTAAAACCTGAGCTCCTCTCTGTACCCATCTCTGCTCCAGGTAAGACCACTCCTCAGAACCTCCTTTGACTGGGCTCTCTTCCACTTCCACTGGTTCGTCCTCCTCCTCCCATGAACAGAATCCTCCCGTTTTCCCAGAGGACACCATGTTTCTGGTAGTCTTCTCGAATACTGGCTGGCACTTTGCTCTGATATCGGCTCCTCAATCCCCACGGCTACTTCTAGAGTCTCTCTACTATCATTCAGCATCCTTTCCTTGGAATATCACGCCATGTGACTGAACTACCCTTTGCCAGGTGACCTTCTCTGTCAGCCTCTTGACCATTCCCACTTTCCTCCAGGACCAAGGCCCTGGCAAGTTCCTCCTCTCCACATGTCTTGCTGTCAGCCTTGGAAACTTCGCTGTCCAACTTGGTAACTCTTCTAAAACCATGTGCTCAGGGTTCCATGAACTCCCAGGACCTGTATCTCACAAGGCTTTTATTTCCCATGACCTTTCTCTCCCATTTTCCCATGATCTTTATCTCCCATGACCAGTATCTTACTTTAATGAGTTAAATAAACATTAATTGAAACAATAATTCATCGGTTATAGGATATAAAATAAATTCACATAAATCATCAACATTCTTGTATGTTGCCAAAAAACTCAAGAGGAAAAGAAAGGGAAATTCTATTCAAAATAATGACAAAAGGTTTAAAACGCTTGGAAATATGTCTACCAGAACAGCCCAGGAGTTCAGTGAATGACCTACATCTCCTGAGCCTCTGTGTCCACTCTCTCTCCGCCCTACTCCAGGAGGGTCATACTCTAGACCTCACCATCTCCTGGAATTTCTTTTTTTCTAAGACCTTGAACTCTCACAATCTCTCATCCTCCAGCTCACCTCTGGCCTCATGCCTACCATGCCTGTTCTTAACCGTCACTGTGACTCGGGAACCTTCGTCCCTCCTTTCTCCCAGACTAACAAACCTGTTCTGGACTCCCCTTCCTTCCTCCTCAGTTTTGACCCCCAGGTCAGTCATTTCAATAACACCCTTTAAGCCCTGGCCTCTGAACTTACAGCCTTCCCATCCTACTAACTCAACCTTGGGCCATGCCTGCCACCCACTTTCTTTGTTCCAGCTGCTGGCTGACCTGCTGGAAGACTCTTGGAGAGACTCAGGAACTCATGCTGTAGGAGTCCCTGATGTGGGCTACTCAGCCTACAGCTATCATGCCTTACCTTGGGGCTATCTTAATATAAGATAGACATTTTCAACCAATCGGGTGGCAAGATTTGAGGTGTCCCCCAGCAGGAGGGTCCCCTTTTTGGATGCATTCCAGCTTATCAAAGATCTTGCTCAAATGGGGTATCCTTCCTTTCTTCCCCACAGTGCCAGGCCAAGACCAGGCACACGGGGAGATACAGAAAAAGTGGGATTGACTGAATGATTGAGCAAAGAATTAGTCATTGCTTTTTGGGCTTGGAACTGACTTTGCAAGGGGAGGGCACCAAAACTGGGGCCTTGCCCCACCTTCTCCCCCTTCCTGTTCCCCTCTGTAGTTTCTCTTGGCACTTAGGCACCCCTTCTCTCTCACACCCTTCCTCTTCTTTCCCAGGAGGAAGAAGCTGAGGGCCAAAAAAAGAGGCCTGGGGCTTGGCTCTGCAGTGGAGAGCCCCGGTTGGCCTTGTCCCCAGAGGCCGTGGATGGGACTCATGCCTGCCAACCACTGGTGCCTTTAACTACAAGCTTCCGATCCCTATCTTGTAGCCCCTTCATCCAATCCACAGCTCCACTCGTATCAGAGCTGGCACCAGCTTGCAGGCAGCTGAATTCGGGAAGTTTCCCTGGGCACTAGGTTAAGGGGCTTCTCTCCATATCCATGGCCCCTTCCTCTATGTGTTGGTTTGTTTGTATGGTCCACTGAGGAGCTGGGGACTGCCTCACTTCCTGCGCCATCCCTCTCAGGGCCAAAGGCATTCACTCTAGCAGAGGATGAAGTTTCAGCCCCGAAGAAGGAGCATCGAAGGGCGGAACTCCAGGAAACATGGCAGCTTTAGTAGGGGTGAGGGCCGGTCTGCAGGGGCTCACCCCCCCGCCCAACCCTGGCGAAGCCAGCGAGTGGTGAGGAAGCCAGAACTCACCTCGCCATTCAGAAAGCAGTACAGGACAGCCACCACGAAACCCTGGGCCAAGAGAAGGGGCAAAGAGAGGGGAGGGAGGAGAGAAGAGAAGCATTACTCAAATACGGTGTGGGGAGCAGCAGACCCTTCCCCAAGTGTCACAGGAGGACCAGAGGCATGCGCTCCTGTGACGCTGCTTTCCTACGTGCCCTCATTCCTTCTGTTCCCCATCTTCTGCCATAGCCCTCACCCGTCTGCTCTGCTTTTTATGTGCAGATTTCAGCCTTGGAGAGGGGTCTCTTCTCTCTCTTCTAGGTCCTCTTTTCCCATGGATTCTTTCTCTCTCATCGTCCCCTCAGGCCCCGGCCTTCTTTCTAAGCATCTTGGTGAAATGGTTCCCAAAGCCTTCTCAGATGACACCAACTGCCCCTTCTCATGAGCCCCCTGTCCCCTTTTCATACCACCGACTGTACCCTGTTCTGCCTCAGTCTCGGGTCACTCCTGCCATCCTCTGCCTTGACTCACCTGCTGCTGAATGAGGCTGGAGAAGACCATCCTGATTGGGTCCACTATAAATCTGTATCATAGAACCTCAGCTGGGCCTTTGTTGCCATCAGGCAATCCTACAGTTGCCTGACTGATTCCCTGTCCCAATCCCAACAGAAGCTCTTCTAAACCTCTCCATCTCTCCTCAAACTTCCCGTGACTCCTCCTCCCCTCCTCTCTCAGCTGAGAACCTTGCCTCGTATTTCACTGGAAAAAAAAATGAGCCCATTTACTAAGGCTCCTGTTTCTCCTAATCTCACTTCACCCAGATGCCTTCTGCCATTATCTTCTCTTTTACTTCTGTCTATTACAAGGAAGATTCCAGGACCTGAGTTCAAATCCAGCCTCAAATACTTACTAGCTACATAACCCTGGGTAAGTCACTTAACCTCTATTTGCTTCAATGTCCTCATCTGTGAAATAAGGATAATAATAGCCCCTCCCTCCCAAGGTTGTTGTAAGGATCAAATGAGATCATAATTATAAAGGGCTTAGCACAGTGTCTGGCACATAGTAAGGGCTATATAGATGCTAGCTATTATTATTATTAATTAGACTAACTCCTCTCTATAGTGATCCCATTCTAGCTTGTCTTCTCTAGCAGACTGCCCCCCTCTATGATCCCCACTCTCTAACTTATCTTCAACTTCTCCTTCTCTACTGGCTACTTCCCTTCTGCCTACAAACATTCCCATGTCTTTCTCATCTTCCAAAAACCCTTGGTTGAGCCATCCACCTCCACCAGTTATAATCTCATATCTCTCTTCTCTTCCATGGCTAAACTTGAGAAGTGTCTAAAAGTGGTGTCTCCACTTTCTTTCCTCTCACTCTCAACTCTACAATCTGGGTTTTATTTCATCATTCAACTGAAACTTCTCCCCAAAGTTACCAATGATGTATTGGTTGCCAAACCCAATGGCCTTTTCTCAGCCCTCATTCTCCTTGGCCTCTCTTCAGCCTTGGACACCCTCCTTGATATTCTCTTCTCTCTCATTTTTCAGGACATCCCTCCCTATTGGTTCTCCTCCTCCCTCTCTGATGACTTCTCTTCGGTCTCCTTTGCTGGATCCTTCTCCAGATCATGCCCACTTACCCATAAGTATCTCTCAGGGTTATGTACCGTGTTCTCTTCTCTTTTCCCTCTATTCTACTTCACTTGGCAATCTCATCAACTCCCATGGATTTAATTACCATCTCTATGCTGAGGATTCTCAGTTCCAATTGTCTACCTCTAACTTGTTTGCTTACCTTCAATGCCACGTCTCCAACTACCTTTCAGACATCTCAAACCGGATGTCCCATAGACATCTTACACACAATGCATCCAAAACAGAACTCATTATTTCCCCCCCTAAACCCTCCCCACCTATCTTCCCTATTACTGTTGAGGGCACCACCGTCTTCTGAGCTTCCGAGTCTCTCAGCTTTCTCTTGCCCAACCAAAGAAGCCCTGATTCCTTCTGACTTTCCTCAGCCATGTTCTCTGCCCCCCTCAGATCCTAGGACTCTTCACTCTCTTATCCCCCATGTTCAATATGGTGCCAAGGCCTGTAGATTTCACCTATGCAGCATCTCTTTTCAATTTCATCTCTGCAACATTTCTTGCTGATTTCACCTCTGCAGCATCTCTGGTCAATTTCACCTCTGTAGCATCTCTTGTTGATTTCACCTCTGCAGCATCTCTTGCTGATTTCACCTCTTCTCTCCAATACACCCACTTCTCTCCTCTGACCCTGGCCCCACCCTGGTCCAGGCCCTCATTCCTTCCCACCTGGACTATAGCAAAGGCTGCTGTAGGGCTTGCCTGCCTCAAGTCTCTACCTACTTCTGGGCATAATGCAGAAGACTTCTAGGAAGATGCTACAACTTTCAAGCCAGATGGGTGAAGAGGCTGTACAATCCATCCAGAGCTCAACAAGGTCCTCCGAACCTGGCCAAAGTCTCTATTGCTACGCAGTTCCATCAATGCAAATGTGATCAGAGAGGCTGGAAAGCATGGTCCAGGACCAAGTAATGGAAGTTACCAGAGGTTTGCAGAGCCTCCCTCCAGGAAGGGACAGATACTTTCTTTCAGAAAAGATGAAGGGAGATGCCCTTTTTTTTGGGGGGGTCTTTCTCCTCCTTTCTTGACAGCAAGAAAGTCCATCTGGATGTGGATCTTTGGGGGGGCCCTGATGCAGCTTAGAAAGCCCACATGAGGGACAATGGGGTACAGATGATGGGAGCATTGGGAGTCAGGGGAGGTCTCTGTTCTGTAAATATGGGCATTCTGTGGGTTTTATGTGATTTGGCCATCACTCCCTGTTCATCTTCATCATTTACAGTGTCCCCCTCCACAAGCAGGCTTCTCCAGGAGGTCTGTACCTCCTTCCACGATCCCAAAATCCTGGGACTGAGAGGGATCTCAGATGTCATCTGATCCAGCCTCTTAATTTGAGGAAGCTAAGGCCCAGAAAAGGTCAGTGAATTCTGTTTGGCATTCAAAGCCCTCCATAACCTGCCCCTTCCCCCACCCTCTTCCAGTCTTCTGACACCTCCCTCACTCCATATACTCCTCAGTCTAGTGACCATGGCCTCCTGGGTGTTTCATGAACAAGACCCTCCATCTCTGGGCTCTGGGTGTTCTCTCTGGCATTTCCCAGGCCCGGAATGCCCTCCCTGGTCTGTTCTGACCACTGACCTCCCTGGCCTCCTGGGTATTTCACAAACAAGACCTTCCATCTCTGAGCTCCAGGCATTCTCTCTGGTGGCCCCAGGCCCAGAATGCTCTCCCTCCTCAGCTCTGACCACTGACCTCCCTGGCCTCCTAGAGCAAGCCTTTTGGAATCCCTCCTAATGTGAGTGTCCTCCCTCTGCTGGTTATCTCCATTCATCTCATCTGTATCTTGTTTGTACCCAGCTGATTGCTCATTATCTCTCCCATGGGATGTAATCCACTTAAGGACAGGGGCTGTCTTTTGCCTTTCTTTGTATCCATAGTGTCTAGCATTAGTAGGCATATAATCAGTGCTTACTGACTGACTGCCCAAGGTCACATGGCAGGTTGGCAGTGGAGGTAGGAATAGAAGGCACTCTTCTGCCTCCCCTCCTCATACCTGGAAGGAGCCCAGTCCCAGCTCAAACACAAGTCTCTCCCTCTTGCTGACATTCTCTGGTGAGAAGGCGAACACCGTGTAGTGGATTCCAAAGAGTGGGATGAGCAGCAGCGTGGAGCGGGCCAGCCTCCTGCCAAGAGAAAGCAGAGCCAGCTGGTTCAGGCTGCCCCCGCAGGAGGAAAACCTTCTTGGGGATCCCCACCCAGACACACACGTGCAGGCACACACAGAGGCATCTTCCACCTTCCTTCTGGCCTGCACCATCCTTCTGCCCTTAGCCCTAGCTCAGAGGGGAGAGGACATTCCCAGCTGGGGTTTTGGGGTGGCTTGATTCTCCAAGGATGCTCCAGAGAAGGGAAGGAGGCAGCTTTGTGTCCATGTCCCTCTCTTCTCTTTATTACCATGAGCCCAAGACAGTGGGAATTATAATGCATGAATAGAGCCTGCTATCCTTGGGAAAGCTGTGGGGAACCCTCTGCAAGAGGGAGATCCTTGGGTTTAGTGGAGAATCCTTGTGTGAAGGGGAAGAGCCTTCTGGAAAGCAATCATAAATAATCCTCTGTGAGATGAGGAAATAGCTTGTGACCTCTGTGGATCCTTGGGCCCTGAACTTTGGACCCTCTGAACACGCTGGCCTCATCCCTTTCCTGTATCTGGCTATCCAGATGTCTGCATGTTGGACTTCGTTAAAGTAGGGTCTGTTCTTTTTCCCTCTCAGCTTTGGGAAGTGCATGCTCAATGAAGGCCCATGGGGGCTGCCTGGAGGATCTGAGGGGGGCAGAGAACATGGCTGAGGAAAGTCAGAAGGAATCAGGGCTTCTTTGGTTGGGCAAGAGAAAGCTGTGAGTGGGAAGAGGTAAATATGAGCATTTTGGAGCTTAGAGAAGGTATTACAGGTTGGGGGGCTCAGATGTTCTAAACTTTCACTGGAGATAGAATGAGAGGCAACGGCCTCTATAATGAAGCATGGAGGGTTTAGGATAGACATCAGGGAGAAATTCCTGACTAGAGCCTTGAGAGATGTCTCCAAAGGGAAGTTGGAAATCACAAGTGAAAGCATAGAGGGCCATAGGATTAGAGCCGGAAGGGACATAAGAGAACATTTAATCCAATCTCTTCATTTAATAGGGAAATTGAGACCTGGATATGGGAATTGACTTGCCCATGGTCACATGGGCAGTAAGTAGCAGAGCTGGGGTTCAAACCCTGGACCCAGGGCTCTTTCCCATGGGTCATACTGCCTTTCAGACTGGCAATTTGGGTTGAAGGATATGATTAGATAACCGCTAGGGTTCTCTGGCAGCCCAAGAGCCTGGGATTAGAACTGGGGCCTGCTCTGTCTAGAGGGCAGTGTTTGGCATATGGCAGGTACAATGAAAGGCCAAACATTTTTCAGGACTTGTTGTATTATGCAAATGAGTTATAATGATAATGGTGATGGCAACAATGATGATGATAACAACAATGACGATGTCAATGATGACGATGGTGTTAACGATGATAATGGTGGTCACAAAGATAATGACAATGATGGTGGTGATAACGATGATGGTGATGACAGTGGTGATGACAATGGTGATGATGATGATAATGAAATACATCCAGTCCAGCTCATGCCTGAGCAGGAGTCCCCTTGGAAGCAACCCTGACAAAGGGCTGTCCACCTTCTGCCTAAAGACCTCCAATGGTGGGGATCTTGCTACTCCCAAAGATCCTACCCGCTTTGGGGACAGCACTTGTGGGCGGAGAAGCTTCTCTGCATTCTCTTTCCCATACTCCTGGCACTGCTGTCTGGGGCCAAGCAGAACAAGGCTTATCCTTCCTCTGGAGTTCAGGACAACCTACTTGCTCATATTCAACCACAGCTATCAGTCCCATCCCCTTACTGCTTCCCTGCCTCTCCCCAGCCTGCTCACCTTCTCCAGGAGTTCCTTTAACCACCTCTCAGATGACGTGTACCTAAACCCTTCCCTCTTCTGGTCGCCTCCTCTGGATGCTTTATGGCTATCGCTGTCTTCCCTCACCACCCAAATTCAATACCAGACTCCAGATGTCATCTTGACCAGGGCAGAGGGCAGAGGGGCTCTCTCCTCCCTGTTCCTGGAAGCTTACCCTCTCCTAAAGCAGTCCAGCATCCCATTGGCTTGGTCGGTGTCCCCTCACACTCCTGACTTACACTGAGTTTTTGGTCCGTGAAAACCCCCAACCTCAAGTCTTTTTCAGATAACCTCCTCTCAGACTAGACCTCTCCATTTTATACTTGCAAAGTTAGTTTCTTAACCCTAAGTGTAAGACTTTATATTTATTTGTATTACGTTTCCCCTTTTAAGCTCCAGCCTGACAAAATCATGGCTGTTTTTGCCCTCAGCTTTGTTCACCTATAAATTTGACAAATATGCCACCTGCAGCGTGGAGCCCTGTGCTATTCTATTGGAGCTCTTCCAAGGTCTTCCTTCCTCAGTGGTTGTGTCTACCACCTCAGATATGGGCTACCCAGGGGAGGGTCTGGGTCTCCCCATCAGGCCAAGGGCTTTCTTCCCCATTAGACTGAGGGCAAAGGTCATGTCTCCTCCCTCTGTCCTGTCCCCAGGGCCCATCATGGGGCTCTTTTACTTAGCTGCTCAGTTATTAACTCTTGACTTTGTGGCTTCCCTGGCCTTCCTGGGAAGGGTCTGGACGTAGATGTCTAAAGTATATCTGAGATGGAACTATATTAGGGGTGGATGGAGAGTGGGGGGTGGAGAGCCCCCTGGCCTGGGTTTATGCTTTGGAGATTTCTCCCCCCACCTCCACTGGCCCAGCCCAGAATGCAGGGGTCCTTCCACTGGCTGGGCCCAGGTAGAAGTGTCCCGAGTAGGCCTGGATGGACAAGCCCTGTCCCACACTTCTGGCTTCCAGCCAGGGAGGAGGAGGTCTCAGAACCAGGTAAAAGCCTTTAATTGGAAGGGAAATGAATCTCAACCTTTCCTGAGAGCCCCTGCTAGCTGGGAGGGTGGGGTCCTGCCCTCGACTGCTTGGTGGTCCTTCCAGGGCGTCAGGATGCTCAGTGGCCCCAGGGTATGAGCCTCAGACTCCAGACCCATTACGATGACAGAGTTTGTCTCCTGGCTTCCCTTCCCGTGCCTCCTCTGCTCTTCTCCCAATTCCCCTTGCAGTGTCTCCTAACCTAATGATACCAATGACCTGCTCAGCTAACAACACTTAAGTAGTTCTCAACATTTAAAAATCAGGGACTTACACACACACACACACACACACACACACACACACACACACACACACACACGCCCAGTGTTTTCGTGTGTACATCCCTGGTCAGCATCAAGAGTTGCCCAGAAACAAGAAGGTAGGCCATGACCCTGTGACCCCACGCCACCTTGCATCAGAGAACTAAGAAAAGGGGACTTCTTCTCTCTTAAGAGTAATGAGCAAAGGCCCCCATCGGGTCACAGAGACCCTGACTGGCTGGATGTGTGGGGCCCAGAATTCGTCCTCCTTCACAGACACTCCACTTGCCCATGAGTTTTGCCCATCACAGGGCCGGACACATAGGAGGTCCTTAATACATGTTTGTTGATTGAGTCGTCCTGGGGCTCTCAAACTGTCCCTGTCATTCACACCTAGGCCAGGCAGAACCTGAGCAGCCCCCAAGGAGCCTGTGAATCCCAAAGGATAAAGGGGAACATCCTTGGGGAGGTGGGGAGGGGTCCTGGGCACTTCGGTTCAAGGGAGAACAAGGAGGCCTGGGATTTGACCTTGTCCCTGGCCTGAGGTTCAGAGACACAGTACAGACTCTTGAAAGCTGGAGGGGATGCCAAGCCTGGAAAAGAGAAACCACGTCTAGAGATGCTGGAAGGAGGGGTTAGACGCAGCCACCAAATAACTTCCCTTACGCGTAAATCTGACCACGCTACTCCCCTACTCTGTCAGCTGCAATGGCTCCCTATTGCCTGTGGGATAAAACAGATTCCTCTGGTTTTCCAAGCCCTTCCCAACCTATTTATACATTGTTCTACCTTCTGTACTTTATGGTCCAGTCAGAGTGTCTGTGCCTCTGTACCTCCCGTTTGACCTGCCGTCTTCAATTTCTGCGACTTCCTCCTGACGTTGCCCACTCTTGGAATCCCACCCCCCCCCAACCCAGAACTGGCATCTTCCTTCAAGGGCTACCTCCTGCCCCTCTCCTCTCCCAGTACTAGTGACCCATCTTAACTGGCTGGCTTTCATGCTATGGATACCTGTGGATGTACAAGCTGTCTGTCAGCTCCCTGAGGACAGGCACCCTGTATTCCCGGTGCCTAGTGCAGGGAGTGCTTGGCAGTGAGGTAAGTCAGATCAAAAAGACCTCATTAAGCCCCAAGTGGTTGATCAAACTTGTTCTGTGATGCTGGAGATGACTGAGGCTGGTGGCGGAGAGGGGACATGGAGAGATTGGAGCACCACACCAGGAAGGACTTGATGGCGAGAAGGGTGGAGCCCTCCCAGCTCTGAGCCCAAATCTCGGCTCTCCTGGGATCTGGGATGAGCCACCTTGACCCCTGTGGGACTCAGCTTCCTTGTGATCCCTGGATCTGTGTTATCTGACCGATGGACTCGGACCCTTCCAAACTGTCCCCGGAGAACCCCCCACTATGCAGCTGCTGGAGAACGGATGCTTGGACTAGTCAGACCTAAAGATTCTCCTCTAACATTGATGCCTCAGGAGATTACCCATGAGGATACTAAGACCTTCCCAAGATCCTGTGGCTGGCCAGCAGCAAAGCCAGGATTGGATCACAGGCTTTCTGACTCCTCAGACATCCTGGGCTGACTTTGGGGGCTTGGTCACTCCACCTCCTCCACCATCCCATCCCCCCTCCTTTCCTTTCTTCTCGCTCCCTCCCTTCCTGAATCAACCAGGGTGGTATTCCAGCAGGTGCACAGACCCCAGAATGTGGACGTGCAATGGGTGGGGGGAGGGGGTGGCAGGCGCGTGCTCTGGGGCCCAGCAGGTGTTAAGCAAGTACTGGGTTGGCAGCTGTAGCATGCGCCTCCAGCTCCCTCCTCCTCCTCCCCACTGCCACCCACCAGCCATGGTCATGCACACTTACAGAGTAATGGTGGACAGTTCTGACATCTTGCAAGAGTGCTGCTGAGCCCGCTTTGGCCTGCAGTAACATTTCTGCACGCAGTTGCTGAGTGTGACAAGATTAGCGCTTCCGTCAGCTGGGGGAAACTGAGGCACATTCATTCAACACTTTTCATGGACATAGCATCCAAATGCCACTTGCTGGTCAAGCCACGGATGGGAATGAGGAAGCAAAAGCCTCATGCAGGAAGAGTAGGCCACACCAAAGCACGTACATCTAACAACACAAATGTCACCGCAGGCAGGCACGCAGACTGGGGAGGTACATTTATTACCCGACATGTTAAGAAGGCAAGATATTTTGACGGCATCTCATGCAGGTGTTTAGGGCCCCCAAAGGGGTTTGTGGGACACCTCCAAGGATAGCCACAACCCTGGGCTGCAGGATCAAGCTGGAATCTCTAGTCTACCTTGGGGCATGCTCAAACAGTGGGGTTGGGGTTGGGCAGGGAACAGTGGGGGAATCCTCACTTGTGCAGGACACAAAGGTCTCCTTACTCCCTTCCTGCTTCCCCTCCTTAGGTACTCATACCCCTAACATTGGAAGATGCTGAGGGAGACATCTAGAAATCATTGCTGGGGAATTTGAAATTCTTAATAAAATTCCAAGGAAGGCCATGGGATTATGAGAAATCTCAGAGTCAAAAAGACAAGGAAGTCACGCCTTCTGAGAAGTACTCAAGCAGGTTCTGCTAGTCAACCACTCATCTTGAGGAAGAATGTAAAAAAGTGTTATGATGGTAAAGCCCCGTGCTGCCTGAGCCTGGCCATTCTCCCCCTCGTTCCTCTGCCTCTCTTCAGGGGCTAGAAACAATGGGTGGAGGAAGACTCCTCCCTCTCCTCAGCACACTCTTGGTCCTCCATGGACCTGGAAATTCCTGCTTCTCTCCTTCCATGGGTGAAGAGGAAAGATTGAGCTCAAGAACTAAGATTTCGTGTTCTGTTATAAGACTATTCTTCGACTTGAGGTCTATTTGTTTATCTTGCATGGACAAGTTTCTGTGAACTTGATTAATTCTTGAAATAGATTCTGATCTTGTATCTGTACGTCTTTCTATCTACATATGTGTGTGTCGCCTGTTCTCAATCCCTAAAAGAACAGTCATTGGCTCTTCATTCTCTTGTCCACGTGGGTCACTATCCTTCATCTCATCTAGGACTGGGAAAGCTGGGCGGCCCTCGACAACCAAGCAAACTTCTCTGAGTCAAAGACCTGCAAGTTGGAAGGTGATTCAAAGCCCATCTGGCCAAACCCACACCTGAACAAGACTCACCTCTCCAACATCTCTGACGAGGGCTTGTCCAGCCTTTGACTGAAGATTTCTTGTGAGAAACCAGTCATCTCCCAAAGCTCCCAGTTCTGCTTTTAGAGATGTCTAATTGTTGGGGAGGTCTTCTTTATATCAAGACTGAATTTTCACCTTTGCAGCCTCCACCTGTCGCTTCTAGTTTGGCTTTCTGGGACCAAGCAGAACCAGCCTGATCCCTCTTGCATGTGGCAGCCTTTTGGACACCTTAGTATAGCTGTCCTCTCACTGCTAAGTCCTCTGTAGGGTGCACATCCCATTCCTTCAACCAGTCTTCACATGTCATTCCACAGTTATCTCACTCACCTCATCTCCCTCCTCTAGACATTTTCTAGCTCATTTATGTCCTTCCTAAAATGCAATGTGCAGAGCTAAGCCCAAGACGTCAGTGGCGTGACCACTGGAACCATGACCTCTATGGTTGTGGACACACTGTCTCTCTAATGTAGCCTGAGAGAGCATTAACTCTGTTGGCCACCATGGCATATGGTTGGCTCAAATCCAGCTGGTCAGCCACTGACCCCCCACCCCCTTATCTTATTCACAGGTGCTGTTGTCTAGCCACACCTCCTCCATTCATCTTGAACTTGTAAGGTTCCTTTTTAAATATGAATTTAAGGCTTCATGTTTATCATGGTTAAATTCATGTTAGTTGATTCTATCCAAGTCTGGTGGCAGCTTTTTTGATCTCAACTCTATCATCTATTGTGTCAACCATTCCTTCAAGCTTCATGGCACCTCCAGATGTGATGACTGTGGCTCCATCCAACTCATCATTGTTGGATATTGAACAATGGCCAAAGACATATACCAGGGGTATTCTGTTCAACAGTGCTGTCAAAGATGTCATTGAACCATTAATGACTCTACCTTTGGATTGGTTATTTAACCAGCTCCAAATCCACCTAACTGTCCTATCATCTAGCCCACATCTCTCCATTTTGTCCACAAGGATAGTGTGAGAAACTTTATCAAGTGCTTTGTGGAAATCTAGTGTAGTGTATCGACAGCATTTCTCTGATCTGTTAGACCAGACTGAAAAGAGAATGGGTTCAGTATGGCATGATCTGTTCTTAGTGAAGCCATGGTAGCTTTTTGTGATCAATGCTCCCCCTTCTAAATGTCCACAAACCACCCTTTTAATAACATCTTCCAGAATTTTGCCAGGATGAGAAGTCAAGCTTCATATCCTTTGGTTTACAGATTATTTTCTCCTTCCTTCTCTGGGATACATCAAAGATCACTGACAGGCCCAGCAATCATATCAATCAGATCTTCCAGTCCCCAAAGATGTAGTTGGTCTGGACCTGGTGACTTGTCCTTATCAAGAGCAGCTGAGTGTTCTCTTACCATCTCACTCATTTCCTGTTGACTCCAAGTTAGATGTTCTTGTTAGATCAGAGCCAGTCTCTCCTTGGCAGAGAAATGCTTTCACCCTTCAAAGGATCCATGATTTCATCCGTGTAGCCTCTTTCTTCATGGTGTAATTACAACATGTCCAGCTTTCTTGGCCCATCCTGCTCTCATGGCCCCACCCCACATACTAGGGCCCCTGTTCTAGTCCTATTACAAGGGCACCATGGAGGCCATCCATCTGGTATCTCTCAGTCTCACCACACAACTGGCCCATACACCTTTGGGATGAATGACAAACATTAAACCCTCCCAGTGTTAGCAGCATCAGCATCCCATAGCCCCCACACAGCAGTCCTGTCCCTTCTGGGCCCCTTCTCTTATCCACAACATAGCTACAAAGACCATTTCAGTCCTCCTCACCATCACCACCAGACTCAGCTCATTCTGGGCTCTCCTGCTCCCCACACAATTCCTAAAGGATTCTTTCCTCATTACCTGACTTTGTTTCTCTCTTTTACACATTGGTGATGAACTCTGTGCAGACACTTTCCTCCTCATGTTTGGTCTTCAGAATTTCATGCTGGAGTTAAATTCACACCCCTTGGGCTGACTTCCCCTACAGGATTCTTCCTGTCCCCTGCCCTGGGGCCTCCTCAGTCCAGAACTTCACTCCAACCCTGTGACACCTTCTTCTGAGAGATTGATTTGTCCCCAAACTGTCATCATAAGGCAAGTGCATGGGCCAATCATGCCTTCATTTCTCTTTGGGCTCTGCTCCATATTCTCTGGATTTTTTCTGCCATAGTTGGGTATAGATACCCTCTCCCTGTTGTCCTTTCAATGCCTCTTTATGTGCTGTCTTCACCTATTAAACTGTAGGTTTCAGGAAGGCAGGGACTGTCTTTTTCTACTGTTGTCTTTATAATCCTAGCACTTGGCACAGTGCCAGGAACACAATAAAGGCTTAATAAATGCTTGTTGACTTGACTGTTGACTCCTTTCAATGAATCCTTTGAAATTCACTTTCCCCAAATCTAGGACACGTACTTTCTTTTTGTTCAAGAATTCTGAGTTGGAGCGCTCATTGTCCCAACTGCTCTTCTCAATCCCGAGAGTGACCAGGTCATCCTTGGTGGTCAGAAGGATGTCCACAGTAGCAATTCCACTGGCTGCTTCCTCTGCCTTCTGAAGAAGGAAATCGTCATTAACCCACCAATGCATCACCTGTTTGTCTCCAACCAATACTCAATGTTCAGGGCAGCGAGGTGGCCCAGTGGATACAGCACTGGGCTCGGAATCAGGAAGACTCCCCTTCCTGAGTTCAACTCTGGACTCAGGCACTTCTTAGCTGTGTGACTCTGGGCAAGTCACTTCACCCTGTCTGCCTCAGCTCCTCACCTGCTGAATGAGCTGAAGGAAACAGCAAACCACGCCAGTGTCTCTACCAAGAAAACCCCCAGTGGGGTCATGGAGAGTCGAATGTGACTGAAACGACTAAACGACAGCAACAGTGTCCAGATGTTTGCAAGCTCTCATCAGCACAGCTTCCTTTATCCATTGCCTGGTCTGTAATCTCCTTCCTGAACTCATCTAATTTTTTCTTACATCCTGTGTTTCTGGTAAACCCCAACAACCACATTGCTTCTATCTGTTCTATTTACTCTCCCCTACATGTTCTCCACCATGACTTCCTCCTCCCCACATTGGGTCTCTGGAATTCCTTACATGAGTATATATGTTCTATTCTCAAATGGCCTCCTCCCCCACCTCCTTCCTTGGTTTTTTTCCTGGTGAATAGGCTGCTCTTCCAGAATCAGAGTCTAATCCTGAGCTCCATGCCATAATGTCTCCGTGATATCAATGAGGTCCAATAGGTCTCCTTGGGTTAACAACTGTAGCACCCTCTGCTTCTTATACACACTTGGCACATTTGTCTATGGTTATCTGAGGACCTGCCTTATCCTTGGACAGGGCACACTATACTAGGAAGGGTTCAGAAACCCTGGATCCCAGAACCCCAGTAACATTTCTTGTGTTGGGTCTGCACTCTAAATGCCCCTTACTATACAGTGCCTCTTCCAGCCCTGCTTTCGATGAGGAGTGGTCTGGGTCCCAAAGTTGTCTTCCTTTTCCTCTTCTCCTCTTCCTGCTCTCCTCTTCTCCTTCCCTTCCTCTTCTTCCTCCTCCTCTTTTTCTTCCTCCTTTCCTCCTCTTCTTCTCCTCTTCTCTTCCTTCTCTACTTCTCCCTAACATTTCATCAATAGTGTGTTCTCAGAAAGCTGCTACGATGGAAGGGATTTGATCAATTAATTCACATTAAGGTGTGAATGATTGACATCATCCTGTACCATGATTCACATGCAGCATAACAGATCAGAAGTCA